GGTCGAACTTCTCGGGATTGAATTTGTTCTCAATGCCGTAGTGTTGCCGCGCGAGGGCGTCGCAGTCTTCGATGGAGGCCCGAGTTTGTTTGGCCAGGAACTTGGTCGAGACGGCGCGGACGGCGAGGAGGTGGATCAGGGGGACCTTGAGGGCTTCGAGACGCACGCGGTCCTTGTTCTGGGCGAGGGGAGCGGAGGTCGGGGTGAGCGGTGCCAACGCGGTGGGCGACCGGGTGACGCCCAGGGCTGGGCTGGAGGAGAGAGAGCGATTGGCGGCATTTTTGAGGAGTCGATCCTTTTCCCATTCCACCTTGCTGGAGGGCTTTCCCGCCAGGAGGGCGGCCTGCCTGCCGGTGCTGGAGCGGCTATCGCCCGCGCGGAGGGCCCTCACCTGGTCAATGTCGGTGATGATGTGGGTTTTCTTGGATTCCTTGCCCCGTTCAAAGGCGTTCAAGCTGAGCTCGAGGTTGGCCAGGGCCTGGTCGGTGGCCGCAGTGTCCTCCTTGGCCTTCTGGACTTCCAAGCTATGGCTGAGAAGGCCCGTGAAATAGAGGTTTTCCTGGTCCCCTGACCGACGGGCGTAGATCTCGGAGCGATGCGTTTCGGGGCAGGAGTGGAAGGGTTGGGATTTGTTGGCGGCGTAGTAGAGGGTCGGGTGTTTCCCCCAGGCGGAGGCGGGCCGGCTGATCGGACCGGAGGGACTGGATCAGGTCGTCGAGGGTGGACTGGGCGAGGTTCAATCGCATGATCTGGGTGGGTTTGACGGGGGAATCGTTGGCCAGGTTGTCTCTGCAGAGAGACAGCCCGGACTCGGGCACCCGGAGGGTCGACATGAGGATGGGGCGGGCGGAGGAGGAGGGAGAGGCGGGTACGAGAGGGAGAGGGAGAACCGCAACTCAAGTCGAGAGGAGGACGAGAGGGATTGAAATAATGGGAAGAGGTCGAGAAGCGGAACAAAGAGGCAGGCCGGGTTCAGGCTCAGTCAAGGGCCAGGAGCAGGGTGAAACGAGGTCGAAGCAGACGCCATAGATTAGAGGATGGAGAACAAAGAGAGGAAGAGGGAGGGTGCATGTAGAAGAGCAAACGGAGAGCCTCCAGAGCCCATGACAAGAGGTGGATGGAGGGGAAGGAGAGGAGGGAGAGAGAAGATTGAGGGAGAGGAGAGGAAAGAAGAGAGAAGAGAGGGAGGGGAGAGAGTGAGGTGAGATGATGCCAAAGACCCAGGGCTGAGCGGAGAAAGCGAGAGACGTGAGGGAAAGGTCAATGGAAGGTAGGTAGGTACCTCTGGGTAAGAGGAGGTACGAGGAGGTACATCGGATACGATACGCCCCCCAGTGGAGACGGGGGATGGCGGCGGTATTACCAATACGCCAATACGAAGGGTCAAGGGTGTTAGATTAATCCTTCTGCAAAAGGAGACCTGCAGGATTCGGTCATGGTCAGAAATATCAAGTACGTAGACATGATGAAGGGAAGAAGAGTAAAGAAGAAATATTATCAAGAATAGTAGTCATATACCTAGGGAGTAATAATGAATATACTCGGTATACTTGAATGATAGAATGACGATAATAACAATAAAGAGGCAACGATTGGATACCAACGGCTGGAACCAGGATGCTGGGCTCGTCAACACGAAGAAGAATAGGAACTCTACTCCGTTAGTGTCTCCTAGAGTAATCCTCCGATCGATCGGATCGGATCTGGACAGGTCAAGAAGATAGAATCATCTCTACTGTACATTTTCATATTATCATATTATCATATTATTGTCTGATTCTTCGTAGAGTAACTAGATGCCGTACGACCCATCGGTGGTACGGAGCGGTGACCGGGACGATGAAGAAGAATGGGTCCGTTGGTCTGTTGGTCTGGACACGGGAGATAGTTAGTCAGTCCATGGAGGAGGAATAAAGGGTGTATTATTGAAAGGATGGAGAGAGATGAATCCACCCGCCCCTGACTCCTATATACAGAGTACCCAAAGACACCCAAGTTTATCTAGGTAGTTAACTTAGGTAGGAATTGATGGATTTCCGGTCTTCAGGACGAGTGTCATCGGATCATCATCCTGGCTCAGCTGGACGGTAGATCACCCGTCCTGTCTCCGATCAATAATACTTACCTACCTACCGACGTAGTACCTACTGGTACCTCCATATACTGCCGTCCTCCGGAGAACTACCGGAGTGTAATCGGATTTCAGGTAGCCACCAGGCCACCCAGGGTGAGACAGGCGTCTGTACTTTGTATTCGGACAATGCAAGTTCTGTACAATCAGCAAGATTGGGTTCCAAGTTGGATCCGAACAGGATGGGTACATACCTACACATTCCGCACGAGTAATGAAGGGATGGATAGTTGGGCGCTAGACGGACCACTATCACTTGATTATTGGAGCGATAGCAGCGTCATCCTCTTCTACTATTAATGAGGATCTTCCACCGCTCTACACATCAACTCTCGATCGATCCGATCTGAGGACTAGTGCTATTATCCAGGTCCTATCTACGGAGTACTACCTACCGGTACCTACCAGTCAGCGAGACATCCAGACAGTCAGCATTACAAGACTACAAGTACCCTGTACAAGTACCTATGTACCTAGGTACCTAGCCTATATCTACATATCCTTGTTTCCAACTCACACCTCAAAGGTACAGTAACATTCTTGGGCGCAGACAGCTTAACCCTAGCCTAGACCATTGTACCTTGCTTGAGCGTCCATCGCATCACATCACATCATTCTCACCCACGCCAATCCACCACCTGATCGCATCGCGCAGCTGGCTTGACCAGCTGCGATGGCAATCAGGGTCCTGTGAAACCACCGACTAGCACTAAGACGCGGCCAGGTTACACTCCGTGCTCCTCCAACAATCCCCTCCTGTGCAACCGCCAGCAAAGAATGCGTGAATGCGAGCCCATCGACTACTCCACGGTCGGGATGGCTGGCTGGACAGTCCATCATTGGTGGGCCTGACCAACGCGAGGTCCGACCGTAAGAAACCAGACTTGCATTGCCTTATGGATGGATATGCATCGGGAACCTCCTCTTTGGAAATTTTTCCAACTGGTTCAAATCCACCAACTAACCAACTAACTAACTACGTATGTTAGTTAGTCTCGGGTCCGAGCTGAAACGTGCCAGACCTGTCCAGCCTGTCCATCGCCCCGAATACCTGGTAAGATATTGACGCCTTGTACGTACTATTAATATTATATTATTATTCTAAGAATACCTGCAGTATCGACCTGACGATATTCTTAGACCGGGCGGTGCGCGATCGCCCCCAAGCCTCAACCATGCCATGCCATGCGCCTCACTCGGATTTCTCCCCAGCCGCGTTACGCTCGACTAGTGCGTTGTCGGTACTTTCGGTCTAACCGGAAAGGATGCTGTTGACGACCGCTCCACTACTCGGAGGACGGATATATTTTGTTTGTCTGGTGTTGATGTACGGAGAGGCTGCTCGACGCTTCACTGACGACAATATGACAAGACGACCAGAGCCTAGCAATGGCATCACCATCGCAGCCTACACGGCGCCTGTGACAGATCTGCCTCAATTCCCAATCCCCAGACTCCATCTCTACGCAACTAAGAATCCAGATCCACAGCTACAATCCCACAAGACTACCAAATGGACCTCCCCGTGGAGATCCTCGAGCTGATCCTCCTGCAGACAGACACCCGCAATCTACTAACCGCCCAGCGCGTCTGTCGCCTCTGGCGCGACGTAATCCAAGCCAACCGCAGGCTCCAAGAAGCCCTGTTCTTCCGCCCCAGCCAGCCCCTGGCGCCAGGCCGGAAGTCCGTCAAGAACGCCCTCGTCGCGGAGCGCGTGTGGCCCTACTTCCTGCGGACGTATCTCTACCCGCAAAACGCGCACACAAAGGCGATGGCCCATTCCGACCGCCGCGACCACCGCCGCGGCGACGCGGCCTTCCTGCGCCCCGAAGCCAGCTGGAGACAGATGCTCCTCGCGCAGCCCCCAACGAATACCTTCGCGTTGGTCATGTGCGAAACCAGAAGCTCCCTCTCCGGGCATTATCTCACGGACTTGTCCGGAGTCTCCCTGCGGATGGGTGATCTGGAGGCCTCCATCGGCGCCGGCAGGCTGGTCCCCACGCCGCAGCCCTGGGCCTTGTGGATGAACGAGGGCTGTGCCCCCGTCCAGTCGGAGACGCTGGCTATCGCCTACTATAGGCATTGGAGGACGAGGCGGTTCGAACGGGCTCGGCGGATTGGTGACTGCGATGTGGTCTATTTTGAGATTTGCACCGCCCGCTACCTGCAGTCTTATCGGGAGTGCTCCAGGTTGGGGTTGTCCTTTGAGACCTGGCTGAAGCTCTATGTGGCTACCGAGGACGAGGGTTGGATATTATGATGGTTGGAACGGGTAGCATGGTGAGTATGGACTGATGTTTGGAGTAAGTGAAAGTTCTTAAAGTGTTCTGAATGTACTATCACCATCTCTGATGACCCCATCCCCGAGTCAACGGCTCCGCCACGCATTACTCGAAACAATGATATCAACCCAGCACACCCAGCAAGCAGCTAACCCCTGACAGAACTCATCATCATCCAGACGACTCCCCGCGCGGAGTAAATAGTAGATCTGTAGATCTGTAGCTGGTCGTAGTGGATCTATACCACCCATTTCATTGGGCGTGTAGCGACCGCGGGAAGATCCCATGGATCGTCGTCTCTTCATCAGTGACATCAAGAGTGCTTACTTTGGGTGGAGGTTCTTCTGATGCATGGACTTCATTAATAACAGGGCGCCATTGAACAATACAAGGCGTGAGTCATCGAAGGCAAGTCCTTGCTAGAGCGGGCTAGCAATGCCATCAACATCATAAAAAGTGGTACTGTTAGGGAGAGGAATCCCGGGTTCGAGTGAAGCTCATTCCATCATATTTGTTTAGAATATAATTCCACGCTAGACCAAGATACAATATTCAACTGACAACTCCTATTCCAACATATACGGCCGACATACTCAAATCGTCCGATGAACCGGCTGGCGCGTGGCGTACTTCCTGTAATCAGCTGCCGTTCTCACACGCGCCCCTTTGCCCTTGAACATCAACACAACCGGCATAATAGCAGTAGCCAGCGCAAGCATGCCAATGAGGATAAACGTATTCTGGATGCCCATGCCAGTGACCCACGGGGTGAACGCGAACCGCACTACCATCGCGAAGCCGTTGCGAATGAACACAACGGCAATCAGAGCGTCGCCCAGGATCTACCTCGAGTCAGTGTACATAGCTCCACGCCTCCTAGAAAGCATACTTACATCCGGGTAGCAGTCGGTCAAGTAGGTCAGGGCCACATCTGCAGTCATAATAAAGCCGAATCCGAAAATACCGCAGCCAACCGCCAGCATCGCCCAATGCATACCCTGCGGACGTTAGCTATGCTATCAGACAAGAACGACAGTCTAGTCATACCCGACCAAGACCTATGCCAAACACCAGCAAACCCGCACAATTGAGCACCGGGCCCGGAACGCTCATCCACAGACGCATCTCGGGCTCGAAGATCCCCCCATTACGTCGGGCGGACCGCAGTATGAACCGGTCGTTCAGCGCGGGCGCCACCAGCGTGGACAGAAACGCCCCGGCAAAACCCCCTAGATGGAAAAGCCCAATCGCCGACGGACTGAAATCGTATGGCTCGTCGAGGAGGAAGTACGACGCGGCGGAAGAGGTCAGCGAAAACCAGGCGAGGAGGGTCCCGTATGTGACGGCCGCAAAGGCCACCGCGGGAAAGGAGCACAGCACCATCAAGGGCTGGTAGAAATGGTGCGCGATCGGCATGTCGGTTTTGGTCACGAGAGCCAGCCGCTGTCGTATCGTCTTTCGACTGCGCCGGGCGGCCGTGGAGGAGCAAGTGGTCACCGTATGAGCGGGTTTGTCTTCGTCCTTGTCTGCTTCGGCTTCGTGTTCGATGATTTCAGGACCCTGCGAGGACCCCAACTGGCCGACCAGCACAGGGATGTACTTGGATTCCTCGAAGAACAGCGTAACGAGAACGAGGTTCACCCCGAGTAGGATCGCGATGATCCACCACATCCACCGCCAGCCCAAGGCCACGACAATGTAGCCGGCGACAATGGGGCCGCCCGTCGCTCCCAGGGTCTGCATGAAGAGGAAGACGCCGTTCATGCGAGCATGCTGGTGCACGAAAAACAGATCGATAATGGTGATCATCACCACAGCCTCGCTGATCGAGCCCGCCAGACCAGCCAGTAACATTATAGTGATCAGTTCCCCGGCATGGTGGAAATTGGCCCACCAAAGCGCGCAGGCAAACTGGACCACCGCGCTGATCAGATAGATCGGTCGACGGCCGTACTTGTGCACGCACGGAATAAGCAAAAGACAGCCGATAGCGAGCCCGGCGTAGCTGCAGCCACTGGCCTGGTTGAAGGTCGCATAGGTCAGGCCCAGCTCTTTCATGTACCCTCTGTACGCGAGACTGTTGACGTCGATCAACACGAATGTGAACAGGACATAGGAGCACGTCAAAGAAAAGTTGACTGCTTTCCGCAGGGTCGACCAGTTCTTTCAGCTCGTAAGTTAATGCCGTTGATTGGGTAAAGGCGCTTACCAGGGGGTCGTCGGGGTCATCTGAGGGCGTGGGGTGCAGTACAACCTCAGAAACAGAGGCTTGTCCTGCCAGCAATTAGCAAGTGGATTCTATCTCTTGTCAGGAGAATGGACGTACGGTCTTCCAAGAGGACAGTTCCTGGGGGAAATGCGTCGTTCGGAGCATGGCTTTGCCCTAACATCGTGTCGGGTAGGATGCGTTGTCTGCGAACTTGATGAGACTGGCTGGCAGGGCTCCAATGCCTTTATAGCAAGCAACTCCTCTTCTCCTTACATTGCCACCATCGAGCCTATCGTTCTGCCTGGGACCAACTTGCGGGGGTGGAGATCAAGCAATCAAGACCGAGCGATACGTGGCAGTACGCGATGTCCATCACGACACTAACGACACCCGCCAATCAATGCCCACAATCGCCCGGAGGATTCGTAAAATACCCTATACTAGGGCTCGCCATACGCCGCCGAACAATATACTTACCTGCCATTGAAGGAGGCGCGCGACACCGAATCTCCACCAAGACAGGAAGATTGGGGTTAACGGCTGGGGAGTCGTTGACGCGGGGCAGTGCTGTTATCACGTCATCAGAGAGGGATGCTCAGTTCAGGATCCTCCTCAAACAGACGGAACAGGTATCGGGTTGTTCCCTGGTCCCGGCCAGCCCAAGCACGCGCGAGGAACATGCGCAGGTTGGAGATAAAGGGGTAGAAGTTTGCCCCCATGATCTTCGTGATCAGAGAGAGTACGTGGCGTCTCCCGGCTGTGTCGTGCACCTCGGCTCCTGCAACGAGGAAGATCAAGGTGATGTTGGGTGGGTATTGATTTGCAAGGGCCAGACAATGAGTGATTTCTGAGACAATCGTCCGTGATAGAGCTTCTGCCTCCTCGTCCTTTTCCCCGAATGGATATCTCAGTCGGTGCAGGATGAGGAGTGCTGCGGTACGGTGAAGACTAGCCTGCGTGACGAGGAGATACATCTCTTCCTGAGAAAAGCGCTCTAAAGCATCTTTCGAGATATTGGGGGTCCAGGCAGTAATCTCTTCTGTAAGACTATCAAAGGAGGCGGGACTGGGTACGTCGCCAGAACCAGTCCTTATGGCCGCCGCGAGGAGACAGATGCGGTATAGCAGAGGTAGAAGAGGCCCACAGAGACCGGCATGGCGGTCGACAATGTACGGATCTCGTACTTGATACTGAATGACCGGGACGCGAGCGCGGAACAACGATTGGGTGGTGTCCATGAAGACAAGACACGTGAGCTCCATGGAGTCCGAGCTACTGAGCTGGTTGGAATAATAATAAGGACGCACCAACGAGAGGGTGTATCGGCAAATGGTGCTGGCTGAAACTCCGGAGATCAGTCGATGGAAGGTGACTAGGCTCAGGCCTAGTGCGAGAAAGCTTCCCACGTTCTCCGCTTTGGTGATCTGAGCGTTTCGAAGCGTCTGCAACGAAGAAGCACAGTCCGATAGATCAGTGTCATAGTATGGTGTCTGGTTACCTATGCAGCGGAGGAGAACCCGGGCAACGGTTGCATAGGGCCGGAGCAAAAGCACAGGGGATTCTCGTAAGCGGAACCGGATCATTTCGCACAGCTCCATGCTCAACGACGGACCGAGCGAAAAGAAACTGCAGAGCTGAAGCGCGGTATCATCCGAGATAGACGAGACTAGTCCCTCGCGATGCAGGATGGTCATAAGCAGCGGCTGGTGTGGAGTCATGCTATCGCGGCTGCTACCTCGGTCTAAACCTGAAGTAGGGCCGGCAGGGGCATCGAATAACGGTAGCAATGAATCTGGCGCATTGACTTGCGGAGAAGAAGAGGACCTAATAGGCACCCTGGGCTTCCGACCTGGTCTCTCGCGTCGTCGTGTATAGGTGCAAGGATGGTGAAGCCGGTAGCAGCGATAACACGCTCCTGCAGGTCCCGCCAAACAGCGGGACTTGAGAGCATGGCATCGGTCACAAGCCAACAAAGGCATTTTGAAGACTTTGCACTGAGGGGGCAGACATTCAATGAGATTGTACGCTGTATTAGGTGTTGGAGGAGTTGCGTGGGCCGAGGATGGGAAGATGGTGAGGTGGAGAATCGGCTACGCTGAATGGGGCTAGTCCTTATACTCCAGTCTACACTGGGGACTACGAGGACGGGGAACTGTGTAAAAATGGTATACTGGCTATCTAGTAAATACTCACACCAGAGGTCATGCATACATAGGCTACGTCCTACCATTCAGGCACTGATCAATCTGCTTGGCCATCTGCAGACATTCCTCATCTCGCATAGTCGACGTGAACACTTGGATCGAACAGGGCGCGCCTTCGAGCTGTTTGAAATCGTCTGTTGGAAGTAAGCATCCGAACAATGGAAGGGTAACTGTAGATACTCACAATCAGGACCGACCTGCCCATCTTGAAGCTCAAACTTCTCCGCAGCGTCTTGTTCGCCTACTTTTCCGAATGGAATGACGCAGGAAGGATACTAATCGGTAGTCAGCTTAGAAGGCCAAATTGTCAAGGTAAAACTCTTACATCAAGAGTGTTCAAAAAAGCCGTATACGGCGGCAGGCCGAACGTGTCATGAGCGACGGCCGTACTCTGGGCTGGAGGGGAGATGCACACGTCGAGATCATAGTGTACCCACAACTTCCTGTACATCTCGCGAAGCTCCGCTCTCTTGGTATTGAGAAGAGCTAGCTGCCCGAGTCGGTCCAGGCCACTCACATCCGGCATGGAGGACGAGTGGAACTGTCGCAGCACCTCACCCTGTTTTCTGATATGATGCATCGCCGGCACCACAGGTTCTCCTGCCGATAGGATATGCTTCACGGCGGCATCGTCAAGCTGGAATATACTCCATGCGACTGCATTAACGGCCAATAGTTGGCATTCCTTTGCACTCAGAGGAATGATCTGGTGTCCTTGTGCTTCGAGCTTCCGCGTAGCTTCCGTCAGGACCCTCCTCACAGGCGGGTGGAGAGGGAAAATAGGGTCCTCAGGGACAACGCCAATCCTCAACTTCGGCTTCACGTCCACCTTCCGCCAGGGTACGTCAATCACCGTGGAGTCGTATAACGCCGGTTGGGCATTCAGAACGGACTCCATTAGGAGTTCGACCCCGTTGAGATCAAGTGACAGCGGACCGGCGCAGGACAGAATGAACTTCATCCCACTGGTATTGCAGATGCGCATCCCGCCGTTTGGGATCCTGGATGCGCTGGGCCGGAACCCATAAGTCCCGCAGCAGAGGGCGGGGATACGGACAGAGCCTGCATTGCATTAACAACTGCAACCATCTATTGACGTCCGTCTCGACATACCACCAATATCAGTGCCCACACCTAAAGGCGATCCGCGGAGAGCGATGAGGGCGCCCTCGCCACCGCTGGATCCCCCCGCACCTAACGCCGTATTCCATGGGTTCAGCGTGCGTCCAAAGACGTTGTTGTGAGAATCGGTGGTCTGTGGATGACCTCTGTCAGCGCTGGAGTACTCGTGGAGAAGGGCCTGCATACCATCATGGTCTGGGGTATATTGGTCTTGACATAGATGACCGCGCCCAGCTTCAGGAGGATATCCACGAGTGGCGAGTTCTCCGTGGAGACCTCGTCTAAGAACGAGACCATTCCAATTGTGGCTTCCGTGCCTTTGTAGTGAAAGTTGTCCTTGATGCTCACGGGGAGGCCGTGGAGCGGCCCAGCTGACCGACCCTGGGCTCGGAGATCGTCCAAGTACTGAGCCCGTGCCTGAGCTTCGGCAAACATGGTCTCCGTGAGGCAGGAAACCTATCTCCCCGTCAGAATATCTGGCGACCCACGAGGCGGTGGAACATACTAGCTGGTGGGCGACCGCAGCCCGTTTACAGTATGCCAGAGTCACCTCGACTGAGGTCAATCTACCGTCGGCCAGCGCTGAAACCAGACCCGTCGGGGTATATTGCTCGGTGATTTCCAACTCGCGCTCTGTCAGAAGACCAGCCTTGCGAATGATATCGGCCTGGATCAAGTCATTCTTGTTTTCCGACAAAGGGACCTGTAAGCCCGTGGTCAAGTCGGAGATTCTCCATTCCGTAGGGATCTTGTCGAAGCATTCTTGCTGCTTCTTAGCGACTCGTTCCTGCCAGATGGTTTGGGGATCAATGGAGCCCATGTTGGCTTGCTTGTGAAGGAGATATTGTAGAAGACTGAAGAACGACAGGAGTAAAGGAATCCATGAGAGGAGACAAAGGGCTGTAGGTCATAGGCGAGATTTATATCATAATCATTATCTAGAACCTCGGCTGCAACGGTGACCTTGTATACAAACTAACTGGACTAGTAGTGGAATTACGCCGGCTCGTATCATCTTCCGATTCGTCATTGTCTCTCCACACGTTGGAAATTAATAAACAGATCCATCGACAGTTGCTGACGCAATAGATCCTTAGAATAACTAGTTCCCTACGAGACGTGATCAGAAACAAGGCTTTTCTGTATTGCATGAAGCCATAACCGTGTATGAACCACCCAACATTCAAACCAATGCGGAACAAAATATGCTAATGTGACAATTCGGATATCAGTACAAACGGGCGGGACCCAGTAGATCTATGTATTACGGGAGAGCATCGTTTGCATTTAACCAGTGACCTTGAAGATGGACTCGGCCAGTCTCTTGACGTTGCCGGTGGTGATACCCGCGACGGAGATACGGCCGTCCTTGGTGGCGTAGACGGAGTGCTCCTTGGCCAGAGCATCCATCTGCTCAGGCTTGAGACCAGTGTAGGCGAACATACCAATCTGCCTAGGTCAGTATATCATCAAAACGTCGATGTCGATGAGCAGAGCATACCTGGTTGGTGATGTGGGACCAGTCGTGCTTGCTACCCAGGTCCTCGAGGTTCTTCTTCAGGAGAGCGCGCATCTCGATGATCCGGTCGGCCATACCCTTGACCTCACCGAGCCACTGCTGGTTCAGCTCGGGGTCGTTCATGATGGTGGAGGCGATGCGAGCACCGTGAACGGGAGGGTTCGAGTAGAAGGGACGGATGAGGATCTTGATCTGGGACTCCACGCGCTTCTTCTCCTCGGTGGATTCGCAGACCAGAGAGAAGGCACCCACACGCTCACCATAGAGACCCTACTGGGGTTAGTCTAGGGATTTGGAATGAGATGGTCAGACGGGCATTACCATGTTCTTGGCGAAACTCTGGCACAGGGCAATGTTGTGGCCCTGCTCAATGAAGTGACGAGGGGCAAAGGCATCGCGGTCGGCGTTACCGCTGGCGAAGCCCTGGTAAGCCATGTCGAAGAAGGCAAAGTGGCCCTTCTCCTTCATGACATCGCTGATCTTGCGCCACTGGTCCTGGGTCGGGTCGACACCAGTGGGGTTGTGGGCGCAGGCGTGGAGCAGGATGATGCTGTTGTTGGGGGCGGCCTTGATGTCGGCGAGGAGACCCTCAAAGTCCAGACCGATGGTGTCCTTGTTGTAGTAACGGTACTTGTCGACCTCGAGGCCAGAGTCCTTGAAGACGGCGGCGTGGTTGGCCCAGCTAGGGGTGGGGAGGTAGACCTTCTTCGCGTGGGGGTAGAAGCGCTGGAGGAAGGCACCGCCGATTCTCAGGGCACCGGTACCGGAGATGGACTGAGTGATGACGAGACGGTCCTCCTTCAGGACGGACGAGTCCTTGCCATAGGCAAGCTCGGCGGCAGCCTTGGTGAAGGCTGGGATACCGGTGATGCCGGCGTATTCCTTGTCGAAACGGGAGGCGACAACCTTGTCCTCGGCGGCGCGGACGGAGGGGAGGACGTAGGGCTTGCCCTTGTCATCACCTGAGGATCGAGGTGGATCATCAGCATCTCGGTTTCTTCGCTACAGTGGGGTGTTTTCGCATCGGGAGCGAGCGAAGAGGACGGGGAAGGGAAGGGATTCTTACGGTAGGCGCCAACACCGAGGTTGATCTTCTCCTTGAAGGAGTCGGCCTTGAAGGCCTCGGTGATACCCAGAATGGCGTCCTAGAGAGGCTGAAATGAGCAATTGCCGAGTGGAGCTTCGGGGGCGATAGAAGGAGCTTTACCGGAGGACCCTGAGGCACATTGGACCAAGCCGAGGCATGTCTGGCGCCGACGATGACGGTGCGCAGGGTGGTGTCGCGCGCGGCGACCCTGCGGCCGGAGACTCTGAGGGAAGTGGAGAGCATTGCGAGAGAGGGAGACAATGGAGGTAGATGGAAGCAGGACCCTAAAGATGGATAGATCTCCGAGATGGAGAAGAGGATGAAGGAAGGAAGATGGAGATGGAGATGGTGGAAGAAGGGAAGACGGAAGGGGGGAGAAAAATAAATATGGAGTCGGAGATGCTGCGTGTGAGTGAGTGAGTGGTTTTTTTGACTCATGTGAATTGTCGATGGGCGGCTGCACTAGGGAGATTCCGGGGGTCTCCGCATTGTTCTTCTACATACTTGTCCAGTACTATCGTTATACATCTTATGAGTTATGAGTTCTTTGTTGATTTATGATTCATTTATTTAATATGATCTCTTTCTCGTTCTATTTAATGATTTATTCAGAGTATCCCTGGTTTCTTCCTATCTCAGGATTCAATCATACTATGATTCTATATCCTAACACATAGATCATGACATCTCCCTCAGTCGATACTACTATCTACTACACTACGGAGTACCTCCAGAGTCCTCTGTTACAAGATCGGCGTGGTGCCATTGTTTCGGTGAACTCTTTGGGAGCGATTTCTCCCGGGTGGCCTGAGGCTCCTCCCATTTACCCGGACAAGATCAGGCTCAGAGATCTACGGAGTACGGGAGTACAGACCCAAGATATACATATTCCTATGGTTCTTCATATATAGCTTATAGAGATCATATATCTTGAATAGACATTGATTCATAGATTCATGTATACATTTAAATAATAGACTCTCTTCATCACTGGCGTCGTATCTTACAACTCCAACTCATTCTCCAATTCTCCTCATCGGTTAATTTCCCCCACACGCCAAGCTCTGAAGGGGATTAAGTGGCCCAATGCTCGGCCTCACACCGCTCAGATCTCCGAGTCCATCATGAAACTACGAGGACAGGATATGGAGCATGGGTGAATACATTCTATACATGTAGTCGTTCAACAATGAACAATTAGAATAATCATAATAGCCTCTATCCCAATCGCACGCCCGCCTGGCGGTTCTTGCGCGCCTGCGCTCCCATCGCGTTGTTCATGCCTGTATGCTGACTGCTGTCCAACGCACTCATCGCCTCCCGCTTCTTCTCTTCCTCGATCTTCTTCAGCCGTTTCTCTGTCTTCATCTTGCCACTGCCCTTACCGTGGAACTGGTGGCTCAGGTGCTTGAACGCCTCCTTCTGGTTCATCGACCGACCGTACTCGTCAATATACCGCAACTGCACATCCGGCTTGTACTCGCGGTTGAACACCTCCGCCATGTGTCGCGCATCCTGCTGGTCGCGCTGCTTGTTCTCCCACCGGGCGTACTCCTCGCGTTCGCGCGCCGACATGCGATCCAGTTTGCCCGACATTCGGTCGCGCTCCCGCTGCTGACGGGCGCGTCTCTCCGCTTCCGTCTCCAGCCGGTGCTTCTCTTGGATGAACCGCTGCCGATCCCGAACCAGCGAGTTGTGATCCGCCGCGTCCGAGTCCTTCACCAGTCCACGCTGTTTCAGCATCGACAACGTCGCTCCCAGGCCTTGGTCCAAAGTGGCTTCCTCCTCCAGACCTGTGACGCTGATCTGCTGGTTCGCCTGGGACTCCTCCCGCTTGACGCGCTCTTTCAACTCCTCTTCGTCCTCGATGTCATTGTATGTGCCCATGTGCACGTCGCCTCCTTCATCCACCTCCGCCTTGATCTCCGGCTCTTCGGTCTTCGCTCGAGTGTCCTCCGCAGGTGTGGTGGTCTGTCGCTCTCGGCGTTCGGGAATCGTAGGCTTCTGTAGGTTGGAGACGAACTCGGAAGTCTCATCAATAACCAAACCGGGCTCTTCTTCTTCGTCGCCCGGCGTGCTCACGTCCATTGGCGTTTGCGAACTCTCTTCTCGTAGCTGTCGTGCAAGATCTTCGGGGCGCATCTTCTGCCGTTTCTTGAACGCCGCCCGTCTCTGGCGCGTCAGGGAAGCTTGGAGGTCGTCATCGTCCACGAACGAGACATCCTCGCTAGCCCACTTTCGCGGCGCAGGGGCGGGAACAGGCTCGCCGTTACTGGTATCCACCTCCATCGCATTGTCGTTTGGCGTGCCGTTCCCGTTCGACTCTGTCGTCGGGAAAATCTCATCGTCGTCGAGCACTGCTCGCTTCTTGGTCGCCTTGCTCTTCTTCTTCTTGGGTTTCTTGATCTTCACTTCGCTCACGTCCATATAGTCGGAGATGGGCGTCGTCTCCTCTGCAAAGTCCAGACTGACGATGTTCTTCTTCAGCTTGTCCGATACTTCCTGGCGCTTGGCTTCCCGCTCTTCCACCGTCGACCCTTGCGCATCGAGAGTAAATCGCTTGCGCTTCTTTCCTTCGATCTCCTCGTCGTACTGGGCGAGAATCCCGGAGTTCTCCTCCGTAGGATCGTAGACCGGCTTGCGCTTCTTCAGCTCCAGCTTCTCTGCAACCTTCTCCTTCTCTCGCAGGTCAATGTTCTCCAACTCGTCGCCTTCCTCCTCGTTTTCGTCCACGGTGGTGTCCTTCAACGTAAGGATATGCTCTTCGCCACCTTCAAACGCGCCCACTTCGTGTCCGACTTTCAACCCCGCCAGATCCGCCGCCGAATACTCGGCCGCACGCTCGCGCTCTTCCAACTCTTCCGCGAGTTTGCGCGCCCGCTCCTTTTCGATCTTCTTCTGGCGTTTCTTCGACTGCAGCAGCCACGTCTTGGTGTCCATGTCGGCATCGTTGGCTTCGCCCAGGGTCGCGCCCTCGAGTTTCATATTCCGCTGCGCCTGTTCCCGCGCTTTCTTGATGGCGGCGTTGCGTTCCTCTCGTTTGCGTTTCGCTTCCGCCTCATCCTGCAGTTTCTTCCAGTTGGACGACGCGGCGGCCTCCCGCGTCTCCAGGGTGCTGGCCGGCTCATCATCCTCAGAACCAGAGCTCGAATCGTCGGATTCCTTGAAGACAGGGCCGGCGGTGGCGTCCTGACCCGGGACTGGGAGGGGCTTCAACCCCAGCGCCACCCGGATCTTGTTGTTTTGTTCGATGGAAAGGGCGTCGGCCATGTTGGCGACAAGTAACGCGGACAGCCTGTGGATGACAGGAGCGACCGGTAAAGGATGGGTGGGAGTGAGGCGTGGAGAAGTGATGGAGGCGTCGTGATGGACTCTCATGGACCATTCTTGATGAGGTCTCTCCCGCGCTTACCTCAGCACAGCCCCCATCCTCGGTAAGGTTTAGCGCCGTCTTGGCACAGCGATAAAAAGCTCTTTTTTTTCCTCGCCCGCTTTTCTTCTTTTTTTCTTCTCTTCTTCAGAACACACCACGGATCTGTGTCCAGCGATCCCGTTCACGGAGCCATTTCTCTCACGAGGAGTGGTCTTTGTGTTTCGGTTGATTGCTGGACAGTTCGACGACTTAAGGAGCCACTGATTCTTTGTGCTTGGTGGTTTGATTTCCGGTCGACAGATCTCAGATTAAAGGTCGGCGCTGGGTGTTCACTCCGGTCTTGAGCTCCCTTTCCTTTTCCCCTCTGGGGAGGGATCGGTGAGCTCGGCTGGAGGTCCTGGTTGTCTGACGGCGTCATATTCCTAGTCTCTTCACCGACTGGCCGTTGGCTAGTGAGGTCAGGGAAAAACCATGACAGGCCAACATTCTTCCATAGCTATCTAGCTAGTATTGTAGACAGTAGTATACGGCGCATATCGCATGCGACTGCGCTTACGAGATGCGTGCCAACATTATCATTTGGTACTCTATTCTCATGGTCATGAGGCATCATGTACGTGCTCCATACGAGTATGTCATGCTGTCCGCTCGGTTCGAGCAGCTACTCCTTGATCCTCTCACAGCAACTTCAAATGTCCCGTAACGCTGTCCACCACGCTCTTCGGCCCCAGAATCCCCAGCACAGTCCGACTGCCGCTAGCAATCTGCGTGCGTCCAGCGTCCTGGATCACCCGCGCGCAGAGTCCCAGACTGATGGCCTGCGCCTGTAGCAACTGCAATTCCTCCTCCGATTTGGTCTGCAGCGCAATCTTCGCTTGTCCTTGGCTTTCCCAGCGGCGCAGGATCGGCGAGTTCGGTGTGTAGGTCGTCAGGTATTTGTAGCAGGCGAGGGTCGCGTGCGAGCACTGGGCGGCGATTTTTCCTGTAATCGAACGACTGCATTAGCAATGTTGTCCAGTACACCTGAGTATTGCGATATTGTAATAAAGCTGGAGGTAGCTTGAGTGTAGAGTGGACAGCGGTGGCGCATTGTGGACAGCAGAAAAAAAACTTACCCTTCGTCATACCCAGATCAGTCCGCACCACCAACACCAACTTCACCTCCTCGTTGTTGTTGTCGAAATTGGCCAGCTCGCCGCCGTCGCCTTCCTCCTCGCTATCGGACTCCTCTTCCTCGTCGTCGAATTCCTCGTCCGAGGAGTCGCGATGCACCTTGACATTGTAGCTGTTCGGCCAGCCCTCCTTCTCCTTGACGGAGAACAGGCCCAGCGATGAGCCTTGGCCGAGGAAATAGCCAGTCACGCCGGCGATGATGGCCGTGGCGACAACATAGGCGGTGGTGGAGGGAACGCGATCGAGGTCGGCCATGATGCGAGGAGTGATGAGGCTGTTGAGGAAGAATGTTTGGGTGGCTCAGCAGTTGGGGTTGACAATTGGCGGGTGACGTGACATCACTGTTGTTGGCTTCATCTCTCCCACCACTGATGCAACTCAGTGGAAACAATTTTGCTGATAGATATATTCGATCACGTTTCTTCTTTCTTTTGCTATTGGTAGCTTGCTAGACTACTTTCGGAGACGACAAATCCTGGACGTTACTGCAGCAAATATATATTGGCACTGTGCAGCGCAACCATGGATTTACTACAAGAGGATTTGACAAAACACCGGTGTTCCAGTCAATCCTCAACGGCTGATATACTACTCCAAGGAAGTCTTTCAAGATGAATGCATATCATTGCTTACTTGACCAGAACTGATAGTAGCCCAGTGAGCCGAATCATAACATGAAATCATGCAGAGCTCTCCTGCGCCATCATGTACGCAGACACACTGCCTGATGCACGAGGATAGTAACCCACGCCTCCTTTCGTCCCGATTGCATGCTCTGCGCTGCCATTTACACCCACCGACCCCCATCCTCCTCCACCAGGAGTATGAATAACACAGCGATCCCCAGCTTCCATGCGAACCATGTTCTTCGCCCCCATATTCACCCATCTCCATTCCTCCTGACCAGCTTCATTCTGAACGCGTCGCACCCAATAATTTGCTCCCCGCTCCCCAGGCTCTCCACCGTTCATGCCGTAGGGAGGAACGCTCCGTCGCTCCGTGATGACGCTGAAGCTCAACGGCGCGCGACATTCGATGTCTCTCACCACTCCGTCACCGCCGCGGTAAAGCCCGCCTCCACCGGTGTCGGGCCGTATCGCAAACTCCCGCAGAATAACAGGGTACCGTTTCTCCAGGCTCTCTGCGTCGGTGATGCGAGTGTTTGTCATGTGGGTATGCACCCCGGACGCACCATCCTGGGTCTCGGTAGCCCCTGACCCACCGCAGATAGTTTCCCCGAAAGCGTACGCATATCCGGTGAGTTTCTTGCCATTGGAGTCTTTCCCTCCCTCGCCGAAGAACCCGAGACAGTTCATGCAGCCGTGCGAGGCGGCGGCGGCGCGGAACGCGCCCAGGATGACATCGACGAGTCTCTGCGATGTCTGGGTGTTCCCGGCGCACACGGCCGGCCCGGCTGAGGGGTTGAGGAAGGTTCCCTTGGGGAGAATCACGTCAATCGGCGCAAGACAGCCCTGGTTGAGGGGGATGTCGGTGCCGATGAGGAGACGGATCGTGTAAATGATGGCGGAGTGGGTGATTGCCGGCGGTGCGTTGATGTTGCTGAGGAGCTCGCAGCCAGTTCCTGTGAAGTCGAATGTCGCAGATCCATCTTCTGATATGGTGATGGATAGCTTGATCAGCGAGCCGTTGTCCATTTGGTCCTCGTACGTCAAGTGCGGACCCAACTGCTCGCGCATGGAGCGAAGATATGCCCGCACGGCGATCTCGGCATTCGACTGGATGGCTCCCATGTATAGCTGTACAACCGGAAGCGTGTACTCCTCGATCAAAGCTTGCACAAGCGTCATGCCCTTGTGATTGGCGGCGACTTGGGCCTTGAGGTCCGAGATGTTGTCACCAATGTGGCGACTAGGCGCACATCCGGGATGCTCTCCTGGCGCGAGCAGAATCTGCGTTATCCCTTCTTCGTCAAACTTCTCGCAGTGGACGAGCTTGAAAGATCGGATCGCAGCGCCCTCCTGCCACAGCTCGGTGGAGTTGGGTGGCATGGATGTTCCTCCCAGGCCGCCTATGTCAGTATGGTGGCCACGCGACGCTACATAGAAGGCGATTTCCTTGCCGGACTTCTCAAACACCGGCGTTATCACAGTGATATCGGGCAGATGGGTACCCCCGGCCTCGGGGTGATTGGCTACCAAGACGTCGCCAGGGACCAGCTGCCCCTTGTGTAGCTCATGCTGATATTTCACCGCGTAGCTCATCGACCCGAGGTGAACGGGGACATGAGGTGCGTTGGCCACCAGACCTCCTATAGCATGTCAGTTTTTGGTTATTACTCTACGAAAATCAACACGTACCGTCTGGTCCGAACAAGGCGCAGGAAAAGTCCAGTCTTTCCTTGATATTTAACGATACCGCGGTCTTCTGCAGGGCCCGGCCCATTTGTTCAGCAATGCTCATGAATCGATGTCCGAACACGGACAGCTGGATATGATCGACTGTCGTTGGGTCCTTCATAGCGACGGATGAGGGCTCTTTGACATCAATCACAACATGTGATGTGAGCACTCTGGCTTCCGCATCTGGTGCAATGACGAGGGTCTGGGTTTGATCAATAATGATTGCCGGTCCAGGTATAGCGGTATTTGGTGACAGCTTGTGCAGGAGAAAGATAGGGGTCGGAGTATTGCCAGTCCCTTGAAAATACACCTTTGTCTGTCGCTGTCAGATACATAATGTTTGGGAGAGTCTTGACTATACGCACCATTCGCTCTGCGGTATCCACGGACACCTTATGGCAATGTGAATTTCGCAGTTCCTTTCCCAGTCGGTTCCCGTCAGATGGTCCTTGACGACCCCTTGCCCCGATTCCTCTGACACGAACGTCGTCAACGAAGATCGGTCGCTCATCGGGGAACAAAAAGGCAAACTCCCGAAGATGTGCTTTCTTGAACTCCGTTTTGAAGTCTCCGTTCGGTGGTTGGAGGACCATGATGGAAGTTTCGGTGCCTTGATATCGCATGTTGAGATACATCTCGTATGAAGTATCGTTCTCCTGCATGCCCTGGTCACGGAGCTGCTGACAGACCTTGTCTCGCAGCACGGACAAGCGCTGTTCAAGCCGGCCTCGAGAGTCGTCGCTGTACGTCTCGTTCACTGGCTCTTGCGTCTCTTGCACCACGTCCGCCAGGGCCATGCCATATGCAGATAAGATGCTGGAATATTTGTGTATGATGACTGTTGAGATGCCCAGCTTACGAGCGACATCACAGGCATGTTGGCCACCAGCGCCTCCAAAGACACTGAGATTATGGTTTGCTATATGCGCTTGTCAGTGAAGGACTCTTCTCTTGCCTGGAGAGCTTACCAATATCGTATCCTTTTCCTTCGGTCAACGCTCTAATTGGCCGACACATAGCCTCGTTAGCCACGTCGAGGAATCCGCACGCCACTTCCTCGGGCGTCATCGATTTCTCCGTCTCGGCGTTTATCGTTGCTGTCAGGGAGATGAACTTCTGTTTCACAACCTCCGTATCGAGCGGTTGGTCTTCATTCTCCCCAAAGATATGTGGAAAGAACTCTGGGAGCAGCCGTCCAAGGAAGAGGTTCGCATCCGTCACGGTCAATGGGCCTCCCTTTCGGTAACAAGCTGGACCAGGGTGTGATGAGGCACTCTCGGGGCCGACAGTAAAGAGGCCGTTCCTCCAGGCCAGGATAGATCCTCCGCCTGCAGCGACTGTGTTGATATCGAGCTGCGGGCTCTGGATAGTCACTCCCGCAGTAACGCTCTCAAATACGTGCTCCAGATGGCCCCCATAACGTGAGACATCTGTGGATGTACCTCCCATGTCGAATCCGACTACTGGGGTTTGAGACTCTCCGTCGTAGGAAGTGTTTGCATAACCGACAACGCCACCTGTCTCGTTAGCAGTGCGCTTCATAGATGACAGTTCCGAGGGAGAACTACCTGCAGGTCCACTCAAGATGCCACGGAGACCGCTAAACGAGTGGTGGTTAACAAGACCCCCATCAGACTGCATAAAATCACACCGCACGCCATCGAGATTTCCACCTTCAAACCCCTTTGAGAAGCCCGTGAGATACTTCTTGATTTCCGGGGTTAAGTAGGCATCTGCTGAAGCGGAGCTTCCTCGCGGCACCATCTTAATCATGTTGGCAGCCACAGACGAAGACAGGGAAACATGTGTGAACCCTTCCTCCATCGCAATATGGTACACGCGATTCTCGTGGTCGGGGAAGATGTACGAGTGCACGAAGCATACCGCGAGCGTGTCGATCCCAATCCCACGCAATTCTCGTAGAGTATGGCGAACTTGTTCCTCGTCCAGAGGCTTCAATATTCGTACCATGTCTCCGCTGATCCCGCGCACCAAGACTCCGGGGGTCTCTTTCTCGCACGCGAAAAGCCTGTCAATGTCTTCGTCAAAGCCTTCGATGGTTACCCGCGCGTCGACTTCACGCACTTCATCATACATCACGTCTGGCTTGACGATGTTCAGATCAAACAGCCGAGGTCGAGACTGATACCCAATTCTTAGCAGGTCGCGGAAGCCTTTCGTTACGAGAAACGCATGTCGCGTTCCCTTGCGCTCAAGTAATGCATTCGTCGCGACAGTCGTTCCCATCCGGATGAATTCAAGGTCCGTCTTGGGAAGAGGTTGTCCGCGGGGTAACTCCCTGCCATAGTAGAGCGATAGTACTCTCCGGATTCCTACAAAGTCAGTCCCATTGTGTCTCATGAGGGCTGGGTGGGTTGACTGACCTTCTGTAGGTGCATCGTCATAGTTGGCCGGATCGACCGAAAGAAGTTTGAGCACGATATCTGGTTGACCGGGGAGACTGGCCCAGACATCCGTAAAGGTGCCTCCTCTGTCTGAGCAGATATTGATCAGAATAAGTCCGACAGACAATCACCCTAAGAGTGCCTTCTCACCGATTGCGATCTTAATCTTGCCTGAAGGGGACTTCATCCTAACTCGTGTAACTTGTCAATGCTGAGCCATGGTCTACCAGGGCACAGTAGCGTTCTTATAGATCGTCTGGACGAAGCTATCATTTGCGACAATTAATGAAAGCCTGCTATCTCAGTACTATGTCTCCATAATACGGAAGGTCGACACGACCATCCCCAGTCGCTGTGGTCGAGACCCTAGTGGATTCCTGCGGTATACCTTGACATTTCCCACTTAACTACTTGGTGTAACATCAAGGCAGGTCGATACGATGTGAGCCACTCTCAACATGTCTGGTCAGGATCATTAGCGCTGGTCTTCATTCGCCGATAAAGAAATCGGCATTATTAGAACCTTTAGCGCCACTCGTCGTATCGACCATCTCTTTTCAACAGCGCCGGCCTTAGTGCCATTGCTAACCTTATCCCCGCAAACCCTATCGAGGCACGCGAACTGCCGTTAATGGCCCCGACAAGCAGGAGAAGGTCCATCCGAGTACGGCCTCTGCTCTTGTGGTTGATTAGCTTGAACCGCATTGAGGACTTATCTTTCAAGAAGTGTGATAATGGCTAGGCAATTGGACATAAATGGTCGCATTTCCAGCCATACTCTCTCTCGGTATATCGCTCTCACCTCAGAACACTGAAGAACGCTCCGACTTTATATTCGTGTCATTAACAACACCATCAGTTAGCTGCCATGACGGACTCGAAGGAGATTACCGCAGAGGCTCCGGGACACGCACCCCCCGAGAAAACCGCTATCCCTAAGGCCATGGATCAGGCTGCTGCATATCTTGCACAAACTGCAGCGTATGAACCCATGACGCCTGAAATCGAAAGGAAGATTATCCGCAAGTTGGATTGGATACTTGTTCCTATGGTGTGACAACCTTGGCCAGGCGTTTCTAGATGCTAACGGCTCGCAGCTGTTCTTGACGGCTACTTTAGGCGCAGTGGATAAGGTGGCCATCAGTACGGCGGCCATCTATGGGCTCAAAGATGGTACCAGCCGCTGTACCCTGCGAGGCTTGATCTGTGCTCACGCTTATAGACCTTCATCTCGTCGGTCAGCAATATTCCTGGGCAGGATCAATCCTGTCCATTGGTGTACGGGACAGTTCTCAAGCCCCGTCGGAGTATCACTGACGTGGAGTACAGGCTATTGTCGGCATGTGGCCTTCATCCTATCTAGTCCAGCGACTACCCTCTGCCAAATATCTTGCCTCGTGCGCTTTCGGCTGGTCGGTCATGGCCCTCTTGATTGCGGCATGTCGAAGCTGGAGTGGACTGATGGCGCTGCGGTTCTTCATGGGTATAAGTCACTCATCTATCTGTACTTACATATACTGATGACAGTGAGGATAGGGTGTCTCGAAGCGATTATCGTCCCATCTGTGACGCTCATCGTTGCTGGGTTTTACAAAAAGGCGGAACAACCTCCCAGGAATGCCATTGTTCTTGCTGCTGTCAGCTCTGTAATTAATGGCTTTCTCTCCTGGGCGGTTGGCCATATCCCTGATACAGCCCCGCTGGCTATCTGGCAGTATCTCTATCTGATTGTCGGTATGTGGAACACCTCGCTCGAGTGACGCACCCATACTGATTGTGCAGGAACTATATCTATCTCCTGGGCCATTGTCGCATTCATATTTCTTCCAGACTCTCCCATGAATGCTAGATTCCTGACAGACCAGGAGAAATACTATGCAGTGCAGCGTGTGGCAGAGAACAAGACCGGCATTGTCAACAAGCAGTGGAAGCCCGATCAGGCCTTGGAGGCGGTTATGGATCCCAAGACCTGGACTCTTTTTCTCTTCAACATTGCTATCAATATTCCCAACGGAGGTATGCACCGTGTCCCTAGGACAGTTTGCCCCGCTGACAACTCAGGTCTCACCACGTTCAGCGGCATCATCATTAACAACCTAGGCTTCTCCCCCGTTACTACATCCCTCCTGAACATGCCCACGGGGATCATGTCAACCCTCTCTGCCTTTGGTTTCTCGTGGTTGGCTGCGCGATGGACGAACCGCCGTTGCCTTGTTACTATGATCGCAGCGTGTCTGCCGATCATCGGGTCTGTGGTAGTATACACGCTCCCGCGGACGAATATCGCAGGGCAGATGGTCGGAATATACCTGGTAGGCTATCAGTATGCCCGTGTAGATCGCCTACTAATATGTTCGATAGCTGTATACCTACTTCGGGCCGTACGTCGTCGGTAAGTAGTCCACCCCGTTGATAACCCTTCGCAGCTCATGGCGCAGGCATCTCCATGGGCCAGGCAAATACCGCCGGACATACGAAGAAGAACGTCCAGTACTCTATTCTTTACATCGGGTATGCCGTGGGTAAGTGACCCTCATTGGTTTCTTCCGAGTCAATCTAAGCAATGGTCTTGTAGGAAACCTTATCGGCCCACAGACCTTCCGCGCGAACCAAGCCCCAGCATACACGGGCGGATTCATCGCAATGCTGGTGTCGTACTGCGCCTGCGTGGGCCTGATAGCGGTCTACTGGGCTATCGTCGCGCGGTACAACCGTCGACTTGACGGGCTCGATCCGGAGACGGGGGCTTCGAGTGAGGATCTGACAGAAGCTTTTGCAGATCAGACGGACTTTCAGCAGAGAAACTTTAGATATACCACTTGACCCCTCCCAGAGGGTCCTGTATGTAGTACGGCACTGCAGTGAATAACGATAGGTTTATGGATTCATGCTCCCACAATAGTCACAACTGGCATCATCCAGCTCTAGTAGAGGTAAATACCTATTGCGTGTAACCAGACGTAGACCAAGGCCACAGATAGGGTACCATAGGGTTAAGGGGGATGTCCGAGATGATAAGCTTCCCCGCATTATCCCGATCTGCTCTCAACCATCTTAAGCACAACTGCAGTCATAGGGGATCAAATCACCTCCAGGTATCCATGCCATCAGAACAACGCACGAAGCGAGAAAACCGTCGCCGGACAGGCTGCTTCCAATGCAAAGGCACGTACAAGGGTGAATCCCGGAGGCGATTGCACTGACACGTCCGCCCAGAGAAACATGTCCAGTGCACCGAGGAGCAGCCGCGATGTCGGCGGTGCGAGAGGCTCAATCTAGACTGTCAGCGGGGGCTGCGACTGGTATTCCGCGAGGATGCAATGCAGCGCGGAATCAGCTTTGGTCGGAAAGGTATGACTGCGTGTCAATGACGAGCAGTAGCTGATTTGATGGATAGGACGGTGGTCAAAGAGGAATACAGGAACAGGATGTAATGATGCCATCTCGATTCCTGACACTGTGGAAGCATTCTGCAGCGTCCCTCTCGATGACTATATCGGTCGATGGGTGTTTCTCAATTCGAGCAGTCGTGACTTCGCTAAGGACTCTGGAACATACCCACACGCAGTCCCTAGTGAGGTGTCCACCACGACGATACCCGCACAAGATGAAGACCTGTCCTTGGTACCGACCAGTCTCGGACACCCCCTCGCCACATACTCAGCAGTCGAACAATATCTCCTCAACTACTTCATCGAAGGGATCGGTCCGTCCTGCTCCCTCAGCCCCCTCGCCAATCCCTATATCTCGCACATAACGCCTCTCGCATTCGAAGACGACACCCTCCGATGCGCCCTGCTCGCCGTCGCAGGAAACCAGCGACGTTTACTGGGCGACACCCGGTTCCAGCGCGAGACCCTGTTATACAAGAACAGGGCGTTGGCGGGTCTGCAGCGCTGCATCGCGCAGGGGGTGGTTGACGACGGGCCTACCGCCACGATCCTCATGCTGTGCTTCCACGATGTAACCCGTCCTTTTGTCTAGAACGGTGGTGTCCCCGTGCTGATAGCAATGCAGATCTCGGATGAATGCGACCCCTCCTGGGTCACGCACCTGCAGGCCGGTCTGGAGCTGGTGTATCGACGTCCTGCGGGGAGCGTTGGCAGCGAGACCCTGCGCCGGTTCTTTGCGATGTATTTTGTCGCGCACGATATTATGAGTCGCACGGCGTCTGGGGTGCGGGAGCGACGGGATGGTTCGTATATCTGGACGGAGGTGGAGGATATAGACGAGGTAGAGGGCTCCGACGTGTTAGGGACTGCTATGCTGACCACTCGCAGATCGATATGGTCATGGGCTGCTCGCGCCGTCTCATGGCCTTGATCGACGAGATATCGAATCTAACTGATACATCCGACTACTACCAAAGCATCGGTGACATCTCAACCGCGCTCTGCACCCTCACGCAAACCCTCCCCGCCCATTCCAGCCATAGAGCAGACGTGGCTCAAATCGCCGAGACGAAACGCCTGGCCGCGTTGCTGTACCTCATCGAACGGGCCAGTCGGCGTGTGCCTCCCCCAAACGGCGCAGGCTCGCCGTTGGATAAGCTGAACAAGCATCACATCGTCACTGCCCTGATCAAAATGCTGTCCACCCTCCCAGACGCAGCCACCCTGCTCTGGCCGCTGTATATCCTCGGCAATGCCGGTCTCGAGAACGAAGAGCACCGCCGCTTCATCCTCGACCGGCTCCATCGCATGCAACGCACGCGCAATCTCGGCAGTGTGCGACGGGCCCGGAAGGCGGTTAAGCGGGCGTTTCAGCTGAGGGATCTGGATCATGGACGGAGGTGGGGGGTTGATGGTGTTGAATTTATTAGTTTAGCCTGAGTGATACTATTAGTGGTATCTATCCTAATATTCCGTATGTTCCTTACGCCCGCATAGCTCCATTAGATATTAAATGAGACATCCAGCAAGACCACATTCCAAGCGTCATCCTAGATTGCTAGTTCATTATATACACAACCTGATCACGGGACCCAAATCCAGCTATCCATCCTCGCGACAGCAATGTTTCTTACGAACGAGCAGGGGCTCCGGCGTTTCCGAGACGACGGCTCCTAGTCGAGGTTAGTCACACTGTTGTATCAGGTTACAGTCGCAACGCAACTCACATCATAGTCCGGCTGAAAAAGCTGATGCCGATCATGAAGACCCAGCTGGGAATGGCGCCAAAAGCGTAGATGACATAGCCGGCAGGGATGAGGAGGCCGTTCTGCGCCAGGAAGCCGTCCGTGGGGTGGAAGGCGCCCTCGTAGGCGGGCTTCTGCTCGTAGGTCTTCTCGGAGTGGACCTTGTAGATGGTCTCGGGGGTCACGGTGGTGGAGTTGATGTAGACGGTGTGGAGAGCGGTCGCGGGACGCGCCTCGTCGGGCTGGGCCTGGGGAACCTGGAAGTACCAGACGGCGGGGGCGCCGGCGGACCAGGCGGAGCAGAGCACCTGGTTGTCTTCGCAGTTGAGGTAGCCGAGGTTGGGGGAGGTGGGATCGGCCGAGAACAGGCGGACGGATTCCTGGGAGAGTGGTGTTAGCTGCGTACTAGCTGGCGTATGGGGTAAATAAAGTACGCACATTGAACGACTTCTCGGCACGACCACAGCGTCCGAAACACGTCTTGTTGCCTCCGGTAACAAATACCAGCCAGTCCTGAGGCTCGGCGGAGGGCTCCAGGATGGACTGGTAGTTGGTCAGGTTGAAGGGGGTGACGGTCTTCTCATGGAGGACCTTCTTCGGCTCGACGATCTTCTCGACGGCGGGGATGACCGGGGTGGCGGTCGGCAGATAGGACTTGGCCTTGTTGAACCAACCCTGAACGCGATCGGCGAGGGGGACCTGCTCTTGCGCCGCAGCGAGCGCGGGAAGAAGGGGGAGGAGATGGATGAAGCGCATGATGCTGGGAGAACGCGACAGTCAGCCACGGGACGGGGTCAACAGTCAGGAGCATCGAAGGAATGACATACCTGGATAGATTGAGACGCGAAGAGATCGCACTTTGGAAGGAATTGAAACAGGAGACGGAAGGCCAAAGTACGGACAGCAGGCAGCGAGGAAGACGGGGCACCTGGGATGTGGTTGAGGTGAGAGTGAGAGAGCGCCACGATCGATTTATCCGCTGCACGACAGGTGGCCTAACCGCTGGCGAATCATCTGCCTGGTAGGGGGGATTACTCTTCCACTATCAACTGGTCAATTAGTATAGATTATATTCATTATGTTTCTCTTGATTATACATTATAAGTCCAATTCATATATACACTATTATACTATAGAGTCCTTGATTTATTCTAGTGGTGGTGTTTGTTTACACTTCTGATTATGTCATCATTCATTGCCATCTATGCAACTATTGTGTATACAGGTCACCATCTATTCCATTATTCTTCATATAGTCTATACAACAATGATTAAAACATCTCAACAAGTATTTAAATACTTTTGAATTGATCTTAAATTCCATCCAACTATGTCGAATGATCCTTCCACATCCACTCAGTTCACCTCACTCTTTCCTTATACAAGTCCTCACTTCCTCATCTCCACAATGTACTCTACTCTGTGCCATCATAAACGTCTCCCACATCAACATCTACCTCACTGTATAACATAGTCTCCTACACGCATCTCACTTCGCATCCATCAACTATGCAGTCTTCAATCCTCATCTTGACCACCCTTCTCAGTCACCTCTGGGCGATTCCCGTCCCCCTAAGCGCCGACATGGCATCTCGCGGTAAGCACTCTCTGTTCAAGCTGGACCATTCCCTAATGCACCGCGATGAAGAACTTCTTCCCCCCAATCCCAGCAACACGATGCCTTCGCACACCGGCAAGACGTCTCCGGGAGAGTTCCCCATGTGCACCGAGGAGAATACCCCCTTCCCGCCATTCTGTCTGCCGCACCATGGAGCCGACGTGACGGTGGACGCCACCTACTATGTTACCTGGAACGCCGACTTCTACCCGGCGAATGCGAAAATCACCATCGAGTTGCGATACGCAAACTCGACGCAGGGCGATTCGGCCTTCACCTCGGGGCAAACCGTCAACAGCTACGGATATCTACCGGTGCACATGCAGAGCGACTGGCTCCAAGGGAAACCCCAGAATGCACTGACGCTGTATATCATCGAGCTCGAACCCACCTCCGACCAGCGGGCGAGTGCGCGACAGGGCCCGACCATCATGCTGCACCCCAAAGCCGTGGAGCACTACCAGCCTCCGCCGCCGCTGCCCATGAACAAGTTGGCGCTGTACGTGGGGCTTCCACTCAGCCTGGCGGTAGTGGTCCTCGTGGTGGCAGGTCTCTTCTTCGGCATGCGCGACAGCCGACGGGTCGCTCTGGGAAATGTCATGGGGTCCCGACGGTTGGGAAAGTTGACGCATCGGCGTCGGGACAGCCGCGAAAAGCTCCTAAGAGGCTCGCACGATCTTCTCCGAAAATATACGGGCGATCATGAGTCGACGGGGTCGGATGACATGTCTGAGATTGAGCGGACGGCGAGCTACGCCTTTAAGCTGGATCCGTCGAAGCTGAAGAGTTGGAAGGCGTGACGCTGCATGACTACTGTAAAGTGTCACTACAGCGTGTGTTGAAGGTGGGTATCTGAAACGGCTACTGGGATGGTGTTATGGTTGGTATAGGTAGGGAATATGTTTTATAGAAAGCAGAGACCAATGAGAGGGAAGAGACGGGCACAAAGCGGTGTCGGAGCAGAATGGACCAATTATTAATGCGACCCCCGGGATTAGCAGACGAATACAGCTTATCGCCTCCTACAGGGGGCCGATGTCGGGTGCAGCCCGTAGACCCCATAGGCAACGGCCGGTTCCGTACGGAGTACGTAGTACTATAGGGAAGAGAACTTGAATGTGCATGTGTAAACAACATAATTGAATAAATTTTAATAAAAAACCTATAATATACGAAGCAAAAAGAAAGGGAAAAGGAGCAGTGGCAAATGACAGAGACACTCTCATAGGATCTGGGGGAAACTCGGGATATGCAGACTACAAAGTACCCCGTATGCACAAACAGTACTAACTAGTACTAGTGACCCTAAACCAAGAGCGTTAGAGGATTTCCCCACTGAAATTTCTGTCTTTTTGCCGCCCAAACAGCAATGATGATGCTGGTGATGACTGATCCGCCCGCTGACCGCCCACCACCACCACCCACTTTTTTTCTTTTCCGGCCGATGACTCTTCCCTCTCCCTCTCAATTCCTCCTCCATCATAAACTCCCAGACATAGAACAACCCTAACTAACTAGACATTCCTCGTCTGACTCATTGTACGTCCTATATATCCCGTTCAGTTCTTCCCCCCTACTCCAGTTCCTCTTCTAACTTCCATTCCCCAATCTAGTCCCCCTCTATACATTTCTTCAATTTACCCCGCTGTCCCTCTCCCACCATGTGTCCCGGTGCAGACAACGAGCCCAATGGGCACTCGAATGGCGCCAACGGTACCGGTATGGCCTCGTCTACTCCCTTTCTCTGCGTAACATCTCTCCTAACTCCCCCAGGTGAACACCCCGGATTCACCGCCGTCGAGACCCGCCAGAACCCTCATCCCTCCCTCTCCCGGAACCCGTACGGCCACAACGTCGGCGTGACCGACTTCCTCAGCAATGTCTCTCGCTTCAAGATCATTGAGAGTACCCTGCGTGAGGGTGAGCAGTTCGCCAACGCTTTCTTCGACACCGAGAAGAAGATTGAGATCGCCAAGGCTCTGGACGAGTTTGGTGTTGACTACGTGAGTCATTCGACCGACGATCTTGGCACCATACCATACCCCATACTAAACTATCTATCCCATCTAGATTGAACTCACGAGTCCCTGCGCCTCCGAGCAGTCGAGAAAGGACTGCGAGGCCATCTGCAAGCTCGGCCTCAAGGCCAAGGTGCGTCGGGTGCCTCCCGAGTAGCGTCCATCTTGACTCCGCGCTAACGTCATCCTAGATCCTTACCCACATCCGCTGCCACATGGACGATGCTCGGATTGCTGTCGAGACTGGTGTCGACGGAGTGTAAGCTCTCTACTGTCAATTCCCCCCCACGAGTCATTTCTGATCTCTCCCAGTGACGTTGTCATTGGAACGTCGTCCTACCTTCGGGAGCACTCCCACGGCAAGGACATGACCTACATCAAGAACACCGCCATCGAAGTCATCGAATTCGTCAAGTCCAAGGGCATTGAGATCCGTTTCTCCTCCGAGGACTCCTTCCGGTCCGACTTGGTCGACCTGCTGTCGATCTACTCCGCTGTCGACAAGGTCGGCGTGAACCGGGTGGGTATTGCCGACACCGTTGGTTGCGCCTCTCCCCGTCAGGTCTACGAGCTGGTCCGTGTGCTCCGGGGTGTCGTCGGCTGTGACATCGAGACTCACTTCCACAACGACACCGGCTGCGCCATTGCCAACGCGTACTGTGCCCTGGAGGCCGGTGCCACCCACATTGATACCTCCGTCCTCGGTATCGGTGAGCGGAACGGTATCACCCCTCTCGGCGGTCTGATGGCCCGCATGATGGTCGCCGACCCCGAGTACGTCAAGAGCAAGTACAAGCTCGAGAAGATCAAGGACATTGAGGACCTCGTCGCCGAGGCCGTCGAGGTCAACATCCCCTTCAACAACTACATCACCGGGTTCTGTGCCTTCACCCACAAGGCCGGTATCCACGCCAAGGCCATCCTCAACAACCCCAGCACCTACGAGATCATCAACCCCGCTGATTTCGGTATGACGAGATATGTGCACTTTGCCTCCCGCCTGACGGGCTGGAACGCCATCAAGTCTCGTGCGCAGCAGCTCAAGATCGAGATGACCGACACGCAGTACAAGGAGTGCACGGCCAAGATCAAGGCGCTGGCGGACATCCGGCCGATTGCCGTGGACGATGCCGACAGCATCATCCGTGCCTACTACCGGAACCTCAAGTCGGGCGAGAACAAGCCCCTGATGGATCTCACGGCAGAGGAGCAGGCCCAGTTTGCGGCCAAGGAGAAGGAGCTGGCTGCTCAAGGAAACGGCGTGATCGGTTAGACACCTGTCACTTGTCTTTCTTGATGTGCTCTCAGTTGCTTTACCCTCGTCCTTTCCTGTTGGATACAGTGTTCGATGTTTGCTCATAGCCCTGGTCATTTTTCCTGAGCGGCTGCCGCAGGAAAACGCGAATTGGCTTTTTTTTCTTCATGATTTGATGTTGTTGTTTTTTTCTTTCATGTGTCTGGGATCATGTGTTTTTATGGGGGTTTTAAAAAGTCTTTTTGTCCCCGACGACAGTAAGAAAGGGGAGACTGGTGTTTGGAGAGCGACGGTCCTCAGGGACCCTGTATATAGGCCAGTCTTGGGCCGGCTGCATTTCATATGACATCCATTGGAGATATTCCAGAATATGTTTGGTATTGGCAGTAGTCGTAGGTATAAGGCAGTATGGTGGAAGGGTAGGTATATCTCTACTCCGATTTAATTCGGAAGTACGAAGTATACTATGCACGAAGTATTAGCTACTAGAATCGGGTACGGTTCAACCTGTTGCCCCGACACGCGGACATGTGGATGAAGCCGAGGCTGCGAGCCCGTCCGCGGACTCCGCCCTTTCCCTTTTCATCCACGGACTTTTACCCCATCAACTTCGTCATTCGGCCCACTCCATCCTCCTCCTTCTCCTTCTTCACCTTCTTCACGTCTTCTCTCGACCTCCCAAGTCATCATCATGGCTTCCTCTCTCCTCCCCGTCGCCCTGCAGAATAAACTGCTGGGCTATAGTCGATCCCCCAATGCGCAACTCGCCGCCTTGAATCTGGAACTGTAAGTGGCCGATCATGATGCCACTCCCCACCCAGTAGCTGTCAACCATACTTGGGTCCCTGAGCTCTAACGTCAATTCTCTGAGGTACTAGGCTCCGGAACATTGTCTTCTTTCTGTTTATCTTCCGCTACGTCCGCAAAACGTTCTACTCGCTGCGTGGTTATGGCCTCTTCGGCAGTCTCCGGAATGTCTACGCCGCCGTCCGTCTCTTCTGCTATTCCATCTTCTTGCGCCTCCCCGGAGTCCGTGGCCAAGTCGACAAACAAGTGTCGTCCGCAATTGAAAACCTAGAAAATAAACTCGTCCAGAGTGGCCCCGGCGTCAACAGATATTTGACCCTTCCCAAGGAAGGATGGACCGCCGAGCAGATTCGCGCCGAGCTCGACAAGTTGGCCAACTTGGAGCATACGCGCTGGGAAGATGGCCGAGTCAGCGGTGCCGTGTATCACGGAGGTCAGGATCTCTTGAAGCTCCAGACCGAGGCGTTTGGTCAGTTTGGTGTCGCGAACCCGATCCATCCCGATGTCTTCCCGGGCGTACGCAAGATGGAAGCGGAGGTTGTGGCGATGGTGTGTGATCTTTTTCAGCGCGCATATGCACTTCGTGAACACTAACCGACGACTCAAGGTTCTGGCTTTGTTCAATGGCCCCTCCGATGGTGCCGGAGTGACAACTAGCGGTGGCACCGAGTCGATTCTGATGGCTTGCTTGGGCGCTCGCAACAAGGCGTATGCTGAGCGTGGCGTCACCGAGCCGGAAATGTACGTTTGCTGTCTCCTTTGTCCTAATTGCTTCTAACTTGGATAGGATCATCCCGGATACGGCCCATGCCGCTTTCTACAAGGCGTCCAACTACTTTGGAATCAAGCTCCACCGCGTCCCTTGTCCGGCTCCCGAATACAAGGTCGATGTCCCCGCGGTCCGTCGCCTGATTAACTCGAACACGGTTCTTCTCGTCGGCTCCGCGCCCAACTTCCCCCACGGTATTGTGGACGATATCCCGGCGTTGTCCCGCCTTGCGACCATGTACAAGATCCCGCTCCACGTGGATTGCTGCTTGGGATCCTTCGTCATTGCTTTCCTCAAGAAGGCCGGCTTCCCGTCGCCCTACGAAGAGGAGGGTGGCTTTGACTTCCGCCTTCCGGGTGTGACCAGCATCAGTGTGGATACCCACAAGTATGGCTTCGCCCCCAAAGGCAACTCGGTCGTTCTGTACCGCAGCCGTGCCTATCGCAGCTATCAGTACTTCATCTACCCCGATTGGTCTGGCGGTGTCTACGCGTCTCCGTCGGTCGCCGGTTCGCGCCCTGGTGCGCTGATCGCCGGCTGCTGGGCTAGCTTGATGAATGTCGGCGAAGCTGGTTACATCAACAGCTGTCTGGAGATTGTGGGTGCCGCGAAGAAGTTTGAACTTTCGATCCGCGAGCATCCGGTGCTTTCCAAGAACCTCGGGGTGGTCGGCAAGCCCATGGTCAGCGTGGTTGCATTTGAGAGCACGAACCCCGGCGTGGATACCTACGACCTGGCGGACGGACTGTCTGCCAAGGGCTGGCATCTGAACGCTCTGCAATCGCCCCCCGCCATCCACGTGGCGTTCACTCTGCCGACGGCCGCGGCGGTTGACAAGCTCACGGCAGACTTGGTCGAGGTGCTTGAGAAGGAGTTGGCCAAGGCCGAGGAGAGAAAGCGCCAGGGCAAGTCCTATGTTATCAAGCGCGGAGACACGGCCGCTTTGTACGGTGTGGCCGGCAGCATGCCGGACAAGAGCGTCGTCAGTCGGCTGGCAGAGGGCTTCCTCGACACCCTGTACAAAGCATAGACGGGATTCCCTACCTTATAATTTTATGTTTATTCATAGCCGGAGACCGAGCCGTTGGCGCGCTCCCGTTCATTATTCATACCATACACGACCTTTGGGGAGGCGGTGTTTCTGGCGTTTCGGGACAATCGCATGAGTGTGCCATTCCTATGTACAGTCTTTCCTTGACCGCGCAGCGATTGAAATGTGATCTTTGAAGTCATCAATTCCCAGTCCTAGTAAAACATGACCAAAATATATCTATAGTACAAAAATTGGGATGGAACCCAACGAAGGAGCCCTGTACAAACTCTTGATCGAGAAAGACGCAGAAAACAAAATGACACCGCTTCATGCAATTTGCTGGGTATCCCAGACATTTGGTAGGTTCCCAAACCACCCAAGTAGCCGTCTCACCCGAATCAATACTCGGCCGAAGGAAAATCTTTCATCGACAGCAGCGGACCAACCAGTCCATATCTAGTATCCCCTCTTCTCCTTCCATTCAGTGCCAGACTTCTGCTCAATGTAATAGCCCGGATCCGGCTTCCGCTCCAGATGCACCTCTTGCTTCGTTAACCGCCGATCCACCTCCTGGACGTCGACGAGCTCCTTGACGCGCATGATTTGACCGGCAACGGAGGGCGACACGGGGTGGAAGACGGTGGCCATGCGCTTCTTCAGACCCAGGGCTTTGAGCACGTCGGTCGTTCGCCGGGGGAGACCGATCGCGGAGCGGAGGAGTGTGATGCGGAAGTAGCTCATTTTGAGGTGTATTTTTGCGGTGACGTGGTGAGGTGAGGGTTCGATATTGTTGAAGGTGCGGACAGACGGATGGATGGATATATGGAGATTCGCGGCCGTCGAGAGTTGGTCAATTCGGATATATGGAATCGGTGATTAGGAGGAGATGCGACAATACCCCGGAATGAATGGGATTGTCGGCTGGTGGTATCAATCGTCGTCGCCGGATTGCGGGTGTTGGAGTCGCCGACGGGAATTTTGAAGGTTCTCTTGATTGGGATGTAGCCGCTAGTCCGTGTTGGGATGAGCTTGGGTGCCGGATTGTGTAGGCGTATTTTTGGTCGTCTGAATATCACTGGTCGGGTGGCCTAATGGTAAGGCATCGGTTTCCGGTACCGGGGATTGCGGGTTCGAGTCCCGTCTCGATCGTTTTTTGTTTTTGCGCGCTCTCAACCAAGAACATGAGCAGGAGATGTATGTGTGCGTTGTTTGCTGGCGGATTGGGTCTGTCTGCGACGGTAGTAAGTGAGTGAGTCATAGTAAACGTGCGTCATGCCTTTTCAGCTGTGTCCTGCAACTACCTAGGCATGGCCGAGAATCTCTGCAGGATATGACTCGCTTCTGCTATGGGAGAGTGGCAAGCAAGGCCCTTAACATCGTTTCAGCAATTCCTCTTGATAACAACGACGATATCAAAAATATCTACGAAGGGAGTAAAGTAAGTACTAGGAGGTACTTACTTACTTACTCTCCGCCCAAACGACATGACATATCTCTGTCGAGTATACCAAAAAACGATCGAGACGGGACTCGAACCCGCAATCCCCGGTACCGGAAACCGATGCCTTACCATTAGGCCACCCGACCATCACTATTGGCTGAGTAACTGAACAATGTTATATGATACTATTTGAATGAGGTAATTGATCATATCACATTCAGCCTTGTATTGTTAACTGTGGTTCATTCTCTTTGCTCCGGTGCAATAAATATTCGGCATATATTCGTCCAGACGCGCTGTTTGCAATAGCTTACACAAATAGTCAACCTAGGGGTACTGATATGTGTGTCAGTCCTGGTGGTCCAGATATATATCTTGTGTCTATCTTAGTCTTCCAACATAGTACACTCTTGCCATACGGAAAACAAACTGCAAACATAAAGCCTGCATATAAACAGTAAATATCGCACACCGATGGGAACATGTCAGTTAGGAAGTATCTATATTCGAATATCAACAACGGTATGACCCCAGAGGCGGAGTGTCACGTGGAGCGACATTCTGCCGGGGTAGGACGGACTGGGGAAGACCAAGTTAGGTGAAGCATGCGCCACGATACTCCCACCGAGACATGTATACACTTACACACTGAACAGTCCCATTACCCATTGGACAGTACACCCCTCAAGCGCTGTGCGCAGAGAGGGTAGCGACAAAACCCCCCGAGAAACCCATCCCTTGATATCCGACCCTCCGCCCTCGATACCGTCCTACCCCAACCGTCCTATCCACCGTGCACCCTACAGACAGCTCATGACTGAACCATGGCACGCGGAACAGACCCCGACGCGACGGTGGCCATGCCCCGACTGGAAGACGTTTTGCGGCATCCGGAAGACCTGGACAAGATCTCCGCGTTAAAGGCGGAATACCTGCGCAAGAAGGCGGCGGTGGACTCGCAGCTCCGCGAAGGGCTGCGCGACCAGCTCGAGACGGTGCAGCGCAGCATCAACGCGCTGACGGAGGGCCAGCGGCAGGTGTCCAAGACGAAAGACGAGCTGCAGGGGATCGACAAGCTGTGCGCGGAGTCGCAGACGAGCGTGGACGACTTCTCGCAGATCGACAAGCTGGCCAAGGTGCAGCGCAACTTCGAGGCGACGCTGACGATGAAAAGCGGGCTGGAGAACTTCGCCGACGACCTGGCCGAGGTCGAGGAGCTGCTGCGCCAGGACGACGACGACATCGAGAACCAGCCGAACCTGCTGCGGGCGCATATGCAGATCTCGCGGCTGCGGGATTTCCGCGACGAGGCGATGGATCAGATCCGCAAGGCGGGCGACGAGAGCAGCGAGGCGACGCTCGAGGAGTACTTTGAGCGGCTGGACTCGGTGGTTGACTGGTTTGATGATCATCTGGGTACGGCGTGCATGAATCTCATCCCGCTGGTGCAGACGGATAATCGAAGCATGGTGGTGCGTCTGGGCGTGGTGGTTATGAGCGAGGAGAAGAATGATGAAAAGGTGCGGGCGTTGCAGGAGGCGCAGAAGGACCACCAGGACCTGGCCGGACGGTTCAAGTCTATGAATGTGGGCCCCAAGACCGTCCGCGGATACAAGGAGAAGTTCCTGCAGGCGATCGAGTTCTACGCGCAGAACCAGTTCGACAACACCAAGGAGGACTTCCTCGGCGACCCGGACAACCTGGAGAAGAGCTTTCGGTGGTTCTTCAACGATCTCTACACGGTCCAGCAGGGCATGCAGTCGCTGCTGCCGAAGAAGTGGAAGATCTACAAGACGTATACCGAGATCTATCATCGCATGATGCATGATTTCCTGGTGGGCCTGATTGACGACCCGGAACTGCCGGCGGATAACCTGCTGGCGATTCTGCACTGGAGCGAGAAGTACTACAAGAAGATGAACAAGCTGGGCTGGAAGCAGACGGAGCTCCGACCGAATATCCTCGACGACCGTGAGCCCGAGCTCATCCGTCAATGGCAGAGCGTGATCATCAAAGCCGTGGACGAATGGATGGACCGGATCATCGACACGGACAAGAAAGGCCTGGTGGAGCGCATTCCCGATTCCCTGGACACCAACGCCGAAGGATACTTCCGGACCAAGACGCTCCCCGATATGTGGCGCATGCTGCACGAACAGGTGGTGGCCTCGGGGGCGTCCTCGCGGACCGACCTGGTGGAGGGCATCATCGACTCGATGTTCCGCGTGCTGAAGGCCCGGCAGACTGCCTGGCAGACGCTCATCGAGGAGGAGTGTGCCAAATACAAGGTGCCCGGAGGGGATCAGCTGGACGGGCTGCAGCTGTTGCAGGACTGGCTGATTGCGGTGGCCAACGACCAGATCGCCTGCATCGACGACAACGACGAGACGGGCCAGATGGGGTACCTCACGCGGTTCAAGCGCGACTTCGAGCAGTTTGTCGACCCGAAGTATATGGCGTCGCGGGGCAACCCGGAGCTGGAGGCGCTGCGCGACGGATACGTGGACTTGAGCACGTACTGTCTGGCGCAGTTCGTGGAGGTGATCTTCACGGTCGATCTCCGGACCACGATCCCCGACTTCTTCACGCCGAAGTGGTACGGCGATTTTGCGGTCAAGCGAATCACGTCGACGTTCGAAGACTACATGTCGGACTACGCGCCGGTGCTGCACCCGTCGCTGACGGACATCCTGGTGGAAGAGCTTTCCGACGAATTGCTGGTGCGGTATCTGTCGTCTGTTCGCAACCGTGGGGTGAAGTTCCGGCGGCATGCGGATCCGTACACGGACAAATTCAAGGATGACGTGCTGACTGTGTTTGCCTTCTTCGAGCGATACCCGGAGTCATTTGCGGGCACGATCAAGGGCAAATGGCGGTTGGTCGACTGGCTGGTGCGGCTGCTGGACGCCGACAAGGGCCCGGCGCTGGTGTCGGTCTACGAGGACTTTAAGACCGAGTACTGGGACCTCCAACTGACGTGGGTCGAGGCGGTCCTGCGCACACGCGACGACTTTGAGCGGAGTATGATCAGCGCGATCAAGGCCAAGGCTGCGGAGCTGTCGGTGGAACGGGGCATGGAGACGCTGATGAGTCGAGTGCAGTAGAGGAGGGCTGGCGGCGTGGATTTCAGCGTGGCGTTGGGGTTTCGCTTGATGTAGTTACCTACTACTTGGAAGTGTATACAATATCTACCTAGGTACGTTTGGACGCAGACTGTGGACGCGGACTGTGATACGTGGTCGCTCTGTTTTACTGTAGAAGACGGCATACGTGCTTTGCCACCTGTGCAGGGCTGGCCTTGTCCCTGCAGGTATTCTGCATCCGTGTGCACCCGTCGGCACCACCAACGCACTGTGCGTGCACTGTCCCCTCAGGGCATTTCGCCCAAGCCGTGTACCACCGGACGGAGTGATCGGCATTGCGAGACCCTGCCTGAGCCTAGAAGCAGTCCGTCGCACGATCAAGTCTCGTGGGATACGAGACCCATGGCAGAGCCGGATAGATAGAGCTCTGCCCCCCCGCATTCAGTGGCCCTTGTGGCCCTACATGCTGTATGTATCAGTGGGCTAGGCGTGGTCGGGAAGGCCGCCGATTAGTTCTGGGACTAGTCTGAGTCTGATGAGATGCAAGGCTGTGTACCGTCGTCATCCGGAGATTTGCTTTCACCAAAGAATTGGCGAAGAACCCAGCCTCGTTGACGAGGTACCGTTTCACCATCGAGGCTGTGCAGTGGGGGGTTTCGCCTCATATCCGCCCTCCCAGCCATTCCCACCATTCCCTGGACAAGGGATGAATGGAATGGATGATAATGGCTCAGCAGTGTCAGCACCAACATTGGGTCTTTATACAGCAGCCCTGCGTGCCTGAGGCGACCAGGAAGATACAGCCTGTATATGGACTGGATTGGATTGCCTCATGACCTGCAGATGAGGCAACGAAATGAGCGGATTTGAAAGAGGATTCAATAGACAAACTTAAATCCTTGCTTGATCCTTGCGAGAACATTCCTTCTCTTTCTTCTGCCGTTCATTCGCATTCGCATTCTAGGGGGGATGAGGGCGGACGGCTCGTATCTTGCGGTGTTCCACAGTGGACCAGCCAGCCTAGGGCATCCTTTGGAATTTTAAACGAGCCAACGAATGAGACTGGCTGGGTGCTCCGTGATTCGCGTGCATATCCATAACTTAGGGGGTATGGCTGACTAGGAGTGAGTGAGTTAGTTACTTACTAACTGTGGATGGAGTCAGAGTGTCAGATTGGTAGGCCAGCAGGGAAGAGCCTCATGTTTCAGTCTGTGATGTCTGTACCGAGGATTCCGTTATTCTGTGATTCAGTGATTCTCTTCTTCTTCTATTTCTGTATTCTGTCTAGCTATTCTCCAGCTGAATTGCCACTGAGCCACTGCACTGTGGATCAGAATGGAATATGGATGCCTTCGAATCGATATTTTTAGGGCATACCAAGACCGCCCAAGACGTGGACGATGGACGATGGACTATGAACTATGCCACAGAATGCAATGCGGCTCCCGGTTAACGGAATACAGTAGATAGGACGATAGTGTCAGGTACTCTACATCATCCCATCATAAACCCGAATAACTCACGGCGATCACGCGCGGACCGCAGAAAGTGGCGCACCGATAGTAAACTAGTCGACTCTCACCGTCCCGTCGATTTTAAGCCTCATCAGCACAGAATAAAGCGTCGTCCTACAGCCAGCCCGGTTAGTCTGTTTCCATGGATGAGTGGGATGCGGCTCAAAGTGAATTCATTCATTCATTCATTGTTTGTCATGCAGCATCATCAATAACATATGTGTCTGTTACAAACACAACATCCAGCCCCTACATAACTACTCTATACGTACCATCTCTGTCGTTTCTTCATGGTCTCTTCATGACCAACCCTAGTCCTGCATGATCTCAGATGTCCGAGTCCCCCGATATTCTCTTCCGGTCATGACAGATATGACCAAGAACCTTGACTCCATCCCTTACGATGTCTTCTATCAGGTGGCGTCCACCCTCGACTGCCATGATCTCATCCATCTCAGTCGAGTCAATCGTGCCCTGCACAGTCTCACCCGCAGCGAGTCCATTGCGCGCAAAACCCTCGAGGTATTTCCTGTTCTGTCTACTGGCTTGACTGTGAGACCACTAACAAAGACAGGAGACTCTGTTACACACCAAAGAAGGGCAAGAAGCAGATCGCACCAAATCCGGCTATCGTGCCGCTGTCGGCCGTCTCTTTGACATCAAAGAAGCCCTGGCCACCGCCCAGCCGTATTCCGCCTCCATTATCGCCATCGGGAGTGCCTTTCTCTACAGTGGCGGCTCCCTCTCGTACATCTACAACGACGAAATCCGGGCCCTGGACGTGCATGGCGCCAGCCAGGTGGAGCAGGTCCTGAACATCCACGGCGTGCTGCCACGCGCCATCCCGCACTGTAACCTGCTGCAGGACACTACCCAGGTGTCGCTGATGCACTACAGCCACGGCGTGCTGGCGTTTCTGGTCGAGATGGTCGAGCGGCAGGAAGCCTGGCTGCTGGCGGTCGACATGCGGCGGCGCAGCAGCAGCAGCAGCAGCAGCAGCAGCAGCAGCAGGAACGGGCGACTACGCCTGCGCACCCGACTGCAGTCCACCAAGCGACTGTTTGTTCGCCACAACCAATCATACCTGTATTACGGCACGCACTCGGCGTTGGGCTACCATGGCTACCCCCAATGGGCGGTCAACTGCGTCGATCTGACGACCGGCCAGCATCTGACCGACAAGCCTGTGGAACTGGAGAACTTTGCCGGCTATGAGATTGGCCAAACCGTCTGTTTCGAGGTCCACGAGGATCACCTGTACGCCGTCTCAACGCTAGTCGATTTCGAAGAGGAAGAAGTTGACTGGACGTCTTACTACGTGTGGATATGCCTGCCCCCCGGCCATAGCTGTGCCCCCCAGCCCACGCGTACCTGGCGACGCCAGCACCGCGAGGGTCCCATCAACGACACCTGGTCTGACCTCTCGCTGCGACACGATGAGGCCACCAAACGGCTGATGATCCTTGAGTGCCGTCGCGAGTGGCTCGACGGCGGGAGTGACAACTGTCGTACCTACTACACCCAGCCTCTGCCGTCGCCATCAGAGGTCCCCCGTGGTAAGCAGCCCGGCTGCGCCTCGCGCAACCCCGTGTCCCTCCCCGATGAGCCTCTGGCCAAAACCCTGGATCCGCTGAGCAAGCCCAACTACGAGCGGCCGCGTAAACGCCTGCGCCGGCACTATCACTCCGAGTACCAGCGGGACGGCGGCGGCGACGACCACACCCCCCGCCGGGACTTCATCCTGGCCAAAACGAAGTTTCGCACCTACAACCTCTCCGCCTCCACCTTTGTCGACCTCGTCAACGACCCGTGCCCGGACCCCGAGCGCAGCCTGCTCCCGCGAGACCGACTGCGGCTGCGCGTGGTCTCGCGCAAACGCAAGAGCCCCATCGACGAAGCCGGCGAGGAGGGCCCTAAGCAGCGGCTGTACCGCCCGGAGCTCACCGACGCCGACGGCCAGCCCGTCGCGCACAGCGAGGAGCGGTTCGTCTCGCGCGGCGTGCAGATGTGGCCGCCGGACGACGCGCCGCCCGAACTGACCGAGCTACTGTGTCCGTCCAAGCGCATGGGCAAGGTGCGCGCGATCGCCGACGAACGCTCCATAGTGTACTCGGTCGACCACGCCATCGCCACGCCCGGCGAGAACCGCCCCATCGTGCTGATCAACTTCGATCCCTCGCTGCGCCTGGCCGGCCTGCAGCGGTTGTCTCCGGGGGCGCTGCGCGCGCCGCAACCGACACCGACACCAACTGCGGCCGTGGACTTGGAGCGGCCACACGTCGACGATCTCCGACGCGAAAACCCCGTCGTCCATGCCACGGTGGGCAAGCGGAGGACGAACCAGGCGGTGCCATCTGTTCGGGAGGAGCCGGCTATGTACTTGCGCATTCGACGTGGCTATTGGCTTCGATAACACGATCCCCCCGGAGTATCCTTAGCTACCTACATCTAATACGCTGTGAATAAGCTGAGAAATGAAAGAAGTTTCAGAATGAGCCGGAGAGCCGCCGGGCGGTGGTGATTGGAGTATGTTGTAGTCTGCTGACGAGGCTTACTAGATCCTTTGCCTTAGCCCTGTCTCCGTATGCCTGTCTGTCCGGTATAAGGATTAAATCCCTCATCCAAAAGAGTTTGCTTGCTGACGATGCTGCTGCGTGCCAGTCTGACCGGGTCGATCGTGGCTGTGTCTGAGCAGGAGGATGCAGGGCCGTTCTCGCTGATCCCCTAAAAATAACATGCACAGAGCAAGCAGAGACTCTACCGACACGAGACATGACGTGGTACTTGTGGTACGTACCTGTACTCTGCTGCCGCTGCGCTGTGCTGCATTTGACATGTCGTTTCTTCCTTCGCTTCAACAACCGGACCGTGCGACTTGTTCGCTTCACCATGCATCTTGCGACAGTCTGCAGCGGCCAATGGGGGATCGAACGATACGAGGCTGAAGAGTGTAGAGTGTAGGAGTGTAAGGAGTCGTTGGAAGGAATTTTATGGACTTCAGGGAGTTTCAAGTCATGCCATGAGCAGTCGGACTCATCACGCAACAACTCATTGCAGTCGCTTGACAAATGCCGATTGACACGAACTGACTCGAGAACTGGAGCGCTCTACTGAGTCAATAGTTTAGGGGCTAGTGGAGTCTGCAATCAGCAATAATGACCAGAAGGATCTTGCGACTCCGGGTATTTCGCTGGGATACGAACACATGCTCCAGACAGATGATAGAGCACTTTTATTCCTATTTCCAGTCGATCAGATCTCTGAAATCGACTGATACATCATTGATCGTGCCTTCACGATCTCGATCATATCGATCCAGCAAGTTCGGTCCGGTGGAGCGATCAGCGCGGATCGTGATTCTAGCAGCTCCATTCTTCTCCATTCTTCTCCCAGACTGCAGCGTTCACGGACGATCCTGAAAACTCTCTTCAGCTCTGCCTGGCATGGCCCGATGACTGGAGGATGGTGTTGCCATCAGGGTCTTCAGGTCCCACTATCGCTAGATGTCCCCTGAGTGCGATCTCTGCCATCCTGCTGAATGAACAACCGCATCGATGATATGCGTTGTCTACTCCAGAGTATGGATATCATGGAGCATTAGAGCAGTCTAACCTATGGCTTGATGTGTCTACATGTCAAGCAGTTCATCTCCGTTCACGTTGTCTCGAGCCCTAACTATCATTAAACTACTGCCATCCCCACTGCCGTTCAAGCGCCATGGTAGTCTATCAAAGCAATAGACTAATGCCGGTTCCAAGATTGTCTATGGGTCCTGGCCCGGCAGTGGAATCGGTTCTTTCATCTCGTCGTGACTCGTGAAGCTCTTTCAAAATGACACTCTAACCATCCTTCCTCCATCCTAGTCACTCATTATCCAACTACAGTCATTCCTTGCTTCTTTCATTATGCTCCCTCGCACTCTCCTCGCCGGGGCATGCGCCCTCAACGCCGCCGCCGCCCTCGTCCCCCCCAGCCAGGACCCGTGGTATACGCAGCCCGCCAACATCAGCGCCTACGCCCCGGGCGAACTGATCCGCGCGCGCCAGGTCGCCCCCGAGCTGGAGACGTACGTGCCGCTCGGCACATCCATGGACGTCGAAATGATGCACCAGTACCTCTACCGCACGACCGACAGCGTCGGCGCCCCCGTCGCCGCCGCCGCCACCCTCATCGTGCCGCGCGACGCCGACCCGACCAAGCTGCTCGCCTACGAGACCTTCTACGACGCCAATAACCCGGACTGCAGCCCGTCGTACACCCTGCGCCACGGCTCGGCCACCGCGGGCGGCGGGCTGCTCCCGCACATGACGCAGCCGATGGACCTGGCTTTTGTACGTCCATACACCCCTACACCCCACCACGCGCACGCTGACCACCGTCCGCACATATATAGCTAGCGGCAGCCATCAAACAAGGCTGGTGGATCATCACGGCCGACTACGAAGGCCTCGACGCGCAGTTCGCCGCCGGCATCCTCTCCGGCCACGCGACTCTCGACTCCGTCCGTGTCGCGCTCTCCGAAGCCCCCCGACTGGGCCTCTCGCCGGCCGCGCGCTACGCCCTGTGGGGATACTCAGGCGGCGCGCTGGCGGCGGAATGGGCGGCGGAGCTGCAGCCCTCCTACGCGCCGGAGCTGCGCTTCGAGGGCGCCGCCGTCGGCGGACTCCTCCCCAACCTGACCTCCGCCATCGACACGATCAACATGGGCCCGTTCTCGGGCGCCGCGTTCGTGATCCTCATCGGGCTGGCCAAGGCGTACCCCGAGTTCAGCGGGTGGGTCACCGACAACCTGGTCGCGGCCAGCGCGGCGCAGTACTACGCCGGCGCGCACAGCTGCGTGCTGGGCGAGTTTGCGGCCGGCGCCGTGCACGACATCTTCCGGTATTTTGTCGATGGGAGGGGGAGCTTTGACGCCGAGGTGCCACGGGGGCTGTTTGCGTCGGCGGGGCAGATGGGTACCGCCGGCACGCCGCGCATGCCGTTGTTTGTGTATAAGGGCGCGCTCGATGAGATCAGTCCTATCGGGGATACGGATGAGCTGGTCGGGCGGTACTGCGCCGACGGCGACGTCAGCATCGAGTACCATCGCATTCTGGCCGCGGAGCATCTCTCCACCGCCGTGCTGGGGTCCGTCAGCGCGCTGCAGTGGCTGGCGGAGCGGCTGGACGGCAAGCCGGTGTCGAGGCCGGGGCGGTGCGAGACGCAGACGGTGCCGCTGGCGGATTTGAAGGCGGGGGCGGTGTCGTTTTTGGGGTCTGAGGTGGGAGGGACGCTTGCGTCGGTTTTGGGCGGGGAGTTGTAGATATACCTAAATAGATTTTTATAGTCGATAGAATACAGTGTGTGCTTGTGAAAGATTAGATTAACTCGTAGCGATTATTTACTATCATAACACCCTCGTTACAATATACACATCAACAGTCACCGTCCCCAGTTCCAGCTTACAGCATCAGCATGGCCAGGACACCGACGGCGCCCAGAGCACCGCTGCCGGCGACGGCCTGGGCGGCAGAGTCGGAGGTCTGCGAGGCGGGGGCGGTGGTCTCGGTGGAAGAGCCAGAGCCAGATCCAGAGCCAGAGCCGGAGGTGGTGCTGCCACTGTTGTTGTCGCCGTTGCCGTTGTTGTTGCCAGAGCCGCTGGTGCTGGTGGCAGTGGTCATGGTGGTGCCCGTGGCGCCGGTCTTGGTAGCATTCGCGCCGGTGTTCTATCAGGGTTAGAGTACATCCTATATCTGAGATGCAAAGGACTTACAGTGCCGGAAGCACCAGACTCGGTGCCGTGGGTGCCAGTAGCAGAGGCCCCAGAGTTGGTACCCGTAGCAGAGGCTCCAGTGTTGGTACCAGTACCGGTGGCATCGCCCGAGCCAGTGGAGCCAGCACCAGCACCAGTGGTGGTCGCATCACCAGACTTGGTGGCAGCACCAGTGCCGGTAGTCTTGGAGTCAGACCCAGAGCTGGCGCCAGTGCCAGTGCTGGAGGCACCAGCATCGCCGGTAGCGGTCGCAGTACCTGCGACGGACGAAGCGCTGGACTTGGCGTCGGCTGTTCCGATTAGCTATATCTCATAGACAGCGCAGGGGTCACACGTACTGCCGTCAGGACAGGCGCTGAGGGCGATCTGCACGGCGGCGGCCGAGTCCTCGCCGGGACAGGCCTGGTCGGTGCAGTCGCGCACTCCGTACTTGTAGTTGTCGGCGTTGCAGAGACAGGTCTTGTCGCCGGAGGAGCAGCCGAGCTCCTGGGCTTTGTTGTTCATGTTGGTGATGCACATTTGCTGGGGTTGTTAGCATCGCAAGCGTGGATGATGGATGGGATGGCTTCGTACAGCGCACTGGCCGACCGAGACGTCGGCGGCCGCCAGGGAGGCGGCGGCCATGAGGAGCATGGACAGGGAGAGGGTCTTCATTGTGCTGTTGGATGTGCAGGGGTGCGGAGAGAGATGTATGGAGGAATGGAGGAGGCGAGCAGTGGCTTGAGAGAAAAGGCAGAGCAGACGGGTGATGGGATGGGCTGTTTTATACACCGCACCGAGCGCAAATCAGTCGGCGTCTGGCCTTATGTCCCCTGTCGGAAATGATTCGCGAGAGAAAAGAAATTGGAGCGCTGCAACGTGGCTAGGCACGAGCTGGCCGTGAAGTCATCGTGTATCAGTGCTGCAAGGTTTGGGTACAACCACAGCTTGACCACGGCTGCATGCTCTCATAGGCGGAGGGACCAGATCCATCGCGTTAGTGCTCGATAGTTCTGTTGCTGGTGGATGTTCGCTTCCGATATCCTGCCGATGTTTGGATCCGATCGGCGAAAACAAAAAAACAGAGACGACGGACCATGGTTGAGAGATCTTTACTCTGTTCTCCTGAATGTATGATACGAATTGAATTGATTGAATTGGGGGGAGAGAGAATGCTGGGAGTATGGCTGTCCATGCATGCATCAACAGCGTCACATCATAGCATCCAGCATCATCACAAAACAGGGCAGAGCAATCACTCCGTCCAGGTTCAGTCGGCCGAGCTCAACCGGCCAACAAAGATCGACATCGATCTCTGCGTCTCCACTGTGGTGGCTGATGATCTCTTCCAAGCCCTTTTCAGCCCTTTTCTTGCCGGTGGGGATGCGGATTTGCCACTGTGGATGGTGGAATTCGACTGCCTGCGGTGGCTGGGATGCACGTCCTCGGCGAGGGCTGGGACTGGGGACTGATATTAAATGACGTTGTATGCAGGGAACAGACTGTTCATGATGATATGAATTCGTGATGGTGATTAGCATCGGCGTGCCCGAGCAGCTTTGTTTTGGATGCCTCCACGACCAGCTCTGGCGATCGCGGTGTTTGCCTCATCCGATAGCCAGAGAAGTGGAACTGTGGCGGTGTGAACGGAGTTGTTTTCCGTTGCTGGGGTGTTTTCCTTTCTTCGGTCTCCATACTCTCCATACGGAGTACATGATGGAAGAAATCCGATTCTCCAGGACTTGCCTGAAGCAGTGAGGATCACCCACTGCCTCCAGCAGATCCAAACGGCTGGGATGAGCCCTTGCTCTGGAGGTATCCGTGCCTCCTCACAGTCTTTCGTTTCAAGGTAATTGCAGGTGCCATTGCAACTCTGAGACGTGAGAAGATGTGTGGGAGATGAAGAGGTCCCAGCCTCCACAAGGGAGAGCAAGGGAGAGGGTGACTTCTTCAAGTCTGGGGTTGACTCCTTGCTGATGCTGTCTGGTTATTATTAGATTGTGGAAGGTCTGGATTTGACAAGATTCACACAGCAAGCCACAGGCTGCTCATTACTCATTCTAATGGATGATGATTGTGGCTACTCGAGACAGTAATACTGTTAATTTACTTGTATCGTGCTATCCTACATTTAGAAAGCTAGCTCCCTCCCCAGCCGCATACCTCTCGATCTGCTCGGTTATCTCTTCCACATCTCCCAGATCCACTGGCGATTCCACAGCCCCTTGAGACTACTCCCATTCTGCTTATCTGCGTGTAGACCTGGTGCCTATTGGTATTTCTCGGCAGCTCCAGCGGCTGCGGCCTTTGGGGAAGGGAAGCAGATGCTCGACTGCCTTGTGCCCGGAAAAACAGCAGATCATATGCAGTCCCCGTGGCCCAGAAAGACGGAACGTGCACTTCACCATCGCACCAAGCTCCCATAGCCAGGCATCTCCTCTTGGACTAGACACTGACACGCACTATGGGGAAGTGTGGTGAACGGCTTGGAAGCTAGCCTCAAGTTCCGGAGGTCGCGGGCACCTAGGGAAGCGACGAACAATAGACGGATCTCTCAAGACAGAGTAGGAAACACATCCGGGTCAACCTGCAATGGAGTGTAATTTAGTTTCCATTCTTCATCTTCATTTCGGGCTGCGTCTAGTAAAATGGCTTGCAAGCCGGGCGCGTATAGCGGGTTACCGGTCAGATACTCTTTGCCCGGGACATGCTGCCAGAATTGGTCCTGGCCTTTGCGGACATCTCTGGAGCGAGGGAGTCTGTGAAAGTCTTGGTGGGAGAACACGGTATTGCGCCATTGCATCAGTCTAGAGATGTTGATGCGTTTGAACCGGACCATATTTTGACGGCAGAAAATATCAAAAGCACCAAGCGTGGAACGGCATGGCCAAGCCATCTGAAGCCGTCCGCTCCGGCCATACGGTTAGCTTCCTGTGATCTTCGACGGGGAAGAACATACATCGAGATTGGAATTCTCCGCTTGTAGCTGGTCGAGCCACCTTGCAACGACTAGATGGATGGGTCATCAATATCGCGCGATGGCATTCCGTCACACAACCCCTACAAAAACAATATCCAGACACCTCCCAGGCTGAAAAACTCGATGTCTTGCCACGGTCCCCGGATTGCACTTTTATGGTCCAAGAACTGAGCGGTGCGAACCCCTTTCATCTCCTCCAGCGAGATCGCAACCCCCGAGTACGCATTTGCCTGGGCAGCATCCGTCTAATACGATAGTTGACCAGACAGGGTGCAGATATCCGTGTCGATAAGATGCAGATGAATAGCTAAAGCTACCAGCAGGCACCAGGAGAATGGGTATGCGGATTCAGGGTTGCCAACCAACCCCGTAACCACCGACCCCAGAGTCGCCACTGGCATCGTTAGAAATACTATAGAACCAGTGGATTCATATTATGAATCGCATCTAGCAGGCTCGTTGTCGACATCTTCATCGGCAGGGACGTAGTCTAAATTTTCGATAAGCCACGTTGAGCGCACTTTCCAGCCCCTCGTCGACTTCCGACTGATCAGATTGTCTGCTGGGAAAGCCCAACTGGCTAGATTTGGCTCTTCTGGTTTCCAGCGACCGACAATGTTGAAGCTGACACCGCAGATATGGCAGTAGATCTGTTGATCTAGAGGTGTGCTGCGCACCGTCGAGCTGACCTCGGAGCAACCTGGAGATAGCCTTTATTATTCATTATTATGCAATTCGATTCTATCAAGGAGAGCTGACGCACTCATTAGAGCTCAGGCGGTGATTTGTCCAAGACGGGGACGTGGTTTGTTAGTAGGATTGTCGTCCGGGAGACACCATAGACTATAACCAAGCAGGAATAAATTTCGGATGCTATGATCTATATCTGCGGATACTATATATCCACGGTGTACAACAAATATTCCAATTACCATATATCTACCCCTACGATCGTGGAGACGCTGCAACCTGCAGTGTCAGACAACTTCAGCCACCTACTCCGTGACTCCTGGCTCCGAAAATGTCGGTGAAGGCATCCACTTCTTTTGCTTGTACAAAGTACCAACGGACAACAGCCGACTGGACAACGGCACGCTAATCAGGGATCCTGACACAAGCACTCCACCTCAGCAACGGTCTTTCTCCGCTGCCAACGGAATCGTCAGACGGTAGCCGCTCACTCTCCCCGCAAGTGGGACTTCTGTCTCCCGACGCGATAATCTCAAGAACCACCGGTTGACCCATTCACCTCACCATGACAGTCCTCACCGCAGCAGAGCCGCCTAATCGGATAGAGGTGGACATGGACGCACCCAGCCTCGACACGGACAGCAGCTGCACCTCGCTCAGCTCCAGCGTGCAGCGCTACGAGTACAAGCACGGCCGGCGCTACCATGGCTACCACGCGGGCAGCTACCCTTTCCCCAACGACAAGCGCGAGCAGGACCGCCTGGACATGATCCACCACGTCTACACCCGCATCCTGAACGACCGGCTGTTTCTGGCGCCGCTCGACCCGCGCGGCAAGGCCATCCTCGACATCGGCACCGGCACCGGCATCTGGGCCCTGCACATGGGCGACGCCCACCCGGCCGCCCGTCTGATCGTCGGCAACGACCTGAGCCCCATCCAGCCCTCGTGGGCCCCCGCCAACGTGCGCTTCGTCGTTGACGACGTCGAGAAGGACTGGGTCGACCGCCACCCCTACGACTTCATCCACTGCCGCTACATGGCCGGCTCCATCAAGGACTGGCCGCGCCTCATCCGTCAGTGCTATGCGCATCTCCGCCCCGGCGGCTGGCTCGAGCTGCAGGAGAGTGTGAACGTGATGTATTCCGAGGACGGCACCCTCCCGCCCGACAGCTTCATGGCGCGCATGATGCACGGGCTCATCGTGGCGTGTGAGAAGAGCGGGAGGACCATGGACCCCGCGCCGTCAATGGAGAAATGGGTGCAGGAGGCTGGGTTCGATCCCATCACGAAGCATCGGTTCAAGATCCCGGTCGGCAGCTGGCCGAAGGATCCGCGGTTGAAGGAGTGTGGGAGCCTCATGCGGGTCAATTTTGTCGAGGGCGTCGAGGCGTTCACGGCCTCGCTTTTCACGGAGGTCCTGGGGTGGACGCCGGAGGAGGTGGCCGTTTTGAATACGGGGGTCCGCGAGGAAGCCATGCGGAATGATATTCATGCCATTTTTGATTTCGTGGTGATTGTGGCCCAGAAGCCATATTGATGCTTCTGCTGTCTAATTGTACTCAATATAGTTGCTCCTGAACAAGGAGGCTATTGATCATATACCTGTGCGAGCTATACTGCTGTCTGTTCTATCTGTGTTTATGAAGCTCATCCCATCTTACGTCAATCACGAACAAATCCCACCCACAGTATCCTACCTTATCTCTTCTAACAACTACAAAACCGTTCTTTCAGATCAAAAAGTATACAAAGCCATCATGGTACCTAAGAAAGCAACATGGTGATGCCTATGGATAAGATACTGTATGATCTAGCACCGTCGGACCTTCTACCTCGGCGACATTTTATGCTATGAGCCTCCCTTTGCCTTCAAAGGCTTCCATATTCCATTTGAGACTCATTCTCATTTTCTCGTTTGTGTCGCTGGATGTTGCTGCCTTCACATTTCTTACTGGCGTGGGGGCCCAATAAAGAAACACCACGCCAAAAACCTCCGTCTCCAGACGGAGATATTTCCTACTATATAGTACCGCATCCCCAAAGACAAGCCCGACTTATTTTATTTATCTTCTTAACTTCAATTGTACTCTAACAGCTAATCTAATGTCTTCCTCCAAGCCAACGATCGCCTTCTTTGGCGCCACAGGTGGGAGCACCATCTCGTGCCTGGCTCCTGCTCTGAAGGCCGGATACCGCTGCGCCGCCTGTAAGTAGATAATCGACTAATTGTCTTGAAGAAGACCAAACGTCAGCTAACCATACGTAGTGGCGCGAACGCCGTCCCGACTCCGGGACCTCCTGGTCCAGCGCGGCGTCCCTGAATCAACCATCGCCGACAACCTGACCATAGTCTCCGGCACGGCGACAGACTTGCAGCCCGTCAAGCAGACGCTCCAGATGGGCCAGCCGGCATCTGAAATGGCCGATCTAATCGTGTCTGGGATTGGCGGGAAGCTGATCATGAGCAACCCCCTCTCGCCGACTCTAGACAACCCGACTATATGCCAGGACGTGGTCCAGAATATCCTGACGGCTATTCGGGAGCTGCGCGGTGCGGGCACGACGAAGGCCCCATTCCTGATCACGCTCAGCACGACCGGGATCAGCGACGTCAAACGCGATCTCCCGATCGCGATGATGCCCATGTACCACTGGATGCTGAAGGTCCCGCACGACGACAAGAAGGTGATGGAGCGGCTGATCGTGGACGACGCAGAGCGTGACCCTGCAGCGCGCGCTCTTGGTGGCTATGTGATTGTTCGGCCGAGCCTTCTCACCGACGGTGATAGGGACAAGGGCGGTGATTTGAAGAAGATTAGGGTGGGTGTAGAGGAGAAGCCGGCGGTTGGATACACAATTTCCCGGGAAGATGTTGGCCGGTGGGTGTTTGAACATCTGGTGAAGAAGGGGAGGGAGAGTGAGTATGCTGGAAAGGCTGTCACCATCACTTATTGATCTTGGTCTTGTATGTACTGTCGATGTTTATCTGCTTGCTGGATAGGAGTTTTACTTTTACCATCATCAATCTCATCAACCTGACCAACCTGATCGATGTAGGTACTTCTTGACATGTCATGTACCACTCAAGAGCAGTTTGACTGAGTATGATGATGGCGGCTTAGTATGAGACTGATAACTTCCTATACACTGTTTGGTCTAAGAAATGAAGAATACAACTGCAATCCAAGAAACACTGTGCATACGCCTAACCCCAAAGCAATGAACGCAATATACAACATTAGAATCATCCAACCCTCTGACTCTCCCGCGCCAGCATCGTCCGGAGATATTCCACATCGACAGGGCTGCAGCTCCCTATATCAACAGTCTCAAGCACTCTCTGTGTCTTCGCAGTGTCAAGCCCAAACATCAAATGCCCCAAACCAAAATACTCCTTCAATGCTCCCCATCGCACTTGGGCCTCAGGCGCAGTATCCAACCGCGCAACTGCCTCGAGCCATTCATCCACGGGCAGACTCTGTCCCCGTTCCCCGCCGATTTCCTCCATGATGGCGGGCAATTCTTCCACCGGAAGCGGCTTGGGGTTAGACAAGTGATAGATAGGCGCTTTCTCAGTCGCCTCGTTGAGCGTCTCATGCATCGCCAGCGCGTGCATTCCACGGGTAATATAATCCACCGGGACGAAATCAACAACAAAGGGTCTCTCGCGGACCGGAAGCCGCGGGACAGCCTTTGCCTGTAACATGCTGAGGATCATTGTGCGAATGAAGTCATCCTTTGGTTCGGGGATGCCCGTCCGCCGATCGGCTGTCACGGCGGAGGCCCGGTAGATGGTCACCGCAAATCCGCGCTCTGCAGCCTTTTCCAGGATCATTTCTGCCGCCCAGCGGGACTTGAAGTAGCCCAGGCGACCGGACGGCTCGGGGATGAAGTGGCTGGCGCTGACTTCGGTGGCTGTGATAGAGGGCTGCCCCTTGCCGCCCTGATGGGTGGTCGTCGACCAGGTTTGGAGATGCGGCACTGACCAGGTGGAGAGGTGGTGAATGGCCGTATTGACGCGGCCGAGGCTGGCCAGGTGAATGATGTCGTGGATTGGGCGGACATTGGAGTCCCGAAGTGCGTCATAAGAGCGGAGCAGGGAGACATATCCGCCAAGGTGGTAAATGGATTGGATATTGCGTGCTAATTGACGGAATGTTGCCGTGGAGAGACCGAACTGCGGCGAGGCGAGGTTGCCTGGCACGGAACGGATACGAAGGTCGAGCTCTTCGCGCGGGGGTAGCAAGCCAGAAAGGTGGTAATGATCAAACGATTGATAGACATCAGTCACTTCGATCTGTTTCTGAGACCCAAGCACGTAGATGTTATCTATCGACTGATCTTCGAGGAGGGTGGCGAGCATGTGCACGCCGATAAAGGAGTCCACACCGGTGACAAGAACCGAGTTTACCTGGGAGCGTCCAATATTGACCAGTGAAGGCTTCACGTCACCTGCGAGCCTCGTTTCGACCTCCCAATCGATTGCATCGGCATTTGGCGTTTGGGAGACGGGCGTAGCAGACGAGGATATCCGGCCCGTCATCAGCTGTGTGATTGCCGCGGGTGTAGGAGTCTTGAACATCGTATTTAAAGGCAGCGGCAGTTTGAGGGCTCGCTTTAACCGGGCCTGAAGGCGCATGAGAAGGAGGCTATTACCTCCAAGAGCGAAGAAGCTGTCACCTGGCCCAACTGCTCGTGTTGATGGGAGCTTTAATATCTGGCGGAAACCCTGAATGACAGCTTTCAGAACGACATCTTGACCATCACTTGTCTCTCCCGCTGGAGACTGCGGAATCACATTTTCTTCAACCGGAAATACCGGGTCTAACGGACAATTCAACAGTTTCTGCAAGTCCACCTTTCCTCCGATCGTCGTAGGAAGCCTTTCCACAAACTGATATGCGGCAGGCAGCATATACGAATTGAGATACTTGCCGGCCATCTGGTTCAGTTGGAATGCAAACATTGACAGCCTCTCTGGCGGAGGAGCCTGGCGAGGGACGACAAACGCAATCAACTGTCGGTTGTCAGTTCCACTTTCCTGACTCGTTTCGCCTGCTATTTCTCTCGCAACAACGGCCAGGTCAACAAGCGCCACGTCAGTCGGGCCCTTATTCGATTCCACAAAGATTCGATGTTCGACCTCACTTAGGTCGATGCGATAGCCTCGTAACTTGACCTGCTTATCACCAGCAATGCGACCATGGAACTCGAGGTTGCCGCCAGGAAGGAAGCGACCCTTGTCGCCCGTGCGGAACATGCGTCCCCAGCCACGTCGGCGATCCTCCTCGGAGCAGAAAGGATCAGGCAAGAACGCTCTTTCATTGATCTCCGGTCGGTTGATGTATCCGAGACCGACCTGGGCTCCACCAACAACTATCTCCCCGACAACTCCCATGGGCAGAGGGTTTGCCTTTGAATCGAGAATGTAGTGGCGGGTGTTCGCCATAGGAAAGCCGATGGGTATATTGAGTGCGTCGTCCACGGGATAGTCGACAGATTGGATGGTCGTCTGGACCACAAGCTCACTCGGACTCCATGTATTGTAAAGCTTCGCGGGGGTTTTGAGGTCGTAGAAAGCCTTCACCATGCGAAAGGGCAATCTCTCGCCCGCAAAATAGGCAATGCGGTAGTTTGTCATTCTCTCGAGAATGCTACCGGCGCTCTCAATCAGCATCGCGAATTGGGTAGGTGTGAAATATGTGATTGAAACTTGTGCGGCCGCCATGTATGTTGCGAGAGCGAGAGGGTCTTTGCGGATTCCTGCGCCGGCAACGCACAGCCGTGCACCTGTTGTCAGCGCAGAGAAGATCTGGACGATAGAAAGATCGAAAGAAATTGAGGAATGGTGGAGGAATCTGTCGGCGGAGCTGAAACGGTAATCGTGGTGTAGCGTGCTGAGCATCTGCTGTGTGTTGGACTGGCTCAACACGACTCCTTTCGGGGTCCCAGTGCTGCCCTGTTTCACTCAGTCAGTAACAGTATTGCGTCAGCACTTGCTATACGCTTACGGATGTGTAGATGGTATAGAAAGGGAAGTTCCCTTCTGTTGGCACAGGGGAGTCAATCATCTTCCCCGAACGTTGGATACGCTCAGACGCCAACACAGGGACGGTGGAAAGAGCACGAGCACTATCTTCAAGCCCTTCCCCTGCCACAACGAGCCTTGCACCTGAGTCCGTAATCATGAAGGCCAGACGTTCCTTGGCAAAGTCCGGGTCGAGGGCCACATATCCACAGCCCGCAAATAAAACACCTACCATGGATGCAACTGCTGTTGGGCCAGGGAGAGCGAAAAGGCCGACCTTGCTTGCGGGCTGGATGCCGGAATTGATAATGGCTCGTGCAATGTCGGAGGCTTGTGCGACAAGAGAGGCGTAAGTTAGGTTGTTGACCTCCTCTGAGCTTTCCACAGCCACTTCTTGAGGATATTCCCGGGCCATAGCGAGTATGCGCTCAGACACAGACATGCCTCCCCAAGTGTTGGGTATAAAGTTGAGGTTAAACATATTGGCCTTCAAAAATTCCAGCTCTTTTGAGCCCACCATTTTGACCTCTGATACTGGCTGGCGGTAGTCGTGGATGGTGCTGGCCAGGAAGGCAACAAAGTTGTCCAGGAATCGCGCCATATCATCTTCTCCGTACAAGGTACTCGAATATTCGAGGCGGAGTTTTAATCCTTCAGCGGGATCCTCAAGTGCCTCCAGCCCGATTTCGCACGCTGTGGGGATATCATCTCCCTGGACTTCCGTGATGTCAAAGTCGCCTGCAGAATAGACGGGCATGGTCCCGTGGACCTGGTAGTTCAAAATCACCTGCCCCAGGGGGAAGTGAGATGTTGTTCGTGCAGCGCCAACTGCATCGATAATTGCATCGAAGGGAAATTGGGAATGCTGCAGAGCCGAGATGACTAGGTCTTTGATCTGGCGAAGGACATCCTCAAAACTTCCTGACTGATCGATTCGACAACGAACTGGAACCACGTTGACGAAAAAGCCAAGCGTATCGTTAACGGCGGGATGGGGGCGATTTCCATCAACAAGGTGGATGGTGAGGTCTTCCTCTTCGGTGTGTCTGTACAGAAATGCGCGAAGCCCAGCCATAAGAAACTGAGCTGGCGTGACACCCAGCCGGGAACAGATGCGCTTCATGCGTTGCAGGAGGGTCTTCTTCAGGGTGGCCTTGTGAACATGTCGTTGGTAGTCGTTTGTTTCTGGTCGGTCCCCTTTTGCAAATGGTAGCAGCTGCATTGCTGTCGCTGGTCGATCTTCGTACACCGATTTCCAAAATTCCAGGCTAGGTTGCATATCCGTTGAGCGGAGAAGGGCGTTGTGCCATATACTGAATTCGCCATAGCTTACAGCCGGCCGGGTCACGGAAGCAAGGTTTCTCTCCTTTCGCATGGCATCGTAAAGGCTAGTGAACTGCTCAAGGAATGACTGACTGCTGCCTCGATCAATGCAAATGTGGTGGAAGATGAGAACAAGAGCGTGTCTGTCCTCGGACAGCTTCGCCAGAGCGGCCTTCATCACCACCCCGTCCTCAATGTCCATCAGCTCCTGTTGGAGAGCCCTGACATAATTACTCAGAGATGATTCAGTATCGACATCCGTGGAAAAGTCCACCTCAGGAAGCGCGGTGGTGCAGTCATCCATAACCACTTGCTGGGAGAACTCTTCACCCTCGGAGTAGGCAGTGCGAAGGATTTCATTCCTCCGCTTGAGCTCCTCCAGCACCCGCCGTATTAAGGGCCCATGAGGTTGACCACGAAGACGGAAGATGATGGGCAAATTAAGGAAAGACGGGTCTGCAGAGAGATTATGCATAAACCACAGCCGTCGTTGGTAGGAAGACATTGGAACTTCCATGATAGGAATTTCCTCAATCGAAGCACCGTCGATCAAAGGAAGCAGACTGATAGTGGAATCTGAAGTTCTATTCGCAGCCCGCTTGGTATTCTTTTGCACGTCCGCGTTGGCTGCTGTCGAGGACTCAGCCTCGTTCTTAAGAACTATCAGGGAGGCGACTTTCTCAATCAAAGCCTGGATACTGCGGCTGCTCAGAATGTCAAACATGGCGAGCTCCACACCGACAGCCTTAAAAAACCACTGGCGGATTTCGATGGCGACAATGCTGTCGAGTCCGTAATCCCCAAGACTGCGGTTAGGCTGCAGCGTGCTCTGGTCAACAGACAGAACAGCCGCAATCTTTTCGAGGAATCGCAAAGTCAAGATGCTGACGCGAGCTGCTTCATCTGGAGCTTCCCGTAGCTGAGACATGATGTCTTGTTTCTTATTCTTCCCCTCACTGGACCCGGCAAAGTCGTGGTTGGCGTAGAGGTTGCGGAAGCGTGGTTCATTAGCCCAGAAGTAGGTCGGACGGCGCAAGTTGACGCCGGTGATGATTTGATGGGCATCCCTGCCTTGACTGTCCACCAGAGCAAGTTTGTCTTGACTTCCTACCGGACACACGGCCGCGCCAATTTGGGCAAAGAGTTCCTCCTCATTCACTGCGTCATACCCGATCCGTTCCATGACAGTCTGCAACTGGGCGTCTTCAGACACAGCTCCGACGCCGACGACCATCCCGACATTCATGGTCGTACCAACTAGACCAATACTGCGTCGATATGCGCAGAGTGCATCAAGATAACTGTTGGCAGCGGAATAATTGGCCTGAGCCTTGGACCCAAGGATAGCGGACACCGAGGAGAAGCAGACGAAGAAGTCCAGTGGCAGAGACGCAGTGGCATTGTGAAGGTTGTAGGCTCCTTGGACTTTAGGGGCCATGCATCGCTGCCACTGCGCGAAAGTCATCTGAGCGAGCGGTGCATCCTGCAGCACCATGGCTGCCTGGAATACACCCGCGAGGCAATGACCAGAGCCATCGATTTGACTTACCGCAGTGTTAACTGCAGTTGAGTCCGTTGCGTCGCCACTGAATACCTTCACTTCAACCCCACGAGCCTCTAGCCACTCCACTGTCTCTCTTGCCTCCGGTCTACTCTTTCCCGAACGCGACAGAAAGGCGAGGTGGCGCGCACCGCGTTGGAAGAGCCACTCGCTGAGGCGACGACCCAAGCCACCCAGACCACCAACCAGGAGGTACGTTTTATGCGCGTCAAAAAGCTGCCTCCGATGGAATCTGGGTTGCTCAACGAGAACACGATCATCTGGACCAGGTATGAGAACGATCTTACCACTGGTCGTCCCGGTCTGCAACATCCGGAATGCGCGCTGTACATCAGCGTAGGGAACCTCAGTAATAGGCTGCGGGGGATTGATTTTCCCTTCATGAACAAGTGCACATGATTCCTGGAATACGCGCGCGCCAAGGGGCTGGTTTTGCTCGAATACAGTGATCATGTCCACACTAGCGAAGGATACATTCCGCCGGAAGGGATCCATGGGGATCCGGCTATTCTGGTGGATATCCCGTTTGCCGATCTCGACGAAGCGGCCGAATGGAGCGACGGATGCCCAGGTGGAAAGCAGCAGAGGGCCAGCGAGGGAGTTGAGAACGACATCAACGCCCCTGCCATTGCTGAGCCGTCGGATCCCCTCGACGAAGGAATCGTCGCGCGACGAGAGGATGTGGGAGTCCTCGAGCCCGTATTTGTCTATCAAAAACGCTCTTTTCTCTGCAGAGCCGACTGTCGCAATGATGGTAGCCCCAATATTCTGGGCGATCTGAATGGCCATCTGTCCGACTCCTCCGGCGGCGGAGTGGATAAGTATTGTTTCTCCCCGCTGGAGTCTTGCTGTATCGACGAGTGAGTAGTAGGCTGTCGTCAGGACAAGCGGGATTGAGGACGCGACTGAGAATGGCATCTGGCCTTGCAGTCGGTAGCAGAGGCAGGCAGGGTTGCGCAGGATCGTTCGATGCGCACCCTGTCCGGGACGCCACGCCACGACACGATCACCAACAGCGAAGTCTGTGGATGAGACATTAGATCCAACACGCAGTACAACTCCTGCGCATTCGTCTCCCAGCTTGAAGTCATCGATGATGCCCATACTGGCTGCAATATCACGGAAGTTGAGCGCCGAGGCCTTGACCTCTATTTCTAGTTCGTCTGGCTGCAGCGGGCTGCTCGTGAGGTCCGTGTCATCAGAAAACATGAGCGTATCCAATAGCCCTGGTCGGCCAATACGGAGGGCAAGTGGGCGATCCTTTTGATACAATGGCTGGACAGTTGGCTCACTGCGCACACCGTTAGGGATCCGCGAGTTGAGGTTGTCGCTGGCCACTACTCGAGGAATATACAGGCGGCCGCCACGTTCGGCAATTTCGTCCTCCCTAACGGAATCATCCATTAGATGGGACGTTAGCTGGGCCGTTTGGGATTCGTCGGCGGTAGGATCAATATCGAACACGACCAGACGAAGCTCCGGATTCTCGCTCCGTGCGCTTCGGGCGAGACCGAGTATTAGCGCCTGTTCCGGAGAAGAAACATTCATGAGACCTCCTCGAGTTAGCCAGATGACATTTGCTTGTCTCTCTTTGGTGAGTAGCGCCTGCGCGGCCTGGAAGTCTTCCGCACGGCTGGAAGCCGAGCCGAAGTACAGGTTCGAATCCAAGCTGGCGAGCACGACAACATCCCCATGTAGCTCATTTGAGGACTGTATGAGGGAGAGGAAGTCGCACTCCGATGTTGGGCCTTGTCTTTGGGACTTGATGATATCAGCCAACTTTCGAGTGCCAGGGGTGGGCTGAGGTGGCATCACGATAGTCAGTGTACCGACGGAGCCCTTGATGGGCGAGAGTTTACTGTGCCAGATCTGCAGGACAGAGGAGGTATAAAGCATGTGAAAAGCACGAGTATCGAGGGTGTTCTTCGTGGGACTGAGGGTCACAAGGAATCCGTTCTCGGCGACTCGTCCACGAATGGCTGACATGTCAATATCCGTTGACACAATGACCAGATCGAAGGCATCCTCTGTATCTTCGACGACGCTCACCAACCCGTTGCCCCGGTCAACAAGCGCGTCAAAGTCTGTGGCAGCTGCCCCAGCTGGAAGAATAACCAGACCGCTAATGTTTCTTCTCTCAGAATCCGCAATGCCCTTAAAAACTGGCAGGATGCTCTCTGTAGACGACAGAGACGGAGTCACATGAAGAATCTTGCTGTTTGGATGCTGGTGCAAATATAATTCCACCAGTATCGTCAGATTGTACTCTTCCTCCGGAGTCCACTCAAGACCGGTAAACATGGGCTTCCACTGCGTTCCAAAGAACAGCGAACGCTTGGTATCATCTGCCGCGTTAGAACCCAGACTAGTCAGCCTAAGGCCCTTAATATCGAATAACAGCTCCCCATCTGATAAGTGCAGACGGAGGTCATTCGTTGCTGTACGAGGACCCAGGGCGTCGGTTTCAACCAAAACTTCAGCCTCGAATCCGGCGTCTGATCGCTTCCATGCGTCCAGAAGGCCAGAGACCCGCAGGGAACGTATGAATGTCGGCACATACGGTGCGCTGAGGCTGTTCCCTAACTTCCCTTCGATGGAGGAAAATACCGGATGAAGGCAAGCGTCCAGAAGGGCCGGGTGGAGAATAGACAGATCGGTATCTTCACGAGGGTACATGGTAGGCTTCCACGATATCGGAGCGATCGCGATGCCGTCACCGCTCTCGACATTACCAGCCACGAGCTGAAACGTAGGACCATATTGCAGTCCCATGGAGTGCAGTCGGTGGTAATACTGCATGCGCTCTGTGCTCCGGAAGCTCCTGCGACGGAAGGCGTCCATCGATGAATAGCTCGATGAGTTTTGAATAGCCTCCGGGGAGCCGGAATCAGTCCGGATCATGCCCGTACAATGCTCTCGCTGGTTTCCAGCTTCGTCAACGGAGAGGACAACAAACTGCTTCCACAGAGACGAGGAGGTTTCAGCGGATTCCACAGCAGGGGCCAGCTCGACAAATGTCTCTGTTCCCACGTCTTTGTCGCTGACGACGAGCGCGGATTTCACTTGTCATGGTTATTAACGCCAATGTGCTATTAGAAGCATCTTAAACTCACCGGATACGTCCACGAGCTCGAATTCACGAATGCTTCCATCTACCATGGTGGCGGCGGCCTCGATTACCATGTTGATATATCCAGCTGCAGGGAATATAGTCTTGCCGTCAATAGAGTGATCGAGGAGCCAGGGAATCTCAGACACTCGGAGATAGTTGCGCCACCTAGGGCGTGTTTCCAGGGACCCAGGAACTCGCGCGCCGAGGATACTGTGTCGGGACGGGCGCAAACGATGCTCACGGATGTGTCGAGTCTCCGCCCAGTAACGGTCATGATGGTCCCAAGCGTATGAAGGAAGGTCGAGCCTCCCTGGCGCACCTACACTGACAATCTGCCCAGCGGTGTCTAGAAACTGATTTTCGTTCACATTCTTAAGGTTAACGGGATATCCCAACGCAAATAGCTGACCAGTCGTAGCGAGAAGGCTTTCGTAGGCATCTTGTTTGCGGTCCAGCGTACCAAAATATGGCAGCTTCAGCTTCAACGGGTCCAGCGTCTGGTTTGAAGGCCCCTTAAGAGCTGGATGAGGGCCGACCTCCAAGAGTACATCGATCCGTTGCTGATCTTCCTCATCTAGGACAAGTTCAGTCAGAGCGTCGGAAAACTTGACCATTCCTGTCATGTTGGCGGCCAGGTAGTCTGGGCCCAAGGTTTCAGGGTCAGCATATCGACCTGTCACGCTCGACACCATAGTCGCACTCGGCTCCTTGTTCGCCTTGAAACCGGGATACGCAGAAAGTGCCTCCTTGTATCCCGGCGCTAAGGGGAACATATGATGACTATGAAAACTGCACGGAGTTCGTCAGTATCTTTTAATAACAAGGGAATGGACGAAGACGCACGCTTGTGCTACCTGCAACCGCCTAGCAAACACCTTCCGATCCGTGAGAGCCTGCTGCAATTCAACAACAGCATCCTCATCTCCAGAAACTGTAAAGCTTGACGGGCTGTTCATAGCGGCGATGGCAATCCGACCCCTATATGGCTCCAGTTCAGCCGTAACTTCTGCCTCAGTCATTCCAACAGCCATCATGGCGCCAGGCATAGATCCTGGAGCCGCCGCACCGGAGCCCATATGCACTCCACGGTAGTACGCCGCGACGAGAGCGTTTTCGAAGGAAAGAAGGCCCGCAGCATATGTAGCAGCCAGTTCACCGCTACTGTGGCCCACCACGCCGGAGGGCTTCACTCCCCAGTGTGCGAGGACATCGACTAGAGCTAACTGGACGGCTGTACAAATGGGTTGAGAGTACTCCGTTCTCCCTAGCATTGTGTCCTGTTGGGACTTTAGAAGCTCGGCTTCCACAGACCAGGTTGGACGATGGGATGGTAAGGCCTGCAGGATCCTGTCACACTTTCGGATTGTCTGTAAGAATAGTGGACATTGTTCAAGCAAGCTGCGGGCCATCCCAAACCATTGTGCACCTTGGCCGGTGAACACAAAGCCGATCCGTGGGATGGTGTCGAGTTTGCTCTTCCAGGCTGCACCAGGCGGAGGATCCCGGATCCGCTCGATCACCTTTTCCATGTCGGCGGATACGGCGAAGGATCGGAATCGGTGCATTGTTCGACGCGTTGATAGCGAGAGAGCCACGTCAGCCACGCTGGCCTCATTTTCGGTGAGGTACTGGGCTAGACGTTCAGCCCAGAGCTCTCCCGCTCGCTCTGAGTGGGAGGTTAATGGCAGTAGATACGGCCTGCGCTCGACCATTGCCGCCAGTTCGGGCGGGAGAGAAACGGTTGGCTGCTGGCATGCAGTAGTTTTTGAGCCGAAGGAGTTATACTCCTCAAGTATAGCGTGAGCGTTTGTCCCTCCATAGCCAAAAGAATTGATCGAAGCTCGGCGAGGGATAGTACGCCTTCCCATCTCCCACACCTTTGGTTCGGTTGGGATCTCCAGCTTCCAGTTCTTAAAGTCCACTTCTGGGTTTGGAGTAGAGAAGTGCATATTCGGAGGAATGATTTTCTTCTCCAATGCCATTGTCGCCTTCATCAAACCGGCGATACCAGAGGCACCCTCCAAATGGCCGATGTTCGTCTTCACCGAGCCAACATGCAGCGTGTCTGGACGATGACGGCAAAATACTTCATGGACAGCCCTAAGCTCTCTCGGATCACCGGCTTTTGTCCCTGTGCCGTGACACTCAACATAAGTCGTCTCTGCCGGCTCCAGGCCAGCCCTTTCGTATGTGCTCGTGATCAGATCCGCCTGGGCACGAGCAGAGGGCAACGTAATGCCCTGTTTGCGACCATCATGGTTGACACCGGTACCGCGCACAACAGCACGGATGTGGTCCCCGTCCGCCTGTGCGCGGTCCTGGCGCTTCAAGACCATCGCCGCAATACCCTCACCACGGACATACCCACTGCCTGCAGCGTCTCCGTGTCGACAGCGACCGTCTGTCGACAACATGCCCAGGTCTGTCATGGTGATAAAAATATTCGGATCAAAATGCAGCGCCGATCCAACGACGATAGAGATGTCAGCCTCTGCGTCGCGGAGGGACTGCGCACCCAAGTGGAAGCACACCAGGGAAGAAGAACAAGCAGTGTCGACAGTCGCACTGGGCCCGTGTAGATTATAAAAGTACGAGATGCGGTTCGCCAGGATGGAATTGCCTGTGCCGGTAACGGTGTACTTGGGATAGTATTCGAGGTCTTTGGTCGTCATGGCGTTGTAGTCGTTCGTGAAACAGCCACAGTAGACGGAGGTTAAAGATCCTTGGATTTCATCCAGAGTAATCCCGGCTATTTTTGTTGTAAGCAGACAGCCAAACAACGTGAAGGTCATAGAGCATGGCCTACCATCTTCTAGGGCCTCATAAACGACCTCCAGTAGGAGACGCTGCTGCGGGTCCATTGCCTCGGCTTCCTTGCCGGAGATATTGAAAAAACTGGCGTCAAAAAGCCCAAGGTCCTGGTCGAGAAAATAGCCGTATTTGGCATTTGTCTGTAGAGATGTTTAGGTTGCTGGCAGCCGCACATGGAGATTAGGGGGAGACATACGGTTCCCTTATGAGTCCCATCGGGGTGGTAGAAGGCATCGACATTGAAGCGATCCTGGGGCATTTTCCGTTGTAGGTCGACTTGATTGATGATATTGTCCCACAGCCGCGAGGGCGATGAAGCCCCTGGGACTCTGCAAGCCATTCCAACCACGCATGGTGGGTTTTCCGAGGGCGACTGCTTCTCCCTAGCTGACTTTACACTAGAGACTGTCGGAGCAGCGCTTGTAGCACGGTGGATTGGGGTTTCAAAATGCATTGACATGATGCTGCTTGTTAGTTCAGTAGAGGACTATCTCTTACCGCTGGTTCCAATGCAAGTAATGGGTCAAAAGTAGGCACTCAGTGCCCAGGAATGGAAATGTTTGTATCAAAGCACAGATCAGCTCATATGGTCAGGTGCAGACGGGCGAGTCTGGTTTCATAGGACCAATTTAAGTCGAATAGCTGATATCGCCTCTGCGTTTCTGCCCGCAGACGCGACAAACACGCCGATGGCGGACGGAGGAGGGACGAGGAAGCACGCTATCCCTGTAGACAGAGTCAAGCCTCGAAAAAGGTCCGATTCGTGGTCCGTTCCGTGAAGCACCCGCATACAAGGTATGGAGGCTGGAGTCGTTCCGTGACGACCAACTCCGTGTCCGAACGGAGCCTTACCAGACGCGCCATCTTGTTGGGGGAAAGAGAGCCAGCCACTTTTCTGGCTGGATCCACGGGACAGAAGTTTCACAGAATATCCTCAGTGGTAGTCAAGAGATGGTCGTCTGCCAAGGAGGAAGGACCAGGCGGGACGTGGATAAGGATTGATGGGGATGGAGGTGAAGCCCAGCAGGGGAATAAATAAATAATGACACCTCAGGCAGCGTGGGAGCCTCAGGCTCCGGGAGACAATACGCCGCAGGTCAATATACCTAGACTAGCATATTACTACGTGATTTTAGTAGGATATTAATTCTTATATTGCAATAATCTTCAAAATCGTCTTGATCATCTTCATTCTTGATCAAGCCATGCTAGTGCTTGCAACATATTCTCATGGAAAGACTCGGACGCCTCCGCTAAGACCGGAGATGGATATGACCAGAAGTAGTGAGGGTAGCCAGGATAGGCATCATACATCAGAGGCACACCGGCCTCTTCCAAAGCATCCCGCATCAGTCGTGCATCATCTCTCAAGGTATCAGTTCCACATTCGACCAGGTAGACCTTTTTCAAATCCTTCAGGCGAGGATGAAGGAGAACCGAGAAATACTTGTCGTGCGGTGGTGCTGCATAGGCGTCCAAGAAACAATCCATTGCAGCGAGAGTGTTGACAGTATTGTTGGCGTTCTCATGCATAGCAGTGTACTGATCCCTTTTGTCTGCTGGAACGGCATCGGGGTGCACAGTCGCAGGCACCAGAGCCAGGACCCCCTTCACCTTTTCCCCAAGCCCGGCATCCACGAGTTTGAGCGCCACACCAAAAGCGAGGTTGGCACCCGCGGAGCCTCCCATGATGACGAGGGCAGATACCGGAAAGTGACCCAATGTCCACAGGGTCGCTCGCACGCAGTCGTTGAGACCAGTGGGGAATTGGAATTTCGGTGCCAATCGATATCCGACACTAACCACCGTCATCCCACTGCATCGACAAATCCGTCGGCAGGTCGCATCTTCAATGTCCGGGCTTCCCATGATCCAGCCTCCGCCGTGGATGAACACCGCCACTGATCCACTGCTGGTCGCTGACGGGGGAGTGTAGATGCGAACCCAGCAATCCTGGAGGGTAATATCCTCGGTCTTTATTGACTTGTCGGGTGGCGGGATTGGATATCTGGATGTGATCTTTCGTGCGTTCACGTCGGAGTCGATGAAAAGCTGTTCAACAGTACTGCCTGTCATCAGCATTTCACCTCCGACTTCTTTGAGGAACTATCGATTTGTTGAGCATATTTTTAGCGTGTGGAGATTTACAGCTGCTTACCTCGCTCCAGGCGGGCGCGTACGGTGATTCCATTCTTATGCCTCCTGGAAAAATAAAGTATTGTCTGACAGTCGCTGAGGTATGGTACGAGCACAGCAACCGTCATTTTGGCGGCTTATATACTGGAGTAGTCATTTTCGGTTCTCGAGTTAACTTGATTCACAGTCGATATTGGAACACTCGAAATGGCTCATCATGATTCACGCTTAGGCGCGCCAATCATACTCTTGGTGCCGTCATGAGTCAGGATGATTAACGTGATGACTATAGACGCTAACATCCCTTCCGATCAACCGGGATTGTAAGTGGATTGGTAAAGAAATCCTCTGGATCATACTTCCTCTTCACAGAAACGAGCTTGCACACATTCCCCCCATAGTAACTCGTCAACGGATCCGTCGAGATATCCGCATCCAGATACCCCGAGTAACTGGCCCCTCCAACCGTCGGCCTGAGATACGACTCCAGATCCTCGAGCCAGTTCTCATAAGTAGACTGCCGCTCCTTGTCATCCGGTGCTCCGTGGATCTGGAATTCAAGATGCGCGTAGGCCTTCTCTCGCCAGGCGAAGGCGTTGCCACTGCCCTTGGAAGGTGTGCTGATGTTCCACGCATGCCACTCGCCCCAGACCTGGCTTTTAGCGTCGAGAGAGGCAATGCGGTCGAGCAGACTTTGGAGGGTTTGGTCGGTAAGAGGGTTGTCTTTGAGGACGAAGAAAGACTTGCTCATGCGGTGGAAGCGTTGCCAGGGGTCTGCGACAGGCATGGAGGTAGACTTTGGGACCTCGTTCCACTTGAATTGGGTGCTGTTGCCGACCTTGCTAAATGGATCCGGGACCACATTGAGGATGGACACGTCCACTTTCCCATCTGGCAGACACTCCATTGTCGTGTAGCCGAAGGCGCGCGCGTTGTCGGTGTTGCATCCACCCGCAATGACTACCGCTGGCTTGCCAATATCCAGGAGCCCGGACGCATTCACGAGCGAGCGGAGCTCGTCTTCCGTACCGCCGTAGTACCAGCCTAAGACCTGCACCTTGTCTCGGTACACGTTAATCTGAGACATAAACTCTGGGATCTGTTTGGGAGCCCAGTCGAGGTACTGTTTGGCAGCAGGGAACCGAGACGCAGTGTCGTTCCAGCTCAGCATGAGCATCGCAGATCGCGGGATCGAGGTGAGGGACAATGTGAATTCCACAACAATCCCGTACGTGCCACCGCCACCACCCCGGATTGCGAAGAAGAGATCCGGGTTCGTATCTGGCGAAGCCACAACGGTGCGTCCGTCAGCGAGGACGACCTTTGCGGCGAGAACGTGCTCGACGGCTAATCCTTGAGACCTTTGCTGCATGTTGAACCCACCAGAGCCTAGGAACCCGGCCAGCCCAACGGTGGGACAGATGCCGCCGATGAAGGACGTTCCGTGCTCGCTCAGGGCAGTGTACAGAGCGCCGAGGCGAATTCCGGCTCCCACAACGGCCGTTTGACGGTCATCGGAGACATTGACGTAGTTGAGGTGGGCAATGTCAATAATGAGCGTGCCGTTCAGAGCAGAGTAGGCCTCGAAGCTGTGGCCTCCGGCACGAGGCACCGCTTTGATGCCGGCAGTCTTAGCACATCGGATCAGAGGGGCGATCTCTTTGGACTCTTGAGCATAGGCGAGGAGGACTGGGAGCTCATCAAACTGGATCGTTTCGCCCAGGCGAGAATCCAGGTAGGTAGTGTCGTTTGGCGTGACAATCCGTTGCGGTGCCGATGGTCCAAAGACACTGGACACACAATTATAGAGGGCGGTGCTCTTAGGATAAGCAGAGACCACCGTGGAGAAGGTGGCCACCGCGGCGATACCAAGAAAGCGCATATCGATTTGCACACAAAGGAATTTAACGAGGTCTGGAGACTTTCTTTTTCTGCAGTGGCGACAGTAACTGTCTTCTATTTATTTCTTCTAAGTAGTCTACACAGCCTTCCGCGGAGAGAAAATCACCGTGTCCCGTCGGGAAGTTTCATTTGATCCATGTTCAGCACGGCTTTATGCCTACGCCTGTATCAATAGTTGAATATAACCTAACTGAAGCAGCTGAGGATACACAGCTAAACAATCTGTACAAGACGAGGATCAATCGCAAGCCGGGCAGCTAACAACACCAATGTCCCAGCCAGCAGGAGAACACCACCAAAGTCAACCCAGGCAGACACACCCCCTACCTTCATCGAGGTCAGAGCTCCCCCGATGGGATTACCCGTCAACGCTCCTACTGAGCAGACGGCCATCATGACCCCAATCATAACCCCGATGATCCGCATGTTCTTCGTGATTTGCGCGACGCACGCGGACTGCAAGGAGATCAGCCCTCCAGAGGTAAATCCGTACAGCAGCGCGAAGGCAACGCACGCGCCTTTGGTGTGGACACGGTGAAGAACGAGGACCAGTATACCAGACAAAAGTGAGCAGACAATTGCTACATTGTATCTAGTCACACTGTTAGTGTGCGTGGTTGGGTTTGCAGATCCCAAGGACACCTACCGTCCGAGTTTGTCTGCGAGAGCACCGGAGACGATTCGCCCAACAAACGACCCAGCATTTAAAATCGAGATCAACGAGTTGGCAAAGGATGAATTTACGCCATGGTCCATAGCGAACAATGGGATGTAGTAAAAAGGGATGAACATTCCCCATATCACGAACAGCATGCCAACCACCGTGAGCCAGTACCGTCTGTCCTTCAGTCCTTCGCTTAGGTCTGCTTTGGAGAGCCCTCCTGACTTTCGAGGTGGTAGACGGGGTATCACCATGAAACATGCTGGAGCCAGCAGGGCAAAGCTGATAAAGCCCACGATCCGCAAGCCCCATGGAAATCCCACGACGGCAAACAGTCTCTCCAGGATCAGAGGCCAAGCGATGCCGCCCAGGGAGGAGCCTGTGAGAACAATTCCCATGGCTAGACCACGCCTATGATGAAACCAATGGGATATTGCCGATATGGTGGGGTAGAAGAGCATCGCAACTGCAATGCCGAAGAGGAGACTCTGCGCCAGAATGAACTGGTAGTATTCTTTGCAGAGACTGACCATCATCTGGGAGAGTGATAGCAGCAGCGTCCCCGGAATAAACAGAACCTTGGAGCCTTTGGCGTCGAAGACTGGGCCAAAAAAGAGGCCTCCGATGAAGAGCAGGAAAAGCTGCAGGGAGCCGATCCATGAGATTTCGCTCGTACTTCGGCCTGGGAGCAGTTTCTCTCCGTAGTACTCTTGGAAGGTGCCAAAAGAATTAAGCATGCCTGTTACTCATTAACTGCAACACTTGGAATCTGTCGTCCGGACAGCTTACCAAAAGTCACAAAGTACGCCAGAAAGCCGCCGAGGACCACCAGCCATGCCCGGAAACCGCCGTCCGGTGGGCCGGCATCATCTTCTTCTTGGGCCTCAAGAGCCATATCTGCAATGGCCTCTTTGGTAGTCATTTGGAATGGTATGTATGATGTAAATTTCTTTGCTGCTAGGCGTACAACTATCCGGCATAGTCGTTGACATCCATACCGATATATAGTTCAGAATTCAGTATACATCCTCGACCTTAGACGGATACAAATCTGACATCCGTAATTTGGCGGAGGATTTTGGTGCAAAGGGCCATTTCTCACCACTATTTCCGGTCATGGGCCTCCCAAATAAAAGAGGAGAAAGCATTGAGTACCTTCAATTGAACGGGAATTTGGAGACGCTTTTCTAAAACAGCCATCAGTCTAGTGTCATCTTCGTTCTCGATGTTGACCCAAGAGCTTCAAGCCATCTATGCCAACAATGCTGGCTTTCTAATTACCAGCTTGTTGGCGTTTGCACTTCTGGCTCTCGCCGTGCGTTCTTTTCTCCGGTCAGAAAAGATCCCCTTGGTCAGCGCAGGCCTCCCCATTCTTGGGAATCTCCAAAAGTATAGTCTTGACCCTGTTGGGTTTATTGCATCCGCCACCCGACTCCATGGAGAGTGTTTCGCGGTGCCCATGCTGTTCGGTCGAACTATCTGGCTGCGCAGCCCCCAGCTAAACAAGGAGTACCTGGAAACAAGAGAGGTATTCTGCTCTCCCGACATCTAACCCGGGGCAAGACTAACAGAGCCCCAGGATGTATGGTCCTTCGGTGATGGAATGGGCCTGTTTCTCAACAAGATCGTCATTCCCGGCTACTTCAGTCATCTGCGCAGTATGGTCGGGTCCTTAAGCAGGGGGATATCCCGAAAGGCGACGCTTGAGTATTACGCCCAGGTCGCGGACGAGGAAACCGCCAAAGCAGTCGACGGTTGGACCTGCAAAAGCGAGGCCGAAAAGTCCGTGGCTCTGTTTGAGGAAATCTCGTTTCTCGTCCACAAGATCATCGTGCGCTGCCTGATGGGCCAGGACTTCTACGACCACCATGTCAGGGAGCTGTACGATCTACTCCGCACCATGGAGGCCAATGTCGGCAGCATCTGGCACACCGTCCTCCCCGGGTGGGTGGCCCACGGCCCAGCACGTAGGCTGTGGAGATGCCGACAGCGTGTGCAAGAGATCTTTGACTTCCGCCTGCGGGAGCGAGAGAGATCTCCAGAAGAGTGGAAGAAGAGGCTGGACTATATCTCGTACACTCTGCAAGACCCTGCCACGGCGCATCTGAGCCGGTTTTACGGTGCCCATCATACTCTGCTGATGTTTGCGGCACACACCAGTACAGTCGCTAGTATATCGTGGATTCTGCTGGAAGTAAGTGAGCATCTGGAGTATCCTGCACTTCCCACTGCAGAAGAACTGACAAGAGACAGCTGCTTAGATCCCCGCACCGACTCCAGCGCCTCCGAGAGGAACTAGCAACGCACGCGCTGGAGCAGTCACCCTTCCTCGATGCCCTCGTCAAAGAAACAGGCCGGCATTACTCTGGTAACAGTGACGTTCGCTGGGCCCGGAAACCGAAGACCCTGCGCACCGAGGTCGCCTCCGTGCCCGAGAGCCGGATCACCATCCCGGAGGGAACGATTGTCTCGATCTCCCCATACCTGACGCACCACGATCCCGCTACGTGGGACAACGCCGATACATATCTTCCCGAACGGTGGCTAGCAGATCCCGACCTAGCAAAGAAGATGAACGAGGGCGGGCAGCTGCGGTATATTCCGTTTGGGGCGGGGAGTCATCGGTGCCCCGGGGAGAAAATGGCCATTCTGATAGCCAAGATTGCCGTGGCGCGTATCGTCCAGAGTTGTGATTTAGCATGGGGGGAGGGCAGTAGTGAGAACACTCTAGGGGGTCTGGACTTCTCCAAGGTCGGCAGTCCGTGGCTGAAGGGGGACGTACAAGTTCGATTCCAAGTGTAGTTTTGCGATAATGGATGAGCTTGCGGTATGGCGCAGTTTGCACATCAAGTTCTTAATCTGGAGACATGAAGTAGATTAACGTAGAAATATAACAATGCACGCCATAGGGTGGTTGTTCTACGCTCTCGATATCTGAACGTTTGAACCTTGAATTATATATCTCACAGGAATCTCCATCGCCAAACAGTTCAATTCCTCAGAGCTCGGAATTATATAGAACACTAGACATCAATAAGCCGCCGCAGGAACATCCGCCAACCCAACTCTCAACTTGTCAAAATCGAACAAAACCACCTTATCTTTCGCAAAGGTCTCTCCAAAGTTGCCAATAATCCAGTCGCCCTCGCCCAGAGTTCTCACATTCAAGACACAAACTTCCTTTCCATCTACCTCACGCCGCTCGACATAGTTCGCCGGGGTCACCTCCCACACGCGATCGTGGCCCTCAAAGACATACTTGACATTTGGAAAGGATGATACCTTCTCACAGTCCACAGAGACAAAGGACTGATTTCCATTGTTAGGAGCAACGTTCGCATCGAGCACCACCGGCCGTCCGCCAGTGATCTCAATCAGACGACGGTAACTGTTCTCGGACATGGGAACACCGCGGCCGTAGCTGGCATGGTCGAAGATGGCGCCGGGATTTCCGCCGATGGAGGTGTTGAGGGCTTGCTCCTCGTCGCCGATAAGGTGCCGCGTCAGACGGAGAGCCCAGTAGTTGTAAACCGCAGGCTGGTAGACGAACTCGATTTCGTTGACGGGCGGGAAGACGATGTTGTCATACCACAGGATCGGGCTGCTGTTGTTCTTGTCGGAGAGACTGAGAACCGGCGACGGGCCGCCAAGGGTCTGCAGTCCATCCTTGCCGTGGCAGAGCTCGCGACGAGGAGTCGGCTGGTCGAATGTGCTGTTATGGCAGTACACGAACGACACCAGGGGTGAGCGGTAGACGCCCTGCTGCCACATCTGGTAAAAGGGCGATTGTGTGGACGCGTTGTCGCTCTTGAATACTGGGGAGAGGCCGTACACCCCGCCAAATGGATACACCATGTCCAGCTGGAAGTGCATATCCGCCAGCTGAAGGGTCACTCTCGCCTGGTGGTCTGGGCCGACACGCTCGATGTCGGAGCCAAAGCCGACGGAGAGGTCGTTGTAGAAGAAGAAGTGGTTTGGGTTCCAGGTCCTCTCGGGATAGAGAACGGATTGGTTGGCGAATGTCCGCGACTCCGTCTCGTTGTACAGAGGCTGGCCGTGTTGGAGACAGGCATAGGTGCCTTGCGAACCGCCATGGCAACGTGGAGTGAAGGCATATTGGCCGATCCAAGTCCAGTCAACGAAGCAGACGAGTGGTTGAGGGGGAGTTCCGATCTGGATTGCGTCGGTGGTGAAGCCAAAGGGAGTCCACGTCAAAGGCATGTCAAAGGCCCCCGAGTGCTGCCTGGCGGGGGCAGCCAACGCCCCGTCCAGAAGGGTGAGAAGCGCAACGGACAGCCACATGGTCGCAATAGATGTATGCACTGGATGGATGGAAAGGAGGTAGGTCCCTCGGGGCATGATTTGTCGCCTTTTTTATAATGTTGATGACGGGCTCCGCGAAACCCTAAGAAATGCCCGCTTCGGAGCGGAGCTGAAGACGATATCGTTTCGTCGCCAATGACCGACCCACGGTCTGATGGACTATATTAGGTAGCTTCTCGGTCTATTCTCCATTGTCAGAAAGGCCCCTGCTGATAGCTGAACCGGAGACCAGACACATACACTCAATGGACATTGTTGCACACATCCAGGGCGATCCGGGCTCCTCCCTCACGCCGCTCATCCTCATCCATGCCATATCCGGCCTGGCCTTGCCCTATTTTGCTCTCGGGCCTCTATCTAAGGACTCTGACGATGGCGACTCCGACAAATCAAGGCCTGTTTACGGTCTATCGTCTCCGATTTTTGAATCCGTTTCTGCATTCCGCCGCCATGGCAAGAGCCTGCCCTCACTAGCCTTGGAGTACGTCCGGATCATCCGCCGTGAGATCCAGCCTCGGGGGCCGTACCTGCTAGGCGGCTGGTCTATGGGCGGCATGCTTGCGATCGAAATGGCCGCGATTCTCGTCGCGCAAGGCGAAACCGTCAAGCATGTGGTGATGATCGACTCGCTGAATCCCGAAGTCTATCCGCCTTTCCAAGACAGCCAGGAGCACCAAGTCCTCTCAACCATCATGTACAACGCTATCGCGTGGCGAGTTCAGGGACTCGAGGAGGCAGGCATGCCCGCCTTGTCCGATGACGCGAGCACAGCGACCAGCAGCGACAACAGTCGAGCAAGCACCGACGACGGGGCCGATAGTGAGGTGGAGAGCGAGGCGGATCTCGATGATTTTATGCAGCAGCAGCGCGAACATGTCCATCAGGGGATGCGCATGCTGGCATCCTACCACACGTTACATCGCCGTGTCTATCTTCCTGACACCACAGTGACCTTGATCAAATGTACCATGTTGGGCAACATGTCTCCCCTGCTTCGTGCGAGTAGGAAGGCCTTCGCAAAGAAAAACCTCCTCGATCCTCACAACGGATGGCGGACGGAGCAGTTCAAAAGCTTTCGTTCAGTTCCGTTTGCTTCTACTCATGATGCGTGTTTCGATGCAGAGGCCTCAGAGGAACTAACAACCATTCTGAGAGGTGTCCTAAAGGACACTGAGGAGTTCTGACATGGATCCACGGAGGAATCAGTTGCTTTACTTGTATTTACTGCTTCAAACTCGATACGATAGACCGTTCCAACGAGAGAAGTGTCCTTTCAGTGAATAGCCAAAGGCTTACCGGGAAAAAGCACTTACGGATTTCAGAGGTAATGCCCGGGACCTGCTCTAAGAATCCTGAGCACTCGCGGAGCGATTCGATCCATCAAGTGTAGGTATAGATACTCCGAACCCCAACGGAGAGATTCTAGACGACAAGTTGCGCCTAACGGAGACTTTTGCGGTTCTCCTTGTACTTAAAACACCCATGAACCGTGCAGTAGACGAAGGAAGCTAATCCTCTGCCAGCGACTATGTCAGCCACAACTCTTCCCAACGTCTCCGTAGCCATCATCGGCGCCGGCATCGGCGGTCTGACCCTCGGTGCATTCCTCCGCCGTCTGGGGATCCCCTTCGTTATCCTGGAGCGAACAGCAGTCCTCACGCCCCTGGGGGCCGGGATCTCCCTAGCGCCCAACTGTCTCGCCGCGCTAGAGCAACTAGGTCTCTATGAGACGATCCGCCAGAACGCGCAGGAATTACGAGGGATCAACGTGTACCGCGAGAAGCGCTGCTGGGGGACCATTGACTTTGGGCTCGCGAAGCAGTGGTTCGGGTACAATGTGCTTTCGATCGAGAGATACGAATTCCATCGGTATTTGTACGAGGCGGCCGGCGGCGCGGGCGTAGTCCAGTTGGGGTGGGATGTTGCCCGCATCGAGGGCCTTGAGAATGCCGACGGTGACCTACGGGTCATTAGCGCTGATGGTCGAGAGGTCCATACTGATATCGTTGTCGGAGCAGACGGTATCCGGAGTGTCACTCGGAGGATTGTATGCCGTTTCTCATGTGCCCCTTTGTGACCAGGCTGATGCAGTATACTAGCTATCGCGGTCAATGGGCCTCCAGCCCGAAAACACCATCCGGTTTACCGGCCGCGTGCACATGTCCGGCTACACAAAGCCGCTGTCTCACTTGTCGACGACCGACCTCGGCATCGGCCATTGGATGCTCTACAACGATTGCATCCTTACCACATGGCCGTGCAAAGAGAACCGGCAGTGGTTCATCGGCGTCAAGGCCGCACCTCCTGATGAAAAGAGCCCTGATCGCTCCGTGTGGAAGGGCGCAACGTCCGATACAGTGAACGCGGTGTATGGAAGCAGGTTCCATCCGTTCGGGGAGGATGGGACTGTCGAAGCGAGTATGTATGCCATCCCAGCACCTGCGATTGCCGGTAACTCAAGGGATGATAAGTTGTCAATAATTCCGAACGCGTCGTCGCTAGCAACGTCTTCGAGGAAGCCGACTTCCCGCACATGGTTCGGGGCCGAGTGGCGCTCCTGGGTGATGGTATACAGAACTTGAATCTCTCTGAATTGTCCTATTGAAGAGAGCCACTGACACGCTGTAGCGGCCCATTCGATGACATCGTTTTTTGGCCAGGTACGTAGCAGGGACAGTGCCCCCCGAATCTGCTAGCCGACTTATATCCAAATACAGGGCGCCTGCCAAGCAATCGAAGATGCCACCGTTCTTGCTGACTCCATCTCGTTGTTTCTGGCTGGCGACGAAGCGGCCCTGGAGACATATGGCCGTATCCGTGAAAAGCGAGCTCAGCAGGTTGCATCGTTTTCGGCACGATATGCGCTTCTGCATACAGCGAGGCTACCGCTCGGGATGGGCAAGGCTCTGCGCGCATTTGTGTATCGCATTCTGCCCAGTAGTGCCTGGATGTGGTATTTGACTTGGTTGTATGGGTTCCAGCCGGTCTCAAAGAGGGTGTGTATTCTTTTATCTTTTCCCGTTTTCTAACGGGTGCGGATTTGGCTAACGGCGGTGACATTAGTTGGAGGCTATAGTTAAGGAACAATAGAGACAAGAGCATGGAGGATACTGAGGAATAGGATCGTTTATAAGGCTTCAAAAATCTTCCGTACAATCGTTGCATTTGGTAGTTATCGTATGGAGCATGTATTTATTCTCCATATTTGCCGTACTCCTCCGCAATACCGGGATTCCAGGCCGGAAAGGGTTTAGAAGCGTCCATGTGAAGATGAGAGTCATATTGTGCTCCTGTAGAACGACCCAGCAGACCTGCGCCTGTCCCGCACACCCGCTCGGCCCCAGAGTTGGAGACGGGGTTAGATGTATCAAATGGGTTGCTCTGCAGCATACTGTCGACATCCGGCGCAGAGATGTCGGGACTCATAAGGAATAAATTCCCAAACGCTTGCCCATCCAGCGTCCCCATTGTTAGATGGGACGAAGGACTGTTGCTCGTTCTCGAGTATATGTCCGATCTAGCCATACCAGGAAACCCGAGCAGGGATTCAAAGGAAGCGTTATCGCTGAAGAACCCGGGGTCAGGGATCTCGAGCGGTGGTACCAGCTGTGACGGCGGGAACCCGGGGCTTTGAGGAATAAAATCATGTATGGAGCAGGCCGAGGAGCCCAGGGATAGGTCTCCGGGCCTGTCAAGCGAGAAGGGGGTTTTCTTGGGCGATAGAGATGGAAAGGCAGCGTTGGCGGCATCGGTGACTTCCGACATGGATACCGGCTGGGACGAGGGAGACATACATAGTGCCCGTAAGGCTGACTTCACCCATTTCAGGCGCTTCTTTGCTGGCCGGAGGACAGACGCATAGTTACCAAGGAAGTCCGATCTGCACACTTGGTGCGCCTGGTCTGCGTAGTCTGCAAGCTTGGTGAGCGCCGGGGCGGCGTCACGATGTTCCTTCAGCTGCCAGTCGTACTGACTGTGGAGTCGGACCAGGGCGTGGCTGCAGGAATCTAGAGAGACGGCCAAAGTCCTGGTGGCATAGGAAGATTGGGCGGGCACTTGGCTGGTTGGGAGAGAGGGAACTCGGGCGGCAATGGTGAGGATTGCAGAGATACACTCTCCTAAGGCCTGGATGATCGCTGGTGTGATGGGAGTAGGTGCTCGTCGCTCAGGGGAGAATAGGATATGGACAATAATGGTATAATATGAAGTTAGGAGGAAGGATTTCGTGGAAGGAATGGTAACCTCTCGCTCAACCAGTTGTATGGCCTGTATGAGGATTCCATGGATCTCAAGCGAAAGGTTGGAGGGATGGAATCGGGAGCGCAGGAGACGGTGCAACTGGTAGATGTGTCGAGTGTGCCAAGGTGCGGCGTGGACCTTACTTTCCTCAGTTGGGGCATTGAGATAGAGAGTGTAAATATGAGCGACCGTGCTAGTGACATGGCTGAGAGGCCATAGCCAGCGCATGGCTTGGACTTGCGATGGGAGAGTCGAGATGTTATTAGACGCCCGGTCAAGACAGAGCACTGCCGATGTTGTCTCGTCCAGACTGGGGAAGTCAGGGATTTCGTCCGGCACCAGCAGCGTGAAGGGCTGGTCAATCTGCATAAACGCCCAGGTCGTGGTTGACAGACACAGCCAGTAGATGTTGCGCAGAATTTCCTGCTCGACTTCTCCGATGTCTGTACCGTTCAACTTCATCCTCTCTCGGTCTCCCTCATCCCGGCTCCGGCGTTGATGCTCTCGCGCGACGACGCGACACGTATAACCGATATAACAGGTGGCTCGCCGGGCATTTCCTTGCGACATTTCCCTCCAGCCCAGAAGGATAAGTGCCTGCGCTGTTGAGATAGGCCCGGCATCGACGTTAGAGCATGGACGATGTTGCAGCTGAGACGCTGCAAACTGAAGCAACTCCTGAGGGGACTCTTCAGGACGCACAGACCCCGTGGTATTCGGATTATCCTTGGGATCGAAAGACTCGAATGCATCGGCCAGTATAATTGCGAGCAGGGCTGTGTCTACCGTTTCATCTTGTATCGCACTTAGAAGCAGTGTCTTCGAGACCACCGCCGAAAGGGGGTGCATAAAGAACCAGAAGTGAACCATTTGCACCACGCGATGTTTCCCTAGCGCAGCAAGAGGGCTTTTCTGACGCCGAGGAGGGTCAAACATGCTCGGCGTCGTCTCGTCGGCCAGCGAGGTGATGTAGAAATACTGGTGCGGATTCGACTGCAATTGTTCATCGCCGAATGCGCCGAAGCGCAGAAGGAGAACCTCCACCATTTCGTGCGCAAGGAAAGATAAAAGACTGTCATAGCTCAACTTGGGCCGGGGCGTTGGAGCGGGAGTATGCGCCGGAGTCGGCTTCCGAATGTGTCGATGAAAGGATGCAATGGAGTTTTGGAACAGGTTGGAGCGAGATCCCGTCTTGCTAATGAAGTATTCCTGAAACATCCTGTCTAATTCACGGCCCAGGGTGGGATTCTCTTGATCCCCCTTTTTGGCCTGGGCGTTGGACGTGTCTGTCCCCCCGCGTCCATTGTCAGCTAGCTGCGGCGACGCCGGCGGTGACCGAGAGAGCTCATGGGGAGCCGTCGAAGAAGCAGAGACAGGAGACGGCTGCGCTGGAGGTGAAGAAACTCTACGACGGCGTGGGCATTGGCGGTGGGAATCGGACACACTGGTGCCTCTGCGTCGGGGTCGTCCCTTGCGTGCCTCGGGACTGTAGATACAATTGATGTTGCGCTCCCGACAGGCCGAACAGATCGGACCACTCGAACATCGGATCTTCCGCGCCCGACAGAAGGTGCAGCTGCGATGAAGCCCAGTGGAGGAGGATGATGTTGTGGAAGAATCGAGGCCGGAGGGGGCGGAGGGTTGAGGCGCCAAGGATGGATCTGCTTCCGTTAAACATCAATCCAGTCCAGGTATATAAAACGGGGTTATCATACCTGAGGCGACTCGGCTGAAGTGAGCCATCTTCTCGTGACAGCGACAAGAATTATTGAGTGGAATAGCTACGTCGGTCAGACTGCTACTTCTGGACAGTACTCCGTAAGCCGGGAGTTGGCTTCTTTAAGGCTCGATCGCTCTTGTGATTCCGGCTTCCGACTGGGCGATCTCAGAAGGTGTCACAGAGACAAGAGTCTACAATAGGTGATCGCGAGATCGTCTGGTCAGAGGACAAACGAGAGTTTTGCCAAGCCACGGATCTGCTTATTTGTTCTTCGGTCTCTGAGCACTAACTACAGTGCAGGACAATATCAACATTATCCCGGGATCAATCCCTTCTTTTCTCAAAGGTCCTTCAGATATACCGTCTACGTTGTTGTTAGGGCATCTGTTGACGATTCCTGTGTCCCTGGTTCTTATAGTCGCGTACCGCGTAGGTACCTACCTACCGACGTTGATATCGCGCAGTCCCCTCTTCACTAACATCAGTATTGCCTGTTTCGGTATTACCTCTTTCAGGCTCCGCCTCCCTGGCCTATACTTCTGTTTTGTACAGGTGATATCCGGTAAATCGCCGTCGATTTGCCCCAGTGTCTATCCCTTCCTCGACCAGACATCCAGACGAGGAAGGTCTACCCAGGATATACTGATGATGGTTGGTAAAGAGTGTCGCCTACGCCTGCTTACCATGATCGACGGCGTCTGCCCTATATTAAGCTGCATGTTATGATGACCGCGAGCCCGTCTCTCAACTTACTTTATCCTGTTGTCGTGCATAACCCAGGGGCCATTTACAATGACATGCCGCTTGTAAGGTATCATTGAATGCGGATTCTGAACATCTTCCATCTAGAATGTAAGTAGGTTACTTGTTAGTATTCCTCTATACTTCCTGAAGTTTCCTGAATTCCGCAGACTCTTTGCAAAAGGCTGCACGAATTCCCCCTCCTGGCGCTTAACAATGGTGCGGCGATCGACGACATACTACTACTAGGAGATGCAGCTTTAGCGTGAACTGCTCCTTACCGTCTAGCGACAATCAGATGCACTCTGCAGCTCAAGATTCGGCCTATCTCCGACAGAAGGCCAGATCACAACCGCGCAACTGCGATGGATTGGCCCGAAAAGTCTCCGGGATCGTGGTACCTACCTAGGTAACTAGTTAGTACATCAGACCAGACACCATGAAACGTGTCGCCCTCCATCCCTGCAGTGGATCTTCGAAGTAGTGTTCGACCATGTGGCTCGAATCGCCCCAAACGTGCGATGGGCCGGGGCCGTCGCGAATCAGTTCTGCATGTGGACCCTGTCAGGACGGCCATAGGACAATTATGTTAAAACCATTATTATCCGTCAGAATGCGCTCAACCCAATAGGTATTGATCACGGGGTGTACCTAGGCACCTAAGTGCGAATCCGAAGTCAGACGATCCAGCTTTCCCCCGTGGACTGACATATCTCCGAACTGTTTCACCGAGACAGGGAAGGAAGGTATGGAATCCGTTGGAATATCGTGTCGGGCCCGCATTACGTGAGCGGTGGTGTTGTTCTCCGACATCGCCAGCCCGACATAATTGGTTTCCCTAACTGGTGGTCCTGATTCACGGACTGGACCTTCCGTGATGTCTCAGCGTGTTCACGGTTTTGCGGGTCTTCAGAAGCCTATCATCCCGCCCCCCCGCGAAACGTTTGTCGGTTTGGTAGCGCAGATCTCCCACCGTCCCCGCGCATTTAGGATCGGCTGCTGTGGTTGTCAACACACCCCTCGGATCCGGGTGCGGACCAGTTGAAGGCCTTTGTCGTCGGTGCCTTTGCCGCTGGCGGCCCTGGCCATGGCAACGGCCTAGCGGGCCGCGCGGGACAATTTTGATGACCGCCGAGATCGATGGGTCCTTTCGCTACACGCCCCAGACGTGACGTCAGAGAACTTGACGCCGTCTGCGAACGAGAGTTCTTTCACCAGAATGCGTATGTGGAGGTGGCGGGCTTGGACCCTCTGAGACACGATGCTTTGGTGTATGATGTATGAGAGCCCATTGTGCAACAGTGGAGTGAAAACACGGCCAGACGTTTACCCTCGCGTACCGCATGGCCATTTGTACCTCCATCGGTTGACGCAGTCGATGAAGGCTCGTCAGGCTGCGATTGCCGGGAGGGGTGGGTTGCTTGGACAGGAGATGAGGGTTGATGAAGCTGTTTTTGGATCAATTTTCCCTCGTCTTTGGTTGCATCAGGTCACCAGTAGCCCATTAAATGGACAAAGAATCAAAGATGTCATCCCTCATACAATTGGATGGATATTACAAGACTGACTAGCAGCTCGGTTGATATCTTGGACATTTGGGCTAGGCCTCTTCTTTTCAACACCTATGGGCCTGAATGGTCGTTGATGGAACTGAGCTCTGCGGCTCCCATTGAGATAAGTTGACAGCAAAATACGGCGCGTGTTATGTGCCAAGAACCACATAATAAATAGCACAACAGGTGTATTGCGAACAAGAGACACTAACGCAGAATAGGAAAACCAAATCAGGACCTTGTGAGAACCAATTCGAGATCCGCAATTGCCATTGTTTCTATTTTGCTGGTCAAATTGCCTGCAAATCAGAGTCAGAAAGCCGAAGTTGAAAACAATTTGCATGTCTCTCGTAGCATATCCCGCGCCTATTATTGGACGAGCTTTACAACAAGCTCAGATGCCATCTCTCCATACTCATCCAACATTTGCCGAAATCGGGTTATTTCAATAAGCGTCCGCACTTCGCATGAAACATAGTGGGTGACTAGATCTCTAAGAGAGCATCCACCTGGTTCTTGTCTGCCTGTCTGCTCATATGTATATTCAAGAAGATCCAGGAGGTGTGGTATAGTTTCCCCGCTGAGTGAAAGACCGGAGAGGTCGCGATGAAGTGACTTTAAGCTCTGTTCTCGTAATGTGTCGACAAGATATCGTGTCGCGAAAATATATATCTTCGCATGGGCGAGAAGGTCCGGATTAGGAGAAATTGTAGCCTCATCTCCAGTAAACCGAAGACCTCTGAATTTGCTCCACCTCCGTTCATATGGACTCCGAATATAGATCGAGTTCTCGATTTCAATCTCTAGCGGGGGCGGCGAGCGATGCTTTTTCCTTTGGGCCTTTGGAGTCAATGCATCCCACTTATAGGAGTAGATCGTTTCTGGTTCCAACACTGGGACAGGTTCTGGTTCTGGCTCTGGTTCCTGTTCCAGTGGCTCTGATCCAGGATTCTGTTCCGCCTGTTGGGTGCTTCTCTCAATCAATCTTGTTCCATCTAAATTGAAATCTCAGTTTATCGTTCTGTGGCACTTCCGGTATACTTACCTTCTGTACCGGCGTTATTATCGTCCTCGTGTTCTTTCCGGCAGGGCGTAGTATAATTTCCTTTGTAACCAAACTCACAAAAAGCGATAAAAGTGTCCTCATCAATGTCCTCTATTGTAGCGGTTCTGGATGTCGCCTCTGTCATGCAACCGTTGTTAATCATAGAGTCTAGAGGAGCGGATAATCCATGAACAAGACCGGCGTGGATTGTCAGCTTTTGTCGATCAGGTCCAATAAGAAAGTGAAATGGGGGCGATCGCATGAATCTTCAGCCGTTAGTTACTGAGGGTTTAAAGGAAGACTGACATACGCTTTGTAGTTTTCCATCTCTAACTATCTCTGGCCGATTGATATATGCAGTAGATACAGACAAGCTTGGTGTATGCTTGGGGGATTAGCTGGGACCAAATGGCTGTTTGTGACCGCCAAGTGATCTTATATAAATCTGCCAGTGACGGTTTGCAACCTAAACCATGCAAAAGAATCATAAGCAGTTACCCACCAAACAAGGACGTTGGGCAGCGACAATCATCCTCTGGATCAGACGCCTGATGGAAGCGACGCACGCTGCACAATACGGTATAGCGGCGCACCAACCAAGCCCAAGACAGGGCGGAGGCAGGACATAGACTTGCTTCGGAATGGAGTGGGCTTGCTATTTGATGACATCTATACCTTGGTGCATGAGCCAAGGCAATGTCGATGTAAATGCAATGAGTACGAGAAGAAAATGAAGGATACAGTTTTGAGGGCACTAAGCCAGTCTTTTCTATAGGGAACCAGCTTGGATGGGAGAATTCCTACTAAATTGGGCAGAAAGTGGTGAATAAACTTATTGATCAAACAACATACAGGAGTGGCTAACTCATTTTGTTGAAAACAACCGAGCAGGTTGGAGCGAATAAGCTATACGATAGTTTACACAACCCATCAAAAATAAAGGAACATCGTTGTCTACCTAGGTTAGTTCTCTATAAAATGAGCACAGCCTTCTGTGACATGACGAACAGATGCAGATGATGGCTGCCCATGGGGAATACCAAGGAGTGAGGCAAGGGAATTGGGAGGACGGACGCTTGACATGTCAGGATTGCATAAAAGATGGTCCGGATGAAAAGGTACATTCTTTGTTATTTCATGTGGAGTCACGATCTTATGCAGCCTCCAGGGCTTTGCATTCTGTACTTCGGACGAAAGCTATTCCGTGCCAACAGCCAGGATCAGTTATCCATCAGACTACATGCATAATTTCAAGACTCTTGTGTTGTACTTAACACAATCTATCCCGCCCACAGCCTAGAAGAGAGCTACTGTACAGTAAAGCCTCCAGTAGCCGAAGCTTGATGTGCTTAAAGAATCGGTGTTGTCATGTGGTTAACCCAATTGCTGACCATTCAGGGCCACCTTAACTAGGTAGACCAGATATTACTTTGACACAACACGCGAGAGTAGGCGCCAATCAAAGCACAGTATGCCCAACCTTCTCCTGTCGACCGCGCCCCTCTTTAAACAGCCATAAATCTCACCCTTAGGGATTTTTTGAAGGATATCAATCACTTTTTTCATCCTATAAGCTCTGGAGAGCATATAAACTATGGACCCCCTTTCAGCCGCAGTAAGCGTTATCGCAGTTATCTAATTAACGGACAGAATTGTCCAAATATGTGGAAATTATCTCAACAGCGAGTGTCAGGAATACGAAAACATCGAACCGTTTCAACTAAAGGTTATCACCCTCGCCCAAGTCCTCCAGTCTCTGGATGAGCTTCTTCGCGGGCCAAACGGCGCGAAACTCCTGGTCACCCAAGGGAATGAGAGGATTCACTAAAATCTGACAGTTGTTGCGCCGATAGTACCCGCTCGGTAGGTCAGCTCCCTAACGTGGTATTTAAACCAACCCCTTCGCTCGTCAGGCCAAATCATACCTAGGTACTTGTGTTCCGTTCCCTGATACCTCAATGCAACAATGAAGTTCGACGGCGCCCTCCAAAAATTCGTCACGGCGTCCCTATGTCCGTCCCGCTCGGTGGTCACCCTCCGCCATGATTCACGCATCGACGGTGACGACCATATGATCTACTTCATCGATGAAGAACCGGCTTATATCATGCGGGTGACGAAGCCGTTCGCGCTTCGACCCTACAGCGGACTGGAACTGCAAACCCGCGATATTGCGATCCGGCGTCTGGTCCAAGAAGAATATCAGGCCCGTGGATTACCATGCGACCATATATCTTATACAATCGCGACTCAGTTGCTGGCCGAGGATAAAGAGTATGCGGCATCGTTGGAAACGCGACTATCCGGGGCGTGTCTAGAACTCGCGCATGTGACACCGGCGACGGTGAAGGGTTTTGTGGACTTGATGGCCACCATGAAAGCAATTGATATAAGCACACTGGAGGCGAGACTTGGCATTTCGATCCCGTCTCGAGACTTTCCAGATCTAAGGCAGCTCCGAGCTTCTGCGATCGAAGCCTGGACTCGACTCGTCCGGCAGGGCCATATCTCCGCGGCGGACTATGGAGACGGAGTGGACGATTTGATCGAAAGAAAAACAGCACTCATTGATCAGATCGGGGACCGCACACCTCGCAACGTCTTGCTTCACGCAGACATAAAAGACCTCCACATTCTGGTTGATGCAGAAAGTGGTCGGATTACCGGCATCCTGGATTGGGCCGACGCCAGTATTGGCAACCCCGCCGAGGATATCTCTGGCCTGGTCTTGTGCGTAGGGGCCGAGTTGGCTACAAAAATCGCGCAGGAGGTGGGATATGATTCCCACGAGATCATGCAGGGTATTGTCAAGGCGCGATGTGAGCGTGTGCTGAGGTTGGAGGAAGTAATAACTGGCGCTGACACCGAGAGTCCGCTGGAGTGGCGGAAGCGTCAGCTGGCAGTGGCGTTGCTCTAACCGATCATGACGAAGATGCGACGGACCGGGGCGGTCTGTGGATAGTTGGATCATTATATCATCCCAGGACTCACATGTTTGCTGGGGTAGATGATGGTGTGGGGGAATCCATAGTTCGGAGTGGAACCGCAGCCCAAATCCCGGATGCATATGATTCCTTGGCAGACGAGACGAGAAACATCACACACGACCGGTAGGCGAGGAACAGGAAGAGCGACACCCTTCAGTACGATTTCCTGTCGTCCGTTGACCACCCCTGGAGTCAGACGCAGAATTCGGAGAAATGGCGTGGTTGCGATGATGGCAGAACTTGGCGCCCCGTTCACCCGGACCGTCCGCGGGGTATCGGGACGGGATTCCTTTAGGGAGGGGGGGTTGGGGGATGATGTTCCAAAACAACCATATAGATGATGGATGAAGATAGTAATAAGAATCGAGTAGAGTCTACTCCATAGAAGAAGAGTACAAGAAGATGAAGTACATACAATACATACTCCGTACATCGATCGGTGAAAGTGACCGGCAACACATTGATCCGGGCCGAGCCGAGGTCCAAGGAAGAAACACGCCGTGACAAGGTGAAGCTGTAATTCTTCTTCTTCTCCAACGATCTACAAGAATCATTCTCTTGTCTGGGTCCAATTTTCTTCTTCTTCTTCCTCCTCCTCTCCTCTCCTGTCTTCTCCCTCTCACTCTCTTACCTACTCTCTTTTCCCACCGTGGTCGACTTCTAACCATCTGCGCATTCGCCGGGAGATCTCCGCATTGTCTTATTCTGTACAGCTCCCTCTCCCTGACTGTCCATTTCCGGATCCCCCGCGATCGCATCCCCCCGCCATCATGTCGTCTGCCTCCGCCTCTACGCCTGAGACGATTCGCGATGATATCAAGGTCGCTGAGCCCAAGCCGGTCAACCAGACCATTGCTCAGCTCCGCTCCCTCGTGGCCGGTGCCGCGGGTGGTGTGTGTGCGGTCGTTGTCGGCCACCCCTTCGATCTGGTGAAGGTGCGCATGCAGACCGCACAGAAGGGCGTCTACTCCGGCGCCATGGATGTGGTGCGGAAGACGGTCGCGCGCGAAGGCCTCGTCCGAGTAAGTCGATCGGACCGATCCGATGCGCCCATACTAACTGCCGCAGGGAATGTATGCGGGTGTCTCCGCTCCCCTCGTCGGCGTTACTCCCATGTGTAAGTTGGCTCCAATCCCCATAGTTTTCGCGGTCAGCCACTAATTTCGGTACAATTCTAGTCGCTGTTAGTTTCTGGGTATGTATTCATGATATGACGCACTATGTCCCGATCCGGCCTTAACCGCTTGACCAGGGTTATGACTTGGGTAAGACGCTCGTGAGCAGCCTCTCCACTGTGCGGGTTGAGAACAACACCCCTCAGTACACAATTGGCCAAATCTCGGCTGCCGGTTTCTTCTCCGCCATCCCCATGACCCTGATCACGGCGCCTTTCGAGCGTGTCAAGGTGCTGCTCCAGATCCAGGGTCAGAACCCACCCCCACCCGGCCAGAAGCCCAAGTACTCCGGTGGAATGGATGTCGTCCGCCAGCTTTACAAGGAGGGTGGAATCCGCAGTGTCTTCCGGGGTAGCGCCATGACGCTCGCTCGGGATGGTCCCGGATCGGCCGCCTACTTCGCCGCCTACGAGTACATCAAGCGCACCCTCACCCCCAAGGATGAGAACGGCAACGTCACCGGGGAGCTCTCTATGCCCGCCGTCCTGGCGGCTGGTGGTGCTGCTGGTATCGCCATGTGGATCCCCGTCTTCCCCGTCGACACCATCAAGTCGCGCGTGCAGAGTGCTCCGGGCCGTCCGACCATCGGCGGTACGATCCGCGCGGTCTACGCCAGCGGTGGTGTGAAGGCATTCTTCCCCGGGTTTGGTCCTGCCTTGGCTCGTGCTGTTCCGGCCAACGCTGCCACTTTGTAAGTCGTCGTCCCCTTTCAGTGACAGGCGCATTGCTGACCTGATAACAGCGCTGGTGTGGAACTTGCCCACAACTTCATGAAGAAGTTTTTCGATTAAATGCGGGCCGGTGCCCGACCTACTTTCTTGTGCTATATTTGAGGCGTTGTCGTTTTCCTCTTTTCTTTTTGTGAAATTATGCTGCTATGTTCCTAGATTTCGGTGCATTTGGCCAGCCTGGATGTCCTTTTCATTCTTAGACTTATGACTTTCCTGGTTGTCTAGATCGGTCCATAGGAATACCCTGAGCGTGCTATCTTCTCTAAAAGCAAGATTGATATCGTTTCCAAGTACTGTCAGATGGTAAACAGAGAAGTCCGGGATGCAGACTAAGGATCTTACCCTCGTCAGCCATTTCGGCCATAGTATCAGCATGCATCTATGCGGCCAACCCATCGAACTTTCGGACGATTTCTGAATAATTTCGACTCTTCAATAATGACACGATGGATCACTTATTCCTCGGCTATTCTTCACGGAAGAATTACCATGATAAAGCGCGTAAGCGAACAATGCGTGGCGGAGGATCTGGATCCCCGTCTAGACCAGTTAGACCCGAAGGTTGCCTGGGGCTCAGCCGCATTCCTGCCTAGATTTAGCACCTGTCTTATTAATAACTGCTGCTCCCCGCCCTTCCTTCGTCTGACTCTCCTTTTCCTACCAACATCATCTCTTCCATCCTTTCATTCAGCATCATCTCTTCATCTCCATCATCACCATGGTGGTTTCTTCGCTCGTTCGTCGAGGCGTGGAGTTTGCGGCTCAGCAGCCCGAACAGCCCAACATCCATTTCTCCGGATGGCTGCTGGGTCTGTTCATCTTCACGGTCTTGGCCTTCTGCTTTGCTCTGTTCAAGGTGAGCCCCCCTTCACGTCTGTTGCTCTATTGCGTCTATTGCGTCTCTCGACTAAACCACCTTAGATTGATTACACCTATGGCATGGTCGTCGCCACCCTCGCCGCCGTGGAGGAAACGAACCCCGACATCTACGTTCGGATCGATGCCAACCTCGACCCGACCAAGCCTACCGACCCCAACGAGGTCGCCGCCGAGGCGCCTCCGCCCAAGCCCATCACAAGCAAACTGCGCACCACCATCAGACATCTTCGCGCCCGGGCCGGGTTCTGGTCGCGATTCCGCGGGCTGAGCATGTTCCTGACTTACGTCATGGCATCCTCATTCCTCTACGCTGTGATGCCCGTGTCCATGAACAACTTCCTGGGTCAGTTCGTCTGCCAGACGATCATCGGCGTGGTTCTGGCCAACCTGCAGCTCGCCTGGGTCCATATCGTTATCTCGGAGCCTTCCCCTAAGCGCTTCTACCAGCGCATCCCGGGCTACAAAGCCTGGCTCAGAATCGCCCCCGTCGTGGCCTTTGAGCACGCTGTCGTGGCAACGGCTTTCTATGTGCCTCTCATTCTCACGGTCGGTGTGCATGGTTGGAAGTTCCTCGAAGGCGGTTCCCTGTCTACTACTCCTTCGAACTCGGAACTGAAAGCTGCGGCGGGCGCCATGGTCGCCCCATGCGTGCTGTCCTTCTTGGTTTCCATTCCCGCCCGGGCCATCTTCCTCCGTGTGGCGGCATCCATGCTGCCTGACGAGGACGAGGCGATCGTGCCCTTCGACCGCTCCTTCGGCGGCAAGGTGGTTCCCGCCATTCTAGGTGGTAGCGGCAAGCTGAGCATCCGCGACGCATGGAAGACCTTTGATGGTCCTGCGCGGATGCGTTACTGTAAGGTAATTGCCAAGGTCTTTGCGATGGAGGTGGGGGTGTCTGTATTCTTCACCCTGTTGCTGGCTGCCCAGGTGTACGCGGGCGCTGTGAGTATTGGCAGCACTCGCAACTAGACCATCCATCCCGCTCTTCCGTATACTTCGACATGGCCGACCACAACCACTGCTCTGTACATTCTCTTGATAATTTCTTATTAGTATCTGACTGTGTATTTACAACTTGGGAAATGGACCCGTTGGTGTTCTAGTGGAATATAATTACGCGCGTGTTGTTTTCGGCTATTGAGAGATGTATGGATGTTCCCCAAGACACCAGTGAGGTCACTCTCTGCGGTGAAACTGCAGCAGGTGACTTGGGAGTACGAACGCCCGTAACGCGACAGCCCCGCCGCCCCCTCTCTACACCGCCTTTGGTCGGTCTTTCATTCCCCCTCCGCAGTATCGGGATTCTTATCGTTCTTTTTCGTCCTCCTCATCTCGTTTGATCCTACACTTCTGCCGATTTGATGCCCACTTAGCGTCGGTCTTTGAGCACTACCCTCCTGCCTATCTTCTCTCCCTCCCCGCTGTTCATCCGCTCGGCATCCCAAGATGGCCACAACGCCAGCAGGCCGCATGCTGTCCCGACAGCTGCAGCAGATGCAGTCTGATAAAGATATCCCGGGGATTAGCTGTGGACTCGTCGATAATAATGTATTTGAGTGGGAGGTGATGCTCATGATCTCGGACGATGTGAAGCTATACGGCGGTGAGTGGCCAACCTAGGATTGGCGATAAGATGACATCAATTTTTATATCCGCCAAAATTCCGCTTAACCAAACGGGACTGACTTGCAAAACCCAGGGGGCTTCTTCCGGGCTCGCCTGTCCTTTCCCCAGGACTACCCTCACATGCCACCGAAGATGAAGTTTGAGTCTCCTCTGTTCCACCCTAATAGTACGTGCCGTATGGCCCCTGCCTTGGACCTGTTTCCTAACGAAATGCTTTAAGTCTACCCCAACGGCGAAGTCTGCATCTCCATCCTGCACCCCCCGGAGGAAGACAAATACGGCTATGAGTCCGCCGCAGAACGCTGGTCGCCCGTGCAGACCCCTGAGACGATCCTTCTCTCCGTGATTTCCATGCTGTCTAGCCCGAACGACGAGAGCCCGGCGAACGTGGAAGCAGCGCGTCTGTGGCGGGAGGATCCCAAGGAGTTCAAGAAGCGGGTGCGCAAGTGCGTCCGGGAGAGTCTGGGTGAGGAGTAAGCCGTGGATCGGAGTGGAAAGGAGGTCTACGAATTTCTTTTTCTCTTTTCTCTTGACTTTTTTTCTTGTCCGGCACCGCATGCGATTGGAGGTCGATATTTATACTGGTCATATTATACCATTTCCCCGTCTTTCATTTTGATCTCTTGGCCATGTCTTGTTAATTTCATCTCGTTGTCCAGGGGTGCTGCTTCTGGAGTTGCGTTCTAGGTCATGGTGTTAGATTGTTCATATACGGTCATTGCATGTGCTTCACGCTTCACGCGTGTCATCTCGTTGAATAATCCTATTCTCTAGTATGGGTTGCTACGAAACTGAGACATATCTCAACCAGACTGAAATGTCAAGCAAGCAATCTGTATATGCAAGTAGGTGATATGCTTCTATAGCGCTAATCATCAAAAGCATCGCCGGAGTACTCCAGCTATGGGTATATCTATCAGATTTATGACTTGCTTTTGACCTTCCGGAGCGAACGAAGGAAGAAGCCCGGGTGACAGACGGTGAGAGCGAGCAAGGCGAGCGCGATCATCCTGATAATATTAGCATCGAACTTACACCCTCCGAAGAAAACACTTACATCCCGTCCAGGACAAGGAACTCGTCTTCCTTTTGCATCAGGGGATTTCCCCAACCACCTGCCATCTCGGGGATACTAGGCCACACGTCAGTTCTGCCATGTCATACAGGCCAACGAGGAACAGGCTCGTACCGATAAATACAACGGATCAACACCGTCACGTAGGCGAATATCTCCGCAACCACGACCAGCTTCACGTACTTCTGGTCGGTGATATTCTCCGAGGTCTTTTCCCCAGACAGACCGGGCCCGTGGCGAATCACGCGCACGAAGAACTCCAGCCCCAGCAGGCCGCACACCGACATGGTGGCCCACCTGGAACGCGATACCCGCGATGATGATATTGTTGCCCGCGTTGAGAAGCTTCACGTTGGTGTTCCCCGCGGCAGCGGCGACACCACCACCTGCCGCTTGCAGGATGAGTGACCCGATGTCACAGCCGATGAAGATCCAGGTGAACAGGCGCGGCTGCAGACGGGAGTGTTCCGGGCCCAGCGAGAGGATGATGTGCTTGAGGGTGAGGTAGATGCCGGCCGCGACGAAGGTGGGCGCCAGCACCAGACACACGATCTGTAGCTTGAAGGCGTCTTCGTCCCACGGGTTGTGATGCATGAGGATCCGTCCGATGTACCCGGCCATCTCGAGAAAGCCGCCCACCACCAGCGCGACCATCAGCGTCCACGCCCGGAAGTACACGCCGATGCCGAGCTGCGCCAGCCCCAGGACGCCGTAGAAGACCGTGAAGAAGACATTGCCGCCGAAGTTTGGGTAGTAGCCGTATGTGGTGGCTTCGACGGGACACAGGGGGCCGACTTCTTTGCAGGTTCTGTAACTCATAGTCGAGGCTCGCCGGGGTATGATATGATATTAGTAATGGTTATGCTCCAGTAGTTGGGAGGCGAGTTTCAGGATATCGGAACAAGGAGAAGCAAATGAAGGAGAGGACGCAAGACGCTGATGTGATGCAGGAGATGGTCGAGGAGGGTATGAACAAAACAGACGATGGACCACTCGCAGAATTCCCCAGTGGCTGAGACGCCATTGCGGGATGATGATAATATTTTAAGCCTGTCCTCCGCCAGGCTGATGCTGACCCGGCTTGTCTTCCGATGGCCGTTAACCAGGCTAAAGTCCTTCGCTATCAGGTCTGATTGGTGCGTTTTCGTTTTCGTTCTCGTTTTCGCTCTCGCGTTGGACCCACCACCAATGATGTGGAGATTTCTTGTTGATGGATATAAAAGCAGTATCAGTCTTCGGCGTTCGGAGATGACCATCATTTCGGGCCTCTCGGGGTTCTGCTCGGCATGACGATGCGCGGTAGCCGTCCATGGATCTAGACCATCAGCCCTATCTCGAAGATCTCTCGTAAAGCAGTGCTGGCCGTGTCAATCGGACTCGTTCGTCCCCTGTCGGCATGTCTCCAAGCGAGATGGTAGTTGCCGCAGTGGAGCCTCGCTTGGACTCCGCCGGACATTGTGTCCTTTGGGGCGAAGGTCTTGGCGAGGGGTCAGCAATATGAGGTGAGACAGTGACGGTTGGATCTGCAGGGGTATTCTGGTGTTTTCTGGACGTGACAGTAGTTGTACTACTGCCAATGGAGGACGCGGGAGTTCAGACAGTCTGTTGTCTGTTGTAGTACAGTGTTGAGGGAGGGATTAGTCATCCAACGTGCCCCACGTGGTTTATTCCCCGGCCGAATCAACAATTGTCCGGTATTCCGTACTTTCTTCCCCGACCATCTCCAACTGTCAGATCCCATCTTATCTCCATGCCGCTCACCCATCCTATTCTCTAGCTCCGGGGTCCCTTGGAAATGCCGCCCCGGAGGTCCCATACGAAATCCCGCAATGGCTGTGACCAGTGCAAGAAGAGGCGCGTCAAGGTATCTTCCCTGTTGTATGTCTTGTAGTCGGATCTGACCCTCCCAGTGCGATGAACAAGGCCCACCATGCGCCAATTGCCTGTCGCGAGAATTACATTGTACCTACTTGAACGCTTTAAGGGCCCGGAGTCATTCCTCGCCCGCGACACCCCCAATCAATGGCGGACATTTCGTTCCACCGCCTCCCGATCCCCGAGTCCACTCGATTGCCGGCCCGTCGCGGCGGCGGGACCTAGAGCTAATGCACAAATTCTCTACGGAGACCTATGAGAGTCTCTGTAATGCCTCCACTGATCGATACACCTGGCAGATCACCATGCCACGGAAAGCCCTCGAGCATGACTTTCTCATGAACGGGATTCTGGCCGTGGCAGCACTACACACGGCAGCGACGACAAACCCCCCTGAGGCACTATCGTATCTCGACGCAGCCCTCGAGTATCACAATCAGGCATTCACCCCATTTCGTCAGGCCGTCGACAATATGACCCCCAGCAACTGTGATGCCGTCTTCGCCCATTCGGTTATCACCACTGTCATCGGTATCGGGCTACCTCACCTCACGGCGGAGCGAGGCGAAAGCCCCAGCATGACGGAGAACATCATCGTAGTCTGCGAGCTGTTACAGGGGGTTAGTAACATCTTCAGAATCGGCCGCTCATGGTTCCAGACAAGCCTCTACTCCCGAAGCAAGTTCTTTGACGACCACGCGCAAGACTTGGCCAGTGACACGGAGGAAGCTCTCACCCGCTTGACCGCTATAAATGATGCCATAATGGCCCGAGTGGATGCAGATCAGCACCGTATCATTAAAGATGCCCTAGGTCTGCTCCGTCGCAGCTTCACGCGCTACAGATCTTCCCCGGATGCCGCTTCCGTATTATCGTGGCTTGCTGTCGTCGATAAGGAATTCGTGCATGCTTTGAGACGTCGTCAGCCGCTGGCGTTGCTCGCCTTGATGCATTGGGCCGTTCTTCTCGGCGAGCTGGATGGAAAGGTCTGGTGGGCAAAGAAGTCCGGTCCCGCGTTGGTCTCCGAGTTGCTGGTCGCATTGCGCCCGGGTGACCTTCAGTGGGAGGCTGCTCGCTCGTGGCCAAAACAGAAGTTGGGACTGTGAATCCACGGTTAGGACAACCTTCGGGTGTCTAATCTGTCTCCCGCCTAGAGGATACTCCCCTTGGGATCACTGCTGATAACGAATATCGGGTTTCATTCCGGATCACCACCTTTCAAGCTCGATGCGGAGATGAAATGGCATTTTGGAAAACACAATGGCCAGAAAGCGTCCCATGTACTTCGAAGAAGAAGAGCATGGCACTCTGCGACGGCTAACGAAAGGGTGAAGCGGGTCAGACAATAGCCCTGCGGTCATCGGTAACCAAATATTGGGCGCGTCTCGTCTCTGCTAAGCAGCTTAGCTGCCAGGCATCGGATCACCAGGTGACTAGCTGGAACGGGACTGTGGCGCCTTCTCAGCCAGGAAGCGTCATTCATTTCCCCAGATAATATCAACCGCCTCTGCACGATATTGATTGCTTTGACCTGGCCTCGTCTTGTCTGCGGAGGCAGGTTACTCGAAAGGATTGGAGAAATACGAAGGAACCCGCTTCTTACCTTGGAACCAGACACGGAGGGGTCAGAAAGTAGAGTTCCTGGTGCATCTCAGAAACAGAGTCCCCGTTCTAGATTTTCTCCGGCCTCAATCAGTACCCCTGGGTCGTTGCAAACCTTGTCCTACATTGGCTTTCTTCAAGTGGCCAAACGGCGCAATAACGACAACGACGTAACGTCCTCCTTTCCGTGGAAGTACATAGTTTCCCTAATCCTGAAGGCCACTACTATTCGAGTTAGTAGAGCGACTATTCAGTGCAAACGTGCGGAGGCTTGCTTCATCATCCATGGTTAGACCCAATAGCTTCAGTACGCGAAGGATTGTTGCCGCGGGGAAGAAGCTCATCCAGTTCGTCTATGACTTTCGAGGCAAACTCTAACTTTGTCCTTCTTCCACCAAGAGAATACCAATATGGTACTATGAAAGCACCGTGCGCTGGTAGCGCAGATATATCATTCATTCATTGCCCTGGGCTCTTGAATTGGATGCCACGGAAACTATCTAGGTAAATGGATACATTCAGAGACCAGTTCCAATGGACAGTCTTCCATCTTGTGCGGTAGGGAGCACCCATAATTCCCTGTTTCCTCGTACATCACTGACGGTGTCTCCTAGCTCGAATGTTTAGCTGGAGCTGTGCAAAATTCTTCTTGTACCTTGTCGGACTTTAATTGCATCTGTCAAGATACCCAGCTTAATGCACAGGTGGAACCATGCATTCTTCAGAGCTGTACCGTGAAGGAGGCGTTATGTCCGTCAATATGGATCTATGGATAGGACGCCGAAGCTAATAGGACACGATTAGCCGCGCAGAGATTCTCATATACCACATGCAAATACCCCACCAGCAATGATGTGGAAATCATTCACATCGTGAACATTGTGGGCATCATTGTCGCGATTCTTTCCGTCTCCCTTCGCGTTGCAGGTCGGATCGTGAGCTCGAAGATGGGTAGTGATGATTACACCATCGTGGCTGCTTTGGTGAGATTACGTCTTGTTAATATTGCAGTCTCGTCGTGGTATATGGAATCACCCCTAATGAGAATGCCCAGTTCACTGCCGTCGCGATCGCCGGAGTTGGTTTTCCACGTAAATTGCCTTCCACCTGGATATATCTACTTTGTGGATATGCTAACAAACCCTTTACAGTCGGCTCACATGGTCTAGGGAGAGATATCTGGATAATATCATTTGCCGATATAACGAAGACACTCAAAGTAAGGCATCCATACCAACATAGCCAACACAGAGATCGTCCCTTACTAAGACCTCGGTAGCTCTTTTTCATCGAAGAAATCCTATACGTGATCTGCATACCCATGATCAAAGCCTCCATGCTTCTGCTATATCTCCGGCTCTTCCCCTGTCGGACTTTGCGAATCGCCGTTCTATTTACTCTGACGTTTACCATCGCCTGGACCGTAGCTAGCTTCTTCGGCGAGCTGTTCTCCTGCAGCCCAATCCACTACTACTGGCAGAGGTGGGACGGCGAACACAAAGGGAGATGCGTGAATCATAACGCACTCCTCCTCGCCCACGCCATCACCAACATCACCCTTGACGTAGTGGTGATTGGGCTGCCCCTGCCTACTCTTCTGAAATTGAGGGTGTCGTTGGAGAAGCGGATCGGACTGTGTCTGATGTTTGCTGTCGGCTTTGTGTACGTGCACCATCCACCTTGAGTCCAACCGTTTCTTTGCTTTTCTGACACAACGTCCAGGGTGACTGTCATCAGCATATTCCGCCTTATAAAAGGAGTGGGTTTCGACAGTAGCAGAAACCCGACAAGTAACTACCCACCGTCTACTCCGAGCTTTACCAGTCGCTGACATGAGGGGCATGCAGGGGACTTTGTGCCCGTTGGTATCCTGAGTCTGCTGGAAGTGGACATAGGCATCATGTGTTCTTGCATGCCGGGAATAAGGGCATCATGCAAATATGTCTGGGCAGCCATCACGAAGAAACAGATCACGACCGGATCGTCAACCGGACGGGGGAGTTCGGGGAACCGGCATCCGCTCAAGGCGAGTCAGGATCCTGGAGGGCGCATAGGACAAGACTACCCGCTCAAGGAGCTGTATTCATCCACAAGACGTTACTCGCTAAGTGGCGGTCGATCGGGCCAATTCATCAGGCTGAAAGAGATTGACCCTGTGCATGAGAGGCAGGCTTCAAGAAACGATGCGGTTCTGGTGGAGAGCGCGCAAGAAGGGCTCAGCTGGCTGAGTGATGGTGATTCTTAGATCCAAATCTTGCTACTCTACATATTTAAACATTGTGCTTTTGTCTTGATAGCACGGTGCAAGATGCTACAGCACTGAGCTCAATCCGACGTACTTCGGAAATATGTGAAATATATAACTCCAGTGGCTACGTTATGAACTTATGAGATTTCCATGCAGCATATACAAACGGACCACGCCAGTGGTAGACATCATACAAGTTAAGAAGTCTTGTTTCCACCCCCACACCAGCATCGCCCATCACCCTCCCGTTCCACTTGGACGAGGATGTCCATGCCCTTTTCCCGGAGGAAGTCAACCGTCCGTTGCCGCACGTCTTCTAGATCAGCACCGCGGCCGGCAATCACATGGATTACTCCTAATACATCTCGGCTCGATTTCGCGTGGTCGTGGTCGTGGTCGTGGTCGTGGCCGTGATCATGATGGTCGTGCGAATGAGAATGAGAATGCGAGTGGGAATCGTTGTGGCCGTGTCCGTGGCCATGACCATGGCCGTGACTATGGCTATGGCCGTGGTCATGGCTGCAACCGTGATCGTGGTGGTCATGCTCAGACGAAGAAGCAGTGTCATCTAGCCAAAATTTGGGCACCGTGTACCCCACCACGCCGCGGAGGGTGCAGACTCCGGCCAAAGTATCGCGGACATTGTACTCAACGTCCGCGGGGAGGGTAAGCAGAAGCGACTTTGCGGTGCTGCTGACGAGAGGAACGGCCGACGCGAAGATTAAGATTGCGATCAGGCAGGAGGCAATGGGATCGTACCCCGGCCAGCCAGAGTAGTGAACGAGGACTGTCGATATCACCACAGCCACGGAGCCCAGTGTATCCGCCAGAATGTGGAGAAAGATCCCATGCATATTCTCGTTGCCGTGAGAATGGGAGTGTCCGTGATGATCGTGGCCATGACCGTGCCCATGGCCATGCTCGAACGCCATAATACCAACGAGATTGACCCCAAGACCAGCAATGCTGACAAGCAACAGCTCCCCGATACGGTGCACTTGGCTGCCGGTTGAGAGTCTCTCCACCGCCTCGTATATGATCTCAATACTGATGATCCTAAGGAAAGTCAGTCATACAACACCCAGAAGTGCAGTTTGAAGCCACTTACATGAGGAAGATACCGTTGGCAAAACCTGACAACGTATCCACCTTTCCATAGCCATACGGGAACCGGGCGCTGGGTGGCCATTTACTCATAACAGCTGCGCAGAGCCCTACTACAAGAGCGAGGCAATCGAAGAACATGTGGATGCTATCGCTGAGAAGACCCAGGGACCCTGTGAGGAAGCCATATGATAACTGCACCAGCATGAAAGCGAAGTTGAGACTGCTGGCGTTAGCGCAGAGCTCACCCAAATAATCTCAGAAATCATACCTCATAAAGTAAAAGATCTTCCGGGAATCGCTTTCTTTGACAATACTGTACAATAGAGGATAGGGCTCGCTGTAACGAATGATAAGTTTCGACACCCTGGACGCATCACTGTCGTGGTGACTGTGATGGGTGTGCGTGTGAGCTCCAAGGCGTGAATGACTGTCATCAAATCGGGCAACGAAGAATCCGATTGCAGAAAGCATGCAACGGAAGAGATAAGCCACCTGGACACCGGACTGCAATGGGGGTGCGCACAGCAAGGCTGCGCCTCCTGTCGAAATGGCCATTCCCAGTTTTTGAGGAGACCTAATATCCGTTGGAACCACGTAAGTTATACAGGCCGCTAGTGCACCTGCAACGGATAAAAGGTGCAGAGCATGAGAAGCGCCAACTGATATACTCCCAAAAATGAAAGTCGTGATGCCTAGAAGTAACCCCGCAAACGCGATTACGACCGACTCCTCCGACGATACCACAGGCGAGGCCATGCTAGAGGATTTCTGCTGAGGGGTTGGAATTCCAGGTCCTGATATACCGAGACCTGGCACTGCGATGGAACTGGGCGTCTGGCCTGAGAACGGGGGCCGGGCAAGGAAGATGGAACAGAGCAAGGCGACGTATCCAATTAGAGGCCGGGACTCCATGGATGGACTCAGTCCGAGATAGTTGAGCACAATGACCGTTACAATAAACCCGACAGTCAGCTTCTTCTGGCTGAACTGTGTTTGTCCGCTGGCGGGCATGGATCCTGAAGTAATGGTTGGCACTCCGGATGCCATTGCAAGCAGCATGGTAAACGCGACGAGAAAGCCGCCGACCTTTAGAGCGGCATAAATAGGAAGTGCAATGGAAAGCGCACGTAGGAGAGCTCCTTTAGCCATGTTCGCATCAACTTTTGGTGATGCGACCACGGCGGATCCCCCAGGTCGGAGCAACTGTCCGACCCCGAAGATAATCATTGTCAAGGCAGTCAACGTGCAGGTGCGTGATGCGATTCCGTCCACATGCGGAGTGTCCAATGCCGAGGAGCCTTCCTCGGTTGCAGTTGTATGCGATAACGCAGCGTCGGCGTGATGTTTGTAATACCAGGAGAGGGCAGTCCACGGCAGAGCCAACAGTAAACTCGCAGAGATTTCGCTCCTACCAGACGGTTAAATGCTGCTGCACAAAGCCTTCAAGGGCTCTTACCTGTTCCACAAACCAACATCTGGTGACGGTAGATGCATGTCTGACACCAAGCCAGTTACGCTGCCTGAATGGCTGTGTTTGGCCGCATGCGTATGCAGACCATCGCCATGGTTTGAAGTGTGTGAATGAGAATGGTGATGCCCAAGTCGCGGTTCTGGAACTGAGCCATTGGAGTGTCCTGGGCCATTCAAAGTGGGTGCCACTGATTGTTGCGCGGGGTTTAGATCGGAGATGGAGATCGAGTGCGATATTGGGCCGGTTGAGCGCGAGTGGCCTCGACCGCGGGCGTGTTTATGACCATGTCCGTGAGACGGTGGGGGAAGAGTATCCACGCCGGACACGGGTGCCCCCGTTGACATGGTCTTTTCCTTGTCGATTGGCCCCGAAGCCGGCTTGGAAACGAGCTAAAGGGGGCAAGAGGAGGGGAGAGGTGGCACGGGTGACGGTTGTTGGAGATAGGGGGAGCTTTAGGAGCTCGAGAACGTTGACCGAGCGGGGGATGGAGACAGACAGCGCGGCATAGCTCGATGGCGCAGCGATATTAGCGAATTCAAAGAAGGAGTCGGAAAGGACGACGTCTGTCTATCCAGGATGAAGCAACAATATGAATGCGCCGATGTGATGGTCGATAAGGATCAGTCCACGTGACTGGGGAATTATCGGGGTAAGGATGCCTGGGATGTCAGGCCCCAAACTGATAAGTTACGTAAATGCCGTCGCCGTCATCGTCCAGCGGTTGATCTTCCTTTCTCGCGCGATCCATCATGATCGACTCCCTCATCACCATTGCCGTCTGTATCTCTACTGCGCTCACAATCCTCATTCTCCTATTACCATCGCAGTATGTGCCGAAGCGCAGCACCGAGCATGACGGCCCCAATGAGCCCAAAACGACCGTCCAGGTCCTTGTCCTCGGCGACATTGGCCGCAGTCCCCGCATGCAGTACCATGCGCTGAGCATTGCAAAGGGTGGTGGGCACGTGGACATCATTGGATATCATGGTACGACCAAAGATGATATTGTATTTACAAGACCCGCAGCTAACAGCCCATCCAGAATCCGAAGTTCATCCCGACATTTCGTCCGATCCTAGAATATCTATTGTTCCTCTACCTCCACATCCGTCATGCTTACAGACCACCAACAAGCTTCTCTTCCTTCTGTTTGGACCATTGAAGGTGTTTTTCCAGATTGCCTGTCTGTGGTGGGCGCTCGCATACCGTACCAAACCCGCCAAATGGCTTCTTGTCCAGGTTTGTGCCCAGTCAAATGTGGTGAACCTTGCCAGAAATAACATGCTAACGGTTTCCTTGCCATTAATAGAACCCTCCGTCAATCCCGACCCTCGCAATCGCATCCATTGTGTGTTTCTTCCGACAGACCAGACTCGTAATTGACTGGCATAACTTTGGCTACACTATCCTTGCGCTTAAACTGGGGGACACCCATCCACTGGTCAAGTTCTCCAGATGGTATGAGCGGACGTTCTGCAGATATGCTACGGCCCACATATGTGTTACAACGGCCATGGTATCGGTCTTGAAGAAAGAGTTCCATTTAGAAGCCCCCATCCTACCATTACACGACCGACCAGCAAGACATCTCCAACCCATCTCCGATGAAGCCGTCAGGCGCGAGTTCCTCGCATCTCTTCCACAAGCTGAATCCGTTCGTCCAGTCATGTCATCCGACGCTTTGCGGGTTCTAGTCAGCTCAACCTCGTGGACCGCGGACGAGGATTTCTCGCTGCTCATCGATGCGCTCAGCCGGTACTCCGAATTGGCAAGCACTAAAATACCTCGGCTGCCCACAGTCCTCGCTGTGATTACAGGCAAAGGGCCTCAGAAGGAGATGTACGTCAAGCAAATCTCCCAGTTGGAGGCTGCAGGAAAGCTTCAGAAAGTCGTGATCCGCACCGCTTGGTTGAGTACAACCGACTATGCGCGACTTCTGGCTTCCGCGTCCCTAGGCGTCAGCCTTCACACAAGTAGCAGTGGAGTTGATCTCCCGATGAAAGTGGTTGACATGTTCGGTGCTGGCTTGCCGGTTGTCGGTTGGAGTCGTTTCGAGGCATGGCCGGAATTGGTGACTGAAGGTGTCAACGGGAGGGGATTTGGATCTTCCGACGAACTCTTGCAACATCTTGTGGACCTATTTGGCGATGCAAGCAAGCTTGAGGGGCTTCGTGCTGGTGCTCTGAAGGAAAGCGCCCGTCGTTGGGATGATGAATGGGATCCCATTGCGGGCAAACTCTTCGGTTTAGTATAAATAAGACACCATAGAAGCCGTCTCTTGTGTATCATACGAACTAGCCACCTCAGCCATGACAGTTGCTATGAAAGCTCCAGTCTATGCATAGAACTTGCCATTGCAGTAGAGACATGTGTCGAAGACGTCAGAGAGGGCCCGATAGGCATGCTGAAGCTCGGTTCCATATGAAGAAGGGATGAGGTCTTCATTGTAATACTCCGTTCCACAAACAGAGCAAAGCTTGGATATTCCAGGTTCCTGGATAGCCAGGAAACTCAATCCACAGCGTACTGTTGAATACGTCAATACTGATTTCCATGAGGCGAGTTGCGAGATGGTACATACCGAATAGATGACCATCTGAGCACTGGGCTTCCTGAGCAGAATACCATGATAATTGGGCATCACATATGTCGCATCTTTCAAAGACCTGCTGACCGGGCCCAGCAGTCTGTTCTTCTGACTTAGGATGGATGATGTTCCCGGGGGATGAACATTTCGAGATCTCTTCGCTTAGATCAATCCCGATAGTGGTAGCTAGCCACTCAAGCATCCTTCGGGCTTGCACCAGCACAGTTTCGTCTTTGGATTGCACAATGGCACAACACGCCGCAGCGTACAGGATCTTCCCGCTCCACGGGCTTGCATCATAATTCCGCCCATCGACGTCCAGAACGTATTTGAGAACAGCATCGCGTTTAGCGGAGAGGTTGCTGGGTGAAGTGTCCAAAACCGTTCGTGCTGTGGGAAAAGCTTTAGGTTCTTTGCATCCGGAGTTGGCTCCGGAGAACAAAAGGACAGTTAAGTCTTCTGAGGACGTTCGGTATTCCACCATGTCACCTGGGTGTCGAGTGATTGCAGCGACAACGACACCACGATGGGATGTGAGACCCCAGACTCTGGCCACAGTGAATCCTCCGAGATCATGGTCAATATCAAACCGGTCGCAGATCTCGTCGATGTGGGTCTTCCAGGGAGCTGCGGAAAGCTGTGGTTCCTCGATAGAGGGGAATGCCATGGATGCCGTATAGCCTCCAACTGTGCCGAGATGAAGTGTGCATGTGTTCGATGCTTCGTCGAATGCAGTGGTCATAGCTTGTGGACTGTTAGTATTGCGTAAGATCGAAAGGACGCACGCATCTTACCACCGATGGCCTCCCAATGGCTGGGTTTGTTGCCATCTACGTCTTCACCAGCTCCATCGTAAAATGGGTATTCTCGCAAGTCAACCTGCCGTGGTTTTGTATCCATTCCACTGTACGCAGCGCGCGTCGATGTTAACAGGATCATCCCTGCCATTGTTCCCGCAGCTAGACGGATCTCTGGGGATTTCTCCTATAGCATTTCTTAGTGAAGAATAAATCTTAAGTGTACCGATACATACTGTGTAGATCCATTGTAGCGGCCCTCTGAATTGGAAGTTGTCCATCTCCTTAATATGCAAGGGAGAGTTCGCCTCGCAGCTGCTTGATAACTGGCCTCCGATAGCACACCCTGCAGAGGACACATTCAATTGTATCCTTTGTTTCACAATTTTCAGTTTTGTACCATATACTAAGGCCGCGTTTGCAGTGGCAAACCATTCGCCCTCGCCAACTTCCTCATAAACCCAAGGGCCATAGGACATAGAGGAGGTTTTTAAACGGTGCTTAATGGCACTGGACAGAATGGATGGTTGGCCAATGGGGAAATTACCCACCAGGTCATGGAGGGAAGTGAGTGAAAGCATTTCGATAGAATAGGATTGCTCCTCTGTGCGTTGGACTCGCAGGAGAATAACATCATTGTCATCATTTGTGACCGAAAGAAGATGGATTCCCCATCGATGCTCAGCCCCAAGGCTGTCAGAATCGGGCGAAGGCACCTTCAGAGGCGGTGACCATGCGAAAGAGCGAATGTTCGATTTCTTCGCTCTCAAGCCCTCATCAGGAATGATGGGCTCGAAATGCCGCCGGAGAGTTTCATTCACCAAAGCGACTCGTGCGTATTTGCCTTGAGATCCACTATTTTCGTAGAAAGACAAAAGAAGGTTTGATGTCAAGACGGCCAAAATACTGCGCCGGTGTTTGCCTAGCCCTGGGGAGGACCATGCTAGGTCTGCAACTATACTGTTTGACTGTTCAGCCCCAACAGAGAAATACTCCCTGGGCCGAGGGAGAATCGTCGGCCATTCGGTAACTGTGAAGGTATTCGCTCGGAAGCGACTGAGTTGCCAGCTTGTACCCGCTGTCTGGGACGTGGAGTTGTTTCCTTCTGGCGCATTTTTAGGAGACTGTTAGATGATTAGCCCGGTCTTGTTTTCCTATCTGGCTGACACCCTCTCCATAGAACGCTTACCGCAATTTGGACAAATTCACCTGCAGCTAGAGCCAACTCCCCATCTGCTGAACACGACAGGGCGTTGTAGCAAGACGGAAAGACTTGCAGTTGGAGGGGGTTCAGCATCGCGTCTAAGCCTTGGTGGCGGTGGCACTCATGACCCGGCGCTCGAGGACTATGATTCCAATAGCTGTTCGGCAAGGTCTATGATGAACTTATCACGCCTAGGATGGATTTACTCACAGGGCGAATGGTGTTGGTAACCCTCTCTGCATGCGGAATGTTTTTGGGTTTAGCGTCGAGTCGCGTTGTCACGTGCATCGCCTGCCTTATCTGTATAGATCCCTCGCATCAAGGAATCGAGGTGTACTATATCGATAGTCGGATAAGAATTCGAGTATAACAATCGAATCAATCTGTTTCCCTAAAAATTTTGACTAGAGTCCCAGGGACTGTTATGCTACACGGTACAAGTAGGATTTGCACTGAATGGCAACGTTCGACCACATACTTTGAAAAAAAAAAATACTATTCTCGGTAATGTACTGCCTAACAATTTC